ACCAGGCGCGCCATATCGTGGAGCTTTTGGTCGTTCCAGTCTGGGTGTTTGGCCTTGTACATGTCGCAGATAGCATTGTGTTCGCGTGTAAAAATATTGTGGAGCATAGAGAGACCAGACCACCAGTTGTCTTTAAACCCAGTGATTTCCAGGCCATCATCTCCGAATGGGAGAAGACCGTTCTCTGCGAGACGCAGCTTGCCATCAACGCCCGTGCGGATGCGTTGATTGGTTTGGGTATCGGTACCGTAGATTTGGGAGAGATCCCACCAGTGAGTGACCTTGTTTTTGAATGCGTTGGGACGAGAAGAGTTTTTCTGGGATGCATCAGGAACGCTACGCGGGAGGAACAGCTTTTGGCCGCTTGCCGCCAAGGGATCTCCTTGCGGGAGAGGAACATCGACGGGACTACCCCACGCACGTTCGTGGTCCTAATCGAATAAAATGTTGTGAGCAAAGAATACAGACTGCATGTTCATATGATAGAACGAATGCTCACCATCCAGTCATGAACTTGGAATTGAATCCAAGAAAGCACAAACATGTTGATAGTCGTGGCCGGCTTAAAGGTATCCCTCAACAACAGCTTTTGCCCGATAGCACGCGGGTTAGGCTCAAAGATTTTGCTTTCATCGGCAAAGGCCTTCTCAACAGGGATGTTACGTCCAAACCGGTATCCCAAGCTACCCATAGCAGGTTTCTCGAGATCATTGCACGTGCCGTCCAGCGTACGAGCAAAGCGATTCTCGGGTGTGCACGTTGCGACAGGATAGTCGACTGCCGTGTACGAGTCGTGAAGGTTGTTCTTCTCCGCGCGGTCTCGGAAGGTGGCCAGGTAGATTAAACCTGCAAGGAGTCCCTTCTCCCACCATTTCCTGTCGCGTTAATCACAATTAGTACACGCTAACAGAATATATAAACAAATCAACGTAATCTGATCATACCTGCCAAAAATATCCGCGGCTTGACGAACAAAGAGCGAAATAGCCGGCATTATTGCGAGCAAATGATGCTAATGTACGTAGTAGCAATAGCTCTATGGATCACGAACAGATCTATATCTATGAACTTGAAGACTGGCTGTCTATTGAGAGGATTATCGACCTGCCGACGATGGAGGGGAAATGGTCTTCAACCCTCTCCTTTTAAGTTGCGCGGAGGGCGCCAAGTACTCCATCATGACCATGGCATCCTCTGCATGAAAACGTTCAACTTTCATCAGAGTGTAAACTCTACCTGCCCAAGGAAAAGAGGAGAGTCAACCCAACTTTGCAAAGAGGCCCTGCAGTTGGCTTCCTTTCCTACTTTGGATTATCGAATACCCTGCATGGTGTGTAAAAGTTGAGTTAGTCAGAGACTGCTTGAGAACCCTTGGCGGTTGCCGAGCCTAATTTGCAATGCCACCGCAGGGGGACTATTCGGAACAACATATGCACAAGAAAGCCAAGACTCTTGCGCTTGGCATCAGACGATGGGCATTACTATGAGGAACAATAGAAGTCCCCTTACGTACGGTGTAGATCGCAGTTTGCCCTCGCCACCAGGAAAGTATGAATTTGTTGTGCGGCGGAGTTATGTTCACCGCACCGTTGGGAATTTAGAAACTTAAACCCGCCTTACAGCTTTTTTGGGTCAATTTACCAAGCATTCTTTGTGAGGACTTTTGGATGTCAGTGAGAGGTGCATGTGGATAGGGGTCCTGGCGCAATAGGCTCACCAAAAAGTTGCGCGAATGTCCTGCCAAGACTGGGGTGCACGATCTACAAAATCTGCTCTATGATGCTGGAACCCCAACCCACCTCTCACAAATCGCTACCGATCAAATCTCACCTATTGCATGGATCGGGTAGTGAATGGATTCCAAATGCCAAGATGGAAGCTGTTGAATTAGGTTTTAAGAAACTTTTGGGATTCCAGGTCGTCGGTTGTTACCAGTCTTGTGGATTTCATTTGTGACATGTACCCAAAAACTCTAAATGTCTCCAGCAACAACAATTGCTACCAATTTACAAAAAAAGGCTAAATTTTGGAACACGACGAAGCAAATTTGGTGGGTATAAGAGTAGGTTTAGCATTTCTGCATTGCCAAGACAATTTCCTAAATATTTTAAAGCATCCGCTTTTATCCCAACAACCTATGCAGCTCTTGGTCCTGTACTGACGGCCATTTTGATATCGCACACCAAGCCTCGTGGCCCGATGCAACAAAAACACAGCTTTGACGTTTTGTTACTTCTCCGCCCACTGCTTCACAAAGGATCGTAATGTAGACCTGCGCCCTTTAGACGCAGGAAATTCTTCTGCTGGGTGAAACGAAAAGAAAACGGAGGATGAAAACTGGTTAAACATCAACCCAGTTTGGATAAGATGCCCTACCTATACCCCAATGCCAAGACTTTCTCGGCGAATGCGCTATTGCTGTAGTCAAAATGGACTGAACGATGTTGGTGCGTCGTACCGATGGGTTCACTCGGGGTTCATGTCTCAACATGGCGCAAAAAGTACACGTTTACGGTTGACTGATGGTGGAATGATCTACTTTTCTGCACTTTTTGGTTTTGTTCGATGACCTACGATATTTTTAGCGGCCCGCATCTTGTCCGCACACTGTTCTTTACCTTGAATTCTTGGCACTCAGTGGACCAATTCTTAAACTCTGGCTGTTTCCAAGTCCATTTTCTCAGTCTGGTCTGGACACTCTTTGAAGTTCCATCTGTATACCTCATCTGATATACAATCCCACAATGCGCTTCTCGTCGATTGTTCCGCTGGCCTTTGGACTGCTAACTCTCCAAAACGGATTCGTCAATGCATTGCCCCAAGCTACTAGCACTACATTGGACCCTGCTCCCACAGTCCCAGCTCTTCCCGACAACTATGAAACTCTCGCAGCCGTGGAGAAAAAAGATCTGATATGGGACAGGATTCAAGGTACATCTAATTCCTCGCAAAACTGGAATGGAATTGCGGAGAGTGCCTGGCTTTTGGCTACCCTACCTCCGAGACCTCCGTTCGATATGGCAAGTGACGTGATGGTTCCTGGACGGAAGAAGTTTATTCGAAAGTGAGTGTCACTTTGGAGAAGTATCCTTTACTTCTACTTTAACACTTACATCCAGCCGCGGTGCGCACGCTCTCGTTAAACTTGTCCCAACCGAGGCTGCAAAACAATACACGGGCATCTGGGCTACTGGTGCACAAAACGGTCTTATCCGTCTGACGACGCTTGACGAACCCCCAAGCAACCCTAAGCCAGAGGACATAGTCATTGCCCCTGGTGGTTCCATCAAGTTCTGGCGAGATGGCATCCCTTCCACAAACTTATTTTTCATCTATAGTTTGGAAGGCCAGACCAGTTGGAATTACTTTGAGAACCCGTGCAGCAACCATCTCGCGCCGCCCAAAGAGCTAAAGACCAAGGTTGGAAAGAAGGTATGTTACGCTGCCAGGTACAAATAGGTCAAAACAATGCACTGATACGAGTTGTTGCTCTGGTAGTTTAACCAACGAGTTAGCCACTACTCAGAAATGACGGGAACCTCTGACTTGGCAAAGTTTACTGCCGATGGAAAACCAGTTCCACAGCCCAAAGCACCATTCCAGATCTGGTTGGTGCCCGCAGCGGGGCTTAAAGCCAACCCTCCGCCGCTGGTAGGTTTCTCACTGTTCTGCGAGTCCTTTTTTTCTAAAATTACATCTCACACCATCTTGAAATTAGACACCCGAAACAGCTTCTGCCAATTTTGCATCCCACTTCAGCGCAATTCCCGAGGGGAGTACCATATACAGCATATGGGCTATCCCGGAGCCGCAGTCCCCGTATAAAGTGGACACCGTATACCACCCCGAAACCCTTCCCAACGCAACACACATTGCTGATGTGGTCAGCGAGTCCAAGTTCACTCCTAGTTATTACGGTGACGCGCATTTGCACTTTAAGCACACTTCCTTCGATTCCGATTTGGAATTGAGGCCTGAATGGCGCGAAATTGTTCGCAGTGTCCGTGATTAGTCTGTTTAGACATGCCAGAATTTTTTAGAGGCGCTGGACGCATTATTGTCAAGACATTTTCGTTCTTAGTAGTTAGTTTAGATTGTTAAGTGCTATAGATCTATGCCATATATAGATTCAAGAAAAGATGATTGCAGATTAAACACCACAAATCTAGTCTTGCCGCAATGTTTGAGTAAGATGGCCATGACCTGACGGGACTATATCATTAACCCAACCTTACCTTTATAAAGATTGTAGAATGTTTGCCCATGTGGGCTCAATATTTACCTACTTCAAAGTTAGCTGAGTCGTTATATAAACCTTGGTTTTGGTGCCCAACCCACAGCAGTACTCGTAACCAACCCATGGCTCTCTTTACCGACATCTCGGCATGGTCGACGCCCTGAGAAGTTAACTATTGTTTAAGTTCCCACCCACTCGACTCATATTGGCCAGGCCCCCATCAAGGATGTCATTATGGTTGAACGTCGGAACATTGCTATTTCGCTATTTTTAGTTACTCGCCTACCCATCCAACGTGCTCCGGTTTGGCGCGACCACGGCACGGGATGGATTGGCTACTGCAAGGGCCTCGCCATAGGCCTCTACGGCTCTCTTGTCAGACGGACCAGTTTAGACCTGTACGCAAATCATGCCCTTCCCCTCGCTCCGCGCCTATGACGAGCAAAACTGCAGCCTGCCCCGGCTTCCTCAACGGGGAGAGACAAATGTGTCTGGTCCACCCAAAGCCCAGCCTCCGCAGCCCAAATCCGGGGCACAAAGACGAGATAATGCCGGAACGTTTACAGGGGGTGCGGCGATGGATTTGTTGACGAAGGGGGTTGCGACAAAACCAAAATGGACAATGATCACCGGGGGGGCGAGTAGAACCAAAGCGGGTCAGAGTAAAGAGAATAAATTGTCGCCTGGCTTGTCAGATAGCCAGCAGCATCCTCAGCAGCAGAGTACAAAGGCGACGAAGCTGGATGCGGTGTCATTACTTTTGCGCCATACACAGCAAGAACATAATTCGTCTCACCGGGTACTTCCTGTTGATGCTAGCTCAGCATGGGATGCCCCCCAGGTGGATCATTATGATATTCCGCGGACGGACATGTGGCCTGCTACGCGTGTGCAGGACGTGGATGACATTTCGTCCAATTCCAATATATCTTTGAGCGATGGGCGATTTCCGAGTCCTGGGACATCGGCTGGGCGCTTGGACATCGGAAAGAAGAATGTGGACTCAAAGGAGAGTCCTCCTATTTCCAGTTCATCGACTCCGTCGCCGCCGCAGCGGAGGCAGGTTCAATCGCGCAAGGAGGAGATTAACAATGATTTCGATAACCCGTCTCAGTTTTCCCTGGCTTCGGCCACTACATCGCCAGCGCCCCCGAAAACTGCCAAGAGTCCGACCAGTGCGGGCTCCGCGTCCCTTCGACGAGAGTCAAAAAGATCCGCAGCATTGAAACCGAAGCAGAAACGGGATGAGAATGAGCACATGCCGGCAGGACCGGCCAATCCGCTCAATGGAGTTATGACAGAGCCGCTAAAATCCGCCAAAACTCCTGTGCTTGAAACCCGTTCATCCCGCGTTGAACGTGGTCTCAAAAAGCCGGAAGAAGCTAGGGAAAAATTAGAAGAAGGCATCACGATTGATGAAGCGGTTCGACTCCAAACTGCTCGGCATTCTACAGGAATCAGTCGCCCCATCGAGCGTGCCGTGTCCGTCCACCAACGTGGACCATTTAAGTACGAATTGAATGATTTCGTACTGCAAAAAGGTCTGGGGCAGGGCGCATTCGCCAAAGTATACCTAGTCAAAAGACACATGGACGGACGACTATTTGCTCTGAAATCTATGAGAAAAGACCGTGTTGTCCACATGCGCCAAGTGCAGCACGTTCAAAACGAGCGGCATTTGATGGAAAAGATTCACAATCCCTTCTTGGTTGGGCTGGAAGCGACCTTTCAAGACTCGGGGCATATTTATATGATTATCGAGTATATGCCTGGCGGTGACTTGTTCAGTCAAATAAGGCGGTATGCATATTTTGAAGAACCTGTCGCGCGATTTTACGCATCCGAGGTGGCCATGGCGCTGTCGTATCTTCACAGCGAGAACATTATTTACCGGGACCTGAAACCAGAGAATGTGTTACTAGATGCGGATGGACATATAAAGTTGGGCGACTTTGGATTCGCAAAAGTCGTCGATGGAACAACGCGGACATTTTGCGGGACGCCGTCTTACATTTGTCCCGAGATTCTCATGCACAAGGAATATACCAGCGCTGTGGATTGGTGGTCGTTTGGTGTGCTATTATTTGAGATGCTTTCCGGGTGCTCACCATTCCAGGAAAGTACTGCACCAAAGACTTACGAACGCATTCTCCAAGGGCGGATTCAGTGGCCATCACATCGGTCAAAGTATTTTTCGCGGTCTGCAGAACACCTTATTACATCGTTGCTTGTGTTCTCACCCCATAAACGTCTTGGATGTGTGGACGAGAGCGAAATTCGAGACCATCCATTTTTTGCGACAGTGGACTGGAGGAAAGTCAAAAGTCGCAAACAGAGGCCGTTGATTGGTATTGGTAGTGTAAGAAGGTCATCTAGTTTTGGAGATGGCTTTTGTGCAGGTTCTGACGAAGATGGGGTTACCCAGTTTGAGATCAGTGCATGGCGTAGTGGTTCTTGGACTGCAGGAGGCGCGGCCACGCCGTTTTCTCCCGATTTGTTCAAAGATTTTTAGAAAGGTGTATGAGCCGGTCTTTTCATAGAGGCAGCATTTGTAGCTAGGATCCCTATCTGTGATGGTTTTGCATAGTTGGATAGCTAGCATAGCCGTAAATCTATGTTCGACCGAATTATGACCAGCCAGCATTTTACCTCAACTTTCAATCCTGTGTGTTCAGCGCGAGACTAAGCTTGTCACGCTGTTGCCGTAGTGATAGGTTGGTTGTGTCACTGATCCTTCCCCCTCATGTCCGTTCGGACAGACGCCCTTCCTGCCCCGGTGGACGATGTGGGGATATCTCGATCTCGCGATTCCGTCTCTTATCTCACTTGTCTCTTTCGCTGCATACACAGCAGTTAGTAACGAGCTGTCGTATCTTAGATCGGCAGTTCCGTATACAGGTTCGGAAGATGCACACCTTTTAAACAAGGAATACGTGTATGTGGAAGGGACCGTTGGCCTCAGTGGGCAAGGCGGAATCCGCGTCGGTGATATCGAAGGAGTTTTATACGAGGTAAACATGATAACATATGAAATTATTGGATATCATTCAACCAGTATCTTTTGCAGCATCGCCTGATTCGCCACTATTCAACATTCTCGGAAGTTTATGAGGACTGGCGACACCAGACTCAATCCGTTGGCACCATATTTAAGTCCGTCCCATTCTACATCCTCCGGAATAACAAGCGTGTTGCATTGGTTCCGAAATTGCATAGCCTACAACGGGGAGTAGATTTGACCGTGGCAACAACAGATTTCACCCCTCCGAATCTGAACCTTGGACAACAAGCTCTAGAGGTTTTAAGGGGCGAAAAGCACGTAGGGCTGGAAACTGGTGAGTCCCTGTTAATATTATGGCGAAAGGCGATAAATTTTGATCATGCCAACGGGAATTCCATAGTTGAGAAGATTCTTCCTGTTGGGGCACCTGTGACGATCCTCGGACAACTGCGTCAAACAACACCGCCCTCTATTATTGTCCCCGAAAATCCCAGACTCCCCTACATTATTACCTGCTCATCCTTTTCAAGTTATCTACGATCCCGTGCCACCTTTCAAAACATTTGCTGGGCATTTTCTTGCATCTCACTCTCCATCTGCTTTCTTGCGGCAGGGCGACGCATGTGGCTATGGTACATAAGACGGTGGCGTAAACGTGAGTACAAGCGGTTGAGGCAGATCAGAAAGCAGCGCGAAAGAGACGAGAGGAAGAGGCTGGAAGGTATTCCTGGAAGCTATCCGCAGGCCCCAACGGAAAAAGATCAGTGCGTAATTTGTTGGGAGGAAAAGCGCGATACTGTTCTGTTACATTGTGGGCATTACATGTTATGCGGACGATGTGCAGGAAGTTGCGTTCGATGTCCCATCTGTAGAGGGCCTATCATTGACAGGGTTCGAACCTATGACTGATTGCTGCATGTGACAATTGCAATCGGATAATGTAATCGTGGCTTGTGATTGATCTGATGTAATATACCAGTGTGTGTCGGAGATGAGACTTTTGCCCGTCAACCATCGTTGCAAGCTCCCTATAAATGTAACTTTCCAGATGACCTTTCCCGCTATACTTCTCCGGTGCAATAAGGCGTCCTTTTAAACCATGCTTCGATCAAATAAAAATCAGTCTGCGCGATCACCCGAACACTACGTCCTCATTTTCGTCCTCCTTGCTGTGGCTACCTTTACGGTGTACCTTGTTCTCACCCTTAATGCAACTTCAAAAGAACGTTATCTGGGTCATCGACCTTCCATAGTGCCATCAGAGGGATCGCGTCCATCGACTCTTCTCAACCCGTGCAACACGAGCAATAACAGGAATCCACATTTAAGAACTTTTGCAGAGAACCGAACGCCATTGTGCAACTGGAAAGTTTCGGAGGAGAAAAGGAGTTCCATTTTAATTGGCGTAATGACAATGGCGGGTAGAGTGTCCAAACGGGCGGCAATTCGACAGACGTACGCCAGGGATTCCAATGGAAATGCTCGGGTCGTTTTTGTCCTTGGGAAAAATGGGAACCCGAAAGATGACAGACTACTGGAGGAGGAGGCCAACAGGCAAGTATGACAACAACAGCAAACAGGCATAGATTAGTGGCCGAACCATTCTTGAGCTTGAATTCGTGACGTTCATTGACAGTCGTTGTTTGAAGTCGGCCGTAACGGTGTTTACTCAACTGTATGGATTGGGTCTAAAAGCCTTTTTGACAGGTACGGTGACATCATGTTCCTCGACATTGAAGAAAACGGCGACGGGGGGAAAACATTCGAGTTCTTCAAAACCGCACATCAATTGTTTGGTCTCTGCCCGTTTACGTATGTAGCCAAGGCCGATGATGATGTATGGTTCCATATCCCAAACCTACAAAAGCGGCTGGATAGTGTTGTTCAGTCCGCTAAGAAAGAAGGTGTCTATTACGGCATGTTGTTGACTTGGCAGAACGAAGAAAAGACGGATATTTTCCAGTACATGGCTGGTATGCTACATTTGGCCTCTTCAATCTCTTCAACCGTATTGACACTATTTCGCCGGCAGGTATGATCACAGCCGTCTCCATGAATATTCTTGCCTGGATTATGACCGACCCCTTCCCATACGAAAACAGGTTCGGCCCAGAAGACTGGATGACAGGCATGTGGATTCGGCATTTATGTGAGGAGCGCCGAAATAGCACGTCAAATTTCTTTGTTGCCGATGTATGTCCGTTCGCGGAGGGAATACCTCGCTACGTCTGCGAACCTCCTGAAAATGCGCATGATTATTATTACCATAAGGAAGGGATTGTAGGATTTAATCATGGGCATGTGGTGGCAGTTCATCGATTGAAGGAGGATTGGCGCTTTTGTGAAGCGGATAAGATATTGCGAGCTGGTGGGTAGCTATGGTTGCATCTGCTGCTAGTTTGCGGTGAAGATATTGTCATAGGTGCTATTATTCTCGCTATATTGATACCTTTTATCGTAATATGGCCTATATGTAATATGTGCCTACTGTAATGATTCATGTATAATAATGGAAGCTATATACAACTCACGAGGGTGAATGATGCAGTGGATAATATATACAACCCGCAAACGTTATGGCAATGCATGCCTCCGCCAAAACTCGCCACCTCTCACTCTTCATTTCCAGAAGATCGTACGACAATGTCATCAGGGGGTGTGCCATGGTCATCCGGATTCGTCTGACTATGACCAGACCATAAATCAGGTAGATGTGCAGCTAGGTTGCGTTTTGGAGTTGCTATCGGTCGAGGCGTCCCCGGTGGAAGCCACGCTTGATCAAAGTCCAACGTATCGTCTGATGAAGAGGATTCACGTGTGCGGGCGGTACGGAAACTCTCTGTTTGGGATGACAATGATTGAGACCTTTGCAGAAAACTGTGAGTTGGAGAGCGTGGAGCGGAGTGGAAATCCTCTGTGTCAATTGTCTGGGTTGACGTTGAACTCCGTCTTTGCAGGACACTCTCGCTATCGCTAGGGAACTGCGGGACTGTGTGGAAACTTTCTGTTCCAATTGTCTTTGTTGATGTTGAGTTGGTTCTTTGGAGCGCCCTTTCGTCGTCACTTGTAGGGACGGGTCCGAAAGTTGTGTTGGACGTACGGGAGAGGGAGGATGTGGGTCGTATGGTGTCCGTTATAGAAGCAAGCGAAAGAGTTCTAGCTAATTCTTGCTCATCGCAGGCGTGCTTCATGTTTCCCAATCTGCCGTCAAGTCCATCAATCTGATTCATCGCGGAACGAGAAGCAAATGGGGCCACCGAGGCCATGGAAGCACGCATACTAGCACTGTCTTCAATATCTTCGACAAGGACCGAATGACGCTTCGTTTCACCCATTACCAAAGAGGGAGTGGGCAGGGGATTTGCCTTGATGGGGGGCGGAGAAGAGATCGTTGACGATCGACCACTGTTGAGCATAGTACTCGTCATAATCCAGTCTAAGGAAGGATCTGTTTCTCTTCTAGTGCTTGGTGTAGAATCACCTTCTGCTATCGACGGTTGACCGCTGGGATGCATACTGGAGGCCCCTTCTTCTACTGGCGATTTCGTTTTTCGCTTTTCACTCCTTCTTTTCAGCGTTATCAGCACGGCTAGAAGCCCACCGCAAATTACCAATCCAATAACGCTCAGGGCGACAATAACGTGTTCTCCCAGTTTCGCAGAGTTGGCGGTACTCTCGGTGACAGCACCAGCAGATAGAGCTGATACAGATATTACCGCATCGCCAATAAAAATCTTTACTCCTTCACTGCCAGACAAAACGATGGGCGGCCTGAGATACGGTGACGACGGTGCTCCAACTTCTCCGTAGTTGAACCCCCACACCACATCCACGACAGAATTGTTATTGACACTGTAAACCTTTACGCCACCCAAGCTTGAAACTAAGAATTGCGCTCCACCGGAAAACGTTACAACAGACTGATTTGAGCATCGTATACCTCCTTCTTGGAGAAGCTTATCACTCAGCTTCCATCCTTCTACTCCCGTAGTGTTTGTGAGAGCAGTCAGTCGTCCATCATCGTACCCCGCATCAGTAAGACGCATGTTCACGCATGCGTATATCCACCCCATGGCAGCGTTTGCACCCACCAAAGCTTGTCCACCACCGAACGCAGGGACCTCCCATATCTGGCGCCAAGCCGACTCGGAGACATTGAACCCGCGAATCCATTCCCGAGCGACACCAAAAGCGATTCCACTCCATTCAGGTACAACGCGCAGAATCGGATCAGCGCCAAGCGTGGAAGGAGCGAACCCGGCTCCAATGGGTAATGTATTCCATGCAGCCGAGAATCCAAGTGAATTGCCCACCAAGTAGAAGCCTTCCGGCGTCGGTGCTAGAGAGAGTTGGAGGTGCGAAATGGGACTGAAGCCAATGGGTTTGCATTCTTGAATTGGAGGGTTTGATAAGAGGGTGTAGCGAAGGATGCACGGCTGAAGATAGCCTGAACACACAAATGCAGCAAAATTGAGCAACTTGAAAAGACTTCAAGGCAAAAAAGAAACCCACCGTGCGTAACAGCCAGCGAAAACATTGATGCCGATTTTCCATCCACTAACGGATCAAAAGCGAACCCTGGGGCCGTTGGAAACTTGTTGGTCGACAATATCCCTTCGCTAACAAAAGCTGAATAAATCGCTACAGGTTGGAGCACGTCACCAGCTACAGGGCCATCGGGGTCCAATGCCGCCCAAAGCAAGCCTACGACTGCATTTTGATTGCCTTTTGCTGATCCAAGAAAGAAAGGTGCTCGTCCAGGTGCTACATCGAGGCGATACGACCCAGGTATGGAGAAGTTGGAGAGGAGGCGCGGACCGATTGGCATTACTTCCAGACGGATGAGCTTTAGCGCTACATTCTGGGACGTCATGTTCCCAAGGGCGTACCATATCCCCCCTGCAGAATCCATTACGGGGGGAGCCACTACCTCCCATTCTGATGTGTTAAAGATGGTACGAACATACGATCGAATGGAGAGAATCTCGGAGGACGTATCGTTACTGACGTTCCACCGAAAAGGGACCTGCCCGGTTCTGTACCCGTCAAATCCCGGCTGGGCAAAACCGTCAGAGGTCCTAACGTCTATCGGGTCACCGAGGGCAATCGCCACCCAGCAAAGAAAAATAATCACTACGTTCCAACATCGTGAGCTTTGAGCGGATATCATAGGTGCTGTTCAGTGTAGGAGCTCAGAGTGCATTGGGTACGCAACAGCGGTGGGTACTCATATATTTTCACTTGCGAAAAAGCAGAGCCAGCTCTGGAACACTTCTTCACCCGCATGCAGGTTCAGGATACCTCCGTGTTTATCGAGTGCGCCAGAGGCGACGTCAGCTATTCTCAAGTGCATCTTTCCTTTTCGTTTGACACTTTGAACAAAAGTCGAGTTTCAAGGCGCGCCTTGCGGAGCGTAAGCATGGATGCAGTGTGGTTCGATTCATACATTAAAACGGAGTGGGGCATTGCAACAGCACTGTCTAAAATAAACAAAGCCGGTGGGATGGACGCAGCAAGTCGGGAAGAAAGCCTGGTTGCATGGTACGAAGCTGACAGGATTGGCTAACCGCCAGATACGAGCCAAGTTGTAGGTTTTTTGATGATATTCCCCACTTGCAGACTACGTGTTTCAGCAAGGGTGAACAGTCCTTTATGCCTGAGCAAACTACTTTCATTATCTCTGTCATCGTTCACCAACCAAGCTCATAACACGGTCTACCAAATCTTCCTCCCAATCCTCCCATTCCAATACGCTCAGATCCTGCTTCATATGCACTTCACTCCTAGTTCCTGTCAGAGGCAGGATCCCACTTTGAATTAAGCATTTGAATAGAACTTGCTCAACTGTGCACCCTTTCTTCAGCGCCACGCTTCGCACAATGTCAGATTGCAACACATGCGGGTTGGCCGTCAAGGTCCAGAAACTTTGATACGTTATATCAACGTCTGGTGAACGACACCAGCTTCGGACGTCAATATCGTATTCCGTCTCGTCATGGAACCTATTTTGGATAAATTTTGGTTTCACGCGAGCTTGGGCGTGCAAATGTTGAAGGAATGGCAGCGAGTATGCGTTCGAAATGCCGAGGTATCGGATAAGCTTTTTACTGTGAAAGTCTTCCATGACCCTCCAGACACGCAATGTATCTTGCAGAGAGTGAAGAGGCGAATGAAGGACGTAGGAGTCCACGTAGCTCGTTTGGAGATTCTCCAGTGATTTCATGAACGATTCTTTGACCTGTTCTTCAAGCGGCGCAGAAGGGTCATATGGAACGTTATTGGGATCTTGCCCTGATATAGGTGTGAACTTTGTTTGGATGAAGAGTGACTCGCGGGGAAAGGTTTGCGCGACTGCTTGAAGAGCCGAACCTATTTGGGGCTCATTGTAATGCTTGGGTTGGTTGGCTGTATCTATACCTCTAAAACCCGCAAGGAGGGCAGCTTTAACGAGAGCGTGGGTCTGGTCTTTTTTCCAGGCTGTGCCGTACAGAAGTCGAGGAACAGAAGCTGGGGGCATTTTTGCAATATGCTGGGACCTTAGGGCAAGCGATTGGAAAACAATTTCAGACATGTTAATTGTAAAAAGCTAAAAAGAAAAACAAAAAGAGACCAACCGTGAACTGGGCGGTGCTCTTTTACTCCTTCCCGGAGATGCCGGAGACCAGCTCAAGGCTGGGGGGCACGCAAGTTTCTACCCTCCTTATAGGAGAACCGGAGAACCGCGTCGCGATATGTCATCACCTGGTGGGTGCCACGACCGCGCATTGTGGAGATCGAACTCAGCGCCTTTCGGCAACTGAGAACGAACGCATTACCCCATAAGCTATCCCCACAAAGTCAAAATCATCTGGTTTCTAAAAAATTTAATTTGAAAAGATGGAAGTGGTCGGATTAACCATGATAAGGCCGACTCAGACCACACCAACGTCGAACCCTAAATATAACGGCCATTGTTGCATCGCATTGCCTGTATTATTTTCTTGGCACCAAACGGTACCAGTTCAGCTGCTGAAATGTGATAATACATTGGGTACACAAGCTGTTGGCCTAGCAACGGACATGTTCATATGTTACATAAGCCATAGTCCGCTCGTGGTTCTGTATTGTCGCCATCTACGTGCATACGGCATGTTCATGCCCTAGAGACTTCCACCAGGTCATATATTGATCACCGCGTGGCACACATGCCCCTTCCCCAAGGAAGGCCCGCCTAAGGACTGTAAGGGAGTTAAACCTCGGTCGTTCATTCAGCTTATCTCATCAGTCCAGATACCCACTGGACGGGTCCAGTTTTGTTTCTATTTTTGACATACATGCGCGAGAAGGTATATTACGAAGACGTCAAGCATCACAATTATTGCTTGACCATATGTGAAAGGGAGCACCCCCAAAGTGCACGATTAATCAGTTCGACTCATTGAGGAGCGTTGGCTGATTACTTCAAAACAAACACAATCGTAATCAATCGGAGGCTTTTCTGTAGAAAATCTCCACCACCAAAATGAGAGTTTAACCCGCGGGAATTTAAGGTGTTGATTGTTGACTGTGAGTTGGTCTAAGCACGTATGCCACAGACATACACGCACGCCCAGCGCTAGATAGTGCTCTGATAAAACCTTTCTAAAGTCTTCCTTTGAATTGTACAGGCCACAAATCATATCAGTAAATCACAATCACGTCCGCCCTCTGTATTCATTCCAACACCATCCGCCATGCCAGGACCGGCCGTCCTATCATCCACACCGCCCGTGACATCCTCAACCCAAGACCCGACCGAATGCATCCCCCCACAAGCCGATCCAGGTGTCATCCACATCCAACTCATACCCCACAGCGACACTCCTGGGCGCCCGGTCCTGGGCGATGTTGTTGAGCGGAAATTTGAAGAGGGAATGAGAGTCAGAAGCGGGAGGCAGGTCATTCGGGAAGGGGTGCCGACTGTAATGAAGGGATCAAAGCCCCCAACAGACAACGATATTTGGTATTCGAGTAAAGTGGTCAGCAGGAACCATGCGGAGATGTGGGTCAAAGATGGCCAGGTAATGTTCCAAGATTTCTTTATGCATCGACCTTTCGGAAAATTTATTTTTCTCTGTTTAGATATATATCAAAGACATTGGGAGTTCCTCCGGAACATTTTTAAATAAGATGCGGTTGAGTCCATCTGGAAAGGAAAGTCGACCGTATCCTCTGAAAGAAGGTGACATTCTACAGTTCGGTATAGATTATAAAGGAAAGCCAGATGGTGAGCAGCGGTCTGCGCCGATTTGCAAATGTCTGCCGACACGATAACAGGTTGCATCCCGGTAGATATTTATAAGAGCGTGATGGTCCGGATCGGCTTTTACGATCAGTCATGGGTACAAGCTCAAAGACGGAAAGCAAATCCCGCCAGGTACTGTGGTTTTTTTTGTCAAAGAGGTACCCACTACAGACTCACTTTAACTATGATCCTAACAGGTTCCGGACGGCTTTGAAAATGCTACTGGCAGCAGCTAACCCGTACGCCTCGGCGAACAGCGAGCAGACGCAGGAAGAATCTGGCTCCACAGATTGCTGTATCTGCATTGGGGCTATAGGTCCTTTTCAAGCTTTATTCGTTGCCCCGTGTTCGCATTGTTATCATTACAAATGTGTTCATGGACTCCTCGCTCAATCGGCGATGTTTCAATGTCCTATGTGTCGTCAAGTCGCGAATCTAGCTGCAAGTGTTTCCATGGACAGCTTGTTTGATGATGAAGATGAGAGTGCTTCCAGTGTTGCTGGGGATTCCATAGGTAGGAAAATGGGACAACTGCGAGCAGGTGAGGACAACCCCGATGCAACGTTATCAGCTGCCCAGAACGCCATTCAGAGATTGCAGCAATCTGGTCAGCCGGGTAGCGGTGATGTTACACCCCGCAATGAACGTTCGGGAACACCTGCGCCCATCTCCCCGGAATCTGACACATCAGGACGGAGTACTCCAAATCCGCTCGGGGAGCCATCCACTCGACGACCACACTCCGGGGGTGCAAGTGTGGGCGGGCAACAATCTGGGGCCTCAACCCCCGATAGATCGGTGGCATCGCCTACCGCCCGCGCCCCCAAACGTCGCTCAAGCATCACGAGCAAGATCAACGCTCTTCTACGCCGTGGTCACAGGGATACGAGTAGTAGTAGTACACACCACGAAGAACCGTCTCCGCCACCGGTACCCATCCGTGAAGAAAGTTTGCGGCGTTCAGAGCCGCCGATTCCCGATGAAAATGATGAGCCTCCCGTTTCTCCAGTGTCGCCCACCAGTGAGGAAGGCCTGAAACGGAACATGACGGCTCTCACTTCAGTGGCAGGAATGGACCGGGATCGGTCTACACATGATATACATGAGGACGCAGAAGGTGGAAATGAGGGTGATATCAGTAATGAGGACCAGTAATGAGAGATACATAGGGACGAGTGAGAGGATTAGCTATCGTGTCGGGAACTCTTTGTCGCATGAAGATGGCTAGTGTAAAAGTGGTGGTTCTTTCTCCTGAGAGCCCGCATGGTTCAGTGTGACCTAGTAGTGTAATCAGATGTGATTTTCCGGATGAGATCTAGGTCTGCTTTGCCATTCAGATCAAGTACGTTGTTTGTTGTGAACATTTTGACAATACATCTTTATGCATACGACGAAAAAACAATCTGCCGGGAACGCAGAGGTGCATTTCCGATGAGATCTATACCGGCATTTGCCGTCCTGAGCCGTGCTTGTTTTAAGATTTGCTAAACATGCTCGTTCATGCATAGTGAGATCCATTATTACTGAAATTATAGCAACTTGTGCAGTTCATTCCTGATGACTAGGATGTGTGCATATTTGTCATAGCGGGTACATCTAGATTATACCAAGGGGATTCACAACTACAAGATCAATAACGTTAGATAACTATCTAAATCCGACCGACACAGCCATGGAGCTGCGGAAGAGATTGCTTATTTCCACTCCTCTGGTCACTTTTCTTTTGGAACTCGGACCCGCTTTCACCTCTTTTGACTTGCGGACCACCTCCGCTAGACTCTCATATGCTACCACGCCCCTAAACCGGTCCCATCGTCCGTCTCCCGTTATGGCACTCCGATAAAGGTCTCTCAATCCCCGCACATTCATGAAGACCTCATATTTTATGAGAACCCATGGATCCCGGTTCCGTGAATCCTGATCACGATTCAAAACTGCGTTGGCAAACAATAGCGCGCGGATATTTTTATGTGGGATGGTTTTTGTGTCATGGTAATGTAGTGCAGCACCTAGTGTGAGTGTCGTAAGGCGGAGGCAGTTTTCGAGAAGGGGTGCAAGGGAGGTAACGATGCGAGGTGTCATTAGAATGTCCTTGGTGTTACGGAATTCGAGCACTTCTACGTTTCGTGCGTGATGAGCAATGCAAGGGAGTACTTTGTGGGATAAGAACTGGCAGCAGGATAGGTCAAGTTTCTTCAACTTTGTGCTGTATGTTTTAACCAAGGTCCGTACACCCACATCGCTGATAGTTGTAGACCGGCAACCAATGCTGATCAAGCGGGGACAGGTCACAACCAAGCGATTCCAAAAACCGTCATCGACGGACATGCCGCCAATGTCAAGAGTGGTAAGATTGGAGGGGTATTGGGTAATTGGGTCTAGTCTGTTGAAGTAGAACATATCGCCGTCACAGGAAGAACTTCTTGTCCACCGAAAATGGTTGAGAGAGGAACAGTTCTCAATCACCTGGCCAATCATCCTGGCCTCTTCACCGTGACGAGGCGCCGACTGAAGATCGAAAATCTCCAATGTTGGCGCATGTTTTTCCTCAAGAACTCTACAAACTCCCTCTCCCATCCCGCATCGTTCCATCGTGAGACCCTTCAACGGGTCGACTGCTTCTAGAAGCTCGACCAGGTCCTCTTCAGATGACCAACCACCCTGGATCGTCAAGTATTCTAGCTGAGAGCCGAGTTTATTCAGCCCACTGGAGAGGAGGAGGGAGGTGGGAGTATCGAGGGTCAGTTGAAGGCGCATGCGCGGAGGTTTGGTCAGAGTCTTGAGAAGCGAGTTTAGTAGAGCATGCGTGGTGATCTGTTGCTCGTCCGAGAGGCGGCCAGGTCGAATCTTAAAACAAAGATCAATCTGCCATACCATAAACAGATGTTAGCGGAAGGCTCATGGAACGCAACAGACCGAAATTATGTACCTTCTCGACCCGTTTCATCTTCTCCAGTACCTCAGTAAGAACACTAACCCTCTGAATAAACTCTTCCCAAACCACATTCTCATCTCCCCAATCAGCACCCCACCCAGCACCTTCATAGCAAACAGAAACTCCAATTTGTCGAACATAATTTGCTCTAACGGCCCCATGTTGCTCCAGCTTTCCAATCAAACGGACCAAATCCGCCGCACTCACACCGTACCCATTCGCGACCACAAGGTGAAGGGACTTCCACAGCTGAGGTATGGCGACATCGGCCCAACTGCGACAAACTTGGGCACAACAAAGAAGGTCTCGCTGGTCAAGCTCAAACGGGCTGGAGTATCTGCTCGTTGTCGAGAATTGCGCAAAGAAATGATAAAGGATGTCATGGTTGAGCTTTTGCATTGGTCGACTTGGTCGAGGTGGAGGTGATACAACAGTTTTGGAGCACTCGGTATCGTTAATGGATGCAATATGAGAGTCGATGTCTGCCAACCGGTTTTTATGTCGGAACATGAATGCAGACCTAGGAAAGCAACGAGCGGGATCCCAATGGAGAATTAAGCGTGAATAATGCAGATGATCCCGGAATCCTCGGGGGGGCTCTTTGCCATCGTCCGTTTTTATACTCCGCAAACGTGAAGGATAGCTCCTCCTTCATGAGGCTGATTGGCTTCTATCTTCGGAGCATCTGGAAAGTCAAGCAACAGTCTCTTTGAATAGAACTGCACAAACACCGCTTTCTAAATGATAACGTTACTATGTCTGCTCGCCAACCGCGTATCGTTGTTGAAACGCATTGCTATTTTGAGGCCTGTAGGACGGATCCTCTCGCTCAAACTGTGTCTCATAGGCCCTATACATCCTTTATTCTAACAACGCAATGACGCTATATTTAGAAACTTGAAGCTTGGGTACTGTCGAAACCTGAAAATGTACGAAAGTTCAATGAAGAAACTATGCATGCACCATTCAGCCAGGAGTGTCACAAAGACTTCCGCGAATAGCTGCTAAAAGTTACTGCATGTGGACTTGCAATTTGGGTAAAGAAAGGTGCACAATATAAAAAAGTGCTCCTTCCAGAGTATATGCGAGATGTGAGGATCGAACTCACGACCTTGAGATTATGAGACTCACGCTCTACCAACTGAGCCAATCTCGCGTGCTGATAATGGCCAGGCAAACAAATTTCCTATTCATAACTTGTTTGGTTGCTCTGGAAAACGTTTCGCGAAAACGCATTTGAAGATGGTCGTTACAAGCGACGATTACAGTTACCTTTACGTATTGCTATTGTACATTCAGGATTGAACTGACATTCACGTCATTTGTGGAGATCATCCCTTCCGTTAGAAGACATTTCAATGACATTGTTATGGAAGGCAAATTTTTCTAGGTAGTCTTCGTAGTCATCATTGATTTTGCTCAAGGGGTCTCAGTTAGCAAGATGTATGTGGTAGTGTAGGATATTATGTATGTGTAAAGTCTGTGCGTAGCTTATTCAAACAGAGTAAGTTCATGGCTACAAGGTACATGCACAGTACGAACACGTCTTCAGATACACCCTTCTTGAGCTCAGAAGGTAGACCATTCCCTAGAATCAAACGCTACTGTTCTAAGCCATATGACCGCTGAAGAAAAGAGCGGCTCGACAGTAATTATGTTGGCTGCAACATTGAGGAGTCGCTTGGCAAAAACGATAGCGAAGTATGGATAAGGTGGAGGAAAGAAGTTCACTAAAAGCGATTAACCCTGCCATGATTTCCATGAAGAACGCACAAGAATCCAAACAAAATGTAAGTACCCACGTATAAATGCGAGATGTGAGGATCGAACTCACGACCTTGAGATTATGAGACTCACGCTCTACCGACTGAGCCAATCTCGCGCTGTGGAAGTTCTGCCATTTTATAATCAAGTTGAAACGAACAAATTGTTCAGATGAATGATGACCTAACCCAGCCGAGAGCCAAATGGCACCGGCAGCTTTGGTGGTCATATGAATGGCACACATATCATTTCAATGCTGCAAACCACTCACACCGCAAAGGGTCCCAGTCGAGCTGAAACCAGAGTCACCCCAATAAAGTTGGCCCAGCCGATAGCTCGCGTCGTAGCTCACCACTTTCACTATGACTACATATATCCCACCACAACTTACGTGTGAAACAGAAAAATCGTATAGGCACCGATCAGGACCCTCTGGCTGCACCTTTCGTAAACCGCAAGTTTTTCACACTCCGATCACTGTGCCACTAATGATAGGTATCCAAAAAGAAGGATTTTATGTCATCAGTCATGCTTGTATCGACTATTATGCAAAAGCCATCAGGACGATAATTTTAACAGAAATTTGCCAGATCGCATATGGAACTTGTTTTGGATATGCGCAGAAGGCAACCACCCGTTAAGGGTCTGAGCACAGAAGCGAGAAAATTCTGTGTTATTTTTTGTTTATGGGCTCTGGGATGTGCAGGTGTGCCCAAAGAGTCAGTTTTATCTCGGGAAAGGCAGAATAAAAGGAAAGGTACAGTACTCGTCTACCCCCGCATCATCCCGACTTGCTTCCTTACACGATGCTCGTCACCAGCACTTTCGCGGCTCTCGTTACCGCTGCGGTGGTCGCTGCTCAGACAACGACGAATGCCCGGGTAGATCTATTGACGAATGTCAGGCCGGAGCTTGGTTTTGCTGCTTACACACCCGAGGATAAAGTGCTTGTGGCCCAACAGGCACAGGAATTGTTGAGCATTTATGTCAATCAAGAGTCGAAGATCCAGCAGTGTTAGTGAGATTGCAAGTCTGGAGCATTTGAATAGAGGTACTGAATTGCTTGTTAGACGGTGTCGACGCCCAAGCTGGCATTGCGGCGATCGTCCCCACGGTTGGAAATATGACGGATAAAGAATTTCACTACACGTTGGCCAAGCATTTCCTTTCTCTTCGCGACTTCCACACAAAGTAAGAACAGATCTTGCAAATCTCACATTGCCAACCTTGGACACTCACATTTCTCCGTGCTATAGCTACTACATTCCGGGTCAGCATAGCTGCTTCAGTTTTATGACACCTTACTTGTTTGACTTTGTTCAGAGCAACGACATCGTAAATGAGCCCACGGTAGCCGTTCGGTTCGTCGCTCAGGATGCTACGTTCCGAAAACTGGTGCCCAAGGATGCGTTGGACGTCAAGCCAGGAGATCTACTTGTATCCGTCAATGGGAAAACCTTCAGGGAGCACTGGGTGCAGACGCAAAATATGACTGGTGGCGCAAACCAATTTGGAGGTTACAGGGCTGCCCTGAGGTTGTTGACCTCTATGTCTGGAGGGACGCATCCTGTGCCCGAGAGCGATCAGGTTAATTTCGTGTTTAAGCAAGCGAATGGTTCGCTGTACAATGTCACAGTGCCGTATATTGCTGTGGCAGATCGCGACTGCTTGGCAGATGCTCCGGGAGGTGGTTCGGGAGGTGGTCCGAAAGGTGGTACTTCCTTTGCGCCTCCTCCAACACGACCATCAAAACGACCAAAGTTCAATCCAAAACTACCCCTTGCTATTATGCCTGGTAAGTCTGTTCAAAATGTTGCGTGTCCATCTCAACTGTACACGGATGATCCCATAGCTTCTCACCCACAGACCTGGGCGACAATGAGATTGCCGGAATAGTGTTTCCCGACGATTACGCAAACTACAATCTAAGAGCCACGGCCTCAGGGATTGTGAAGTGGACCATTTACAACAACAACAATGCCAACCTCGGTTTCATCCGTCTTGCGTCGTTCACCGAGGTCGATGTAGAACCCAAGGTAGCTGTCAACGCAATTCGGGATTTGTTGGTGAATGAGCTCAAGGATACCGCAGGTCTGGTCATAGACGTTCGCGGTAACGGTGGAGGGTTAGTCTCTCGTCTTTTGCATATCGATTTTACATCTGGTTCCTTATGTACGGATCATAGGTACATTGTCACGGCCGACACGATCCCCCAATTCTTCGTGGCCGACTACGAACCAACTACCGCTCGCGCGCTGATCTCTGATAACAACGAGCAGATCTTTGTCGAAAAGGGTGCAGAAGGACAGGACTGGAAAGCTACGTATCTTACCGCCAACCCTGGGGACAAGTACACTGGCACTGTTTCTTTCACGTCCAAGGAGACCGCCAACAAGATAGGACAATTGTACCTGAAACCCGTGGCTGTCTTCAACAATGCCAAGTGCTACTCCGCCTGTGATATGTTCAGTGCAGGCATGCAGGACCATGAAGCCGCTCTTATTATCGGTGAGGATGCCACGACTGGCGCTGGTGGTGCCAATGTCATTGAACACCGATCATATCTGGAGGAGGTACTTCCGGAGGTGTATTTGCCCCTCCCCTACCAAAAACCGGGCGAACCTCTTCGTTACGGTGCCCCTGACATGCGTATCGCCTGGAGACAGAGCGTCCGTGTCAAGAAGAATGCTGGAAAGTTGATCGAAGACATAGGAATTATCAGCGATACTGTGGTCCGTCCGGTACCAAGTGACTTTGCTGAGGCAGAAAAGGGCGTGTTGACGCAGTTGGATGTTATTGCACAAAAGCTGCAACAGTATGGAGCAGCTACTGGAAAGAGAGGACTTTACTGTAGGTTCACCTGCTGCTCGTTTTTTTCTATCATTTTGGTGGCACGTCCTAACCTTCGACGTAGTCCAATCACCTCTCAATGCACAACGACTCACCCCCGCCAGCCAACTCCGTTTCAGGTACGACTCCCAATACATCAGATACCTCGAACTTCGTAATGCCACCGACGTAGTGGTTGGCACGTCCGTTCCATACCCCTTCTCCGTCCGCAGCACCGGTTACCTCAATGATACACAGACTGCAACAGCACTCGGCAATTTCAAGTACACCATTGTCGGTTATGGTAACGACAATAACCAGGTCCTGAAAACCAACCGTGTCCTCAGTGTCGTCCCCGACGCGTCGCAGTTCTTGAATATCACAACGGGAACAAATTACACCTACAGGACCAGTGAGTCTCTGGCATTTAGCGGTGTATACAACACGGACACGGCCCCCGAGAATGGGTGGATTGTTCAAAACAACACTATTACGGTCGGCAATGGGGTACAGTACGCTGATGATGTTGAGACTCTTTTCACAATCTTCACAAATATTGCAACGGGCACCAACGCGACGTTGACGACTAGCTACAGTTGCCAAACCGAAACTGGATCCGATTACTTGACTGTGTTTGCCAGAGCAGTTGATGCCAATGGTGGCGGTGAGGAGAAAGAGCTTTTGAAAGTGTCTGGCGCTGATAACCAGGCGAAGACCGTCTCGTTGGCGGGATTGACTGGCAATGTCGAGATTGGGTTCAGGTTCAGTTCCGACAGTGGAAGGAGTGACCTGGGTGTTACCGTCCAAACTATTTCTATCGCAGCTTGAATGCTGATTCGAAAAAGATTTGCCTTATGCCGACTCGTTGAAGCCATCATTGCTGGGGACATTAGGATTTGAACTATAATCATAATTGTTAGGCGATAAATCACATAATATATAGAACCTAGAATATAGAACTAGAATATAGAACTAGAATGTAGAACCTAGAAATTAGAATATAGAGGCGTTGATCGCTATGCGTAGTATGGACCTTAATGCTTCTATGATATACCATACATTCTGTAACAGAATAGAATAACTGCGTGATCGCAAGACAAGAGCTTGCAAAGGAAAAAAGGAATAAACAAATAGTGTTCCTTATCGCTCTCCGTTCCATGATCATGATCGCGTCTTCCATGACTCATCCGTGTCCGCGCATTTCAAAACCTGGGGCATGTATTTAGCAGTTGCTCGACGACCATCCCATCTCAGTTGAGTCTCCAAGTCCTCTTTATTTTGTTGATCATGTCGGTGCCAGGCGGATATCGCCAGGTTGTGGACGACGATGTAAGTTGTTCTTCAAAATGATCGGATATGTAATGTCAAGAGGCTCACCTTGGCAACACCTACAGGCAGACCTCGAGTCCCTGGGGGATGTAAGCCATTTTCCACCGTAGCATTACTTGAATGTTTCTCGCGTGTAACACCTTCTGGATAACAGGACGACGCTTACACCCAACCACATACCTTTCGGGAACGTATTTCCTACTGTTGGCGCCACATTGTAGACTGGGTTGGCGGAAAGCGAGCGGCCATCGCTCACTGCGCGGGCGTTACCATTGCTATCCTCACCGTCGCTCTTGTCTGGCGGTTTGTCATCTCTGGACCTGATTCACCTGTTCCTGCACCCGGTGTACCCGCGAAGTGGGATGTAAGACTTCCGGATTGGATTGTCCCAGAGCATTATGATTTGGATCTATCGGAAGTGGATTTTGAAAAGTTGGAATTTGGTGGGTCAGTGGATATAACTTTGGATGTGCGCAGCGCTACGAACTTTGTTGTGGTACATAGCAAAGATTTGGATGTCGATGGTAAAACTGCTCGATTCGTTGGACCCGATGTGGATCTCGTCCCTGCGGCGGAGCCTCGACCGGAGAGGCAGTACACGGTATATTGGTTAGAAAGACCTGTCTCAGCGGGGAAATATAAGCTCCACTTGCAGTTTAGAGGAAAGTTGACAGATAGTTTGAGAGGATTTTACTACAGCGTGTATCGCGGGGAAAATGGCAAAAAGAAGTTTATCGGTACTACACAGTTTGAGGCTACAGATGCTCGGAGGGCTTTTCCGGTAAGATTCGGGAGATTCCACTGAGCATACGCATTATCCCCTTTTTGCTCATCTGTCTCATTTAAATCTAGTGCCTTGACGAACCATCTAAAAAGGCAACCTTCCAAATCAATGTAACGGTACCTGACGGTTACCACGCTCTTAGCAACATGCCTCATTTGTCCGTTGTCAAAACAACCACCGGGCAGCGTCGTTTTGTCTTTGACACAACCAAACGGATGTCGACCTACCTCATCGCTTTCATTGTCTCCGATTTCGAATCAATAACATCACATACATCCCGCGGCGTAGCCGTTTCCGTCTGGACACCGCCATCCAAAACGCATCTCGGAGAATACGGCTTAAAGGTTGCTACAAAGATTCTGGACTATTATGAAGGACGCTATGGAGTCAATTACCCGCTTCCAAAGATGGATTTGATTGCAATTCCGGATTTTGCTGCTGGAGCGATGGAAAATTGGGGCTTGGTTACGTATAGAGATACTGCCTTGCTATATGATGAAAAAAGTTCATCGGAAAGCAATAAGCAGCGGGTTGCCGAAGTCATTGCACATGAACTTGCTCATCAATGGTTTGGAAATCTTGGTGGGTATGCTCGTGATTTCGTTAGGAGGATTGAGCAAGAGAAATGGCGTCATACTGAACCTATCCAATGTTTTAGTTACAATGGACTGGTGGAATGACCTCTGGCTCAACGAAGGCTTTGCTGAATTCATGGAATACAAGGGTACCAATGCCGCGGAATCGACGTGGCGAATGGACGACCAATTCGTCCCTGCAGACCTGCTCCGTGCCCTGGAAGCCGACGCATCACAGTTTACGCACCCTATCGCTGTGCAAGTCCACGATCCCAATGAGATTCAAGAGATTTTTGATGATATTTCTTACGGGAAGGGATCCTCGATTTTGCGAATGCTTCAAGCCTGGTTGGATGACGCTCTTGGAAGTGACACATTCTTCAAAAGGATACACGCCTATCTGGAAGCGCACGCTTATCAGAATGCGAAAACGCTTGAATTATGGCAAGCTCTGTCGGATTCGCATGTAGATGTGGGGGCATTGATGAGTACTTGGACGGATCAACCAGGATTTCCTGTCGTCCGTGTTTTGGATGAAACCACCCCTGGGCAGTTGGTTGTCGAACAGGAGAGGATGTACCTTGCAGCGCTGTCCAAAGATTCCGATGAGCATGCAGAAAAACAGAAATGGCAGATCCCCTTGACGTATTCCGTGTATACATCCGGAAAGAAGCCCGAAATCTCCCGTGCAACCCACATCGTCAAAGAGTTGGGCCACGTTCAGATTCCCACCAAGAGCACATCGCCGAATGGTGTCCCGCTTTTGAATGTAGGGCGTACTGGCGTGTATAGGGTTCAATATCCTACATGGGTTTATAAGAAATTTGCAGAGCTGTTGGGAAAAGATCTAAACGTTTTGGAACCAGTTGACAGGGCGGGCTTGATTGAGTGAGTAGTTGTCTTGTGATGCTGATACCGGTGTACCTGATACTGATCCACATCATTCAGTGATGCTTTCGCGATGCTTTTGTCTGGCCGGGAATCTGATGCGACCATTGCACTTAACCTCACTCGCCTCTTAACAACTGAAACTGACCCCATCGTATGGCAAACTCTTCTCCGAGATCTCAGGACTTTGGAATCATATCTCGTCTTCCATCCTGGCTATGGCAAGCTCCTTTCCTACGAACTCAAGCTCTTGCACCAAATAATCCAAAAAGTTGACTGGGAGGACGACGAATCAAAAGCGAATCAAGGCCATTTGATGGCATTGTTGCGAAGCGAGGTGTTGGGTAAAGCCGTCTTTTTGGGAGATTTGGATACCGTTGAAGAAGCGTTATGGTATTTTGCAAAATTGAAAAATGGGACCTCCGTGGAGTTGACTCCGGATGTGTTGGGCGTCGTTTATGATGCTGGGGTCATTTGGGGAAGTGAAGGTATGTGATGAGCACGCGACTAGTCGGGCCGTGATAGTCTTCTCACTACTGACTGTTGGTGATGGAATAGCGGACTATGAGTGGGTGTATAAGTCATACTTGTCTGCTACATCTGCCCAAGAGGAACAGAGGCTGCTGCACGCACTGGCGTCGGCTCGCCAGCCGTACCTCCAACTACGTACTCTGACGCTGGCGCTCTCTGCGCACGTCCGGAAGCAAGACTTGCATAGGTGTGTCCGTTGTTTCCTTTATAATGATGCTTGTGATTCATCATGCTAACGGGTTCAATGCACAGACTCATAGCTCAAGTCTCTGAGCAAAGCCCGGCAGGATATCTGATCACTTGGAACTTTATCCGGGACAACTGGGATGCACTTCTCGCCGTTGAGTCCTCATCAGGGGATTACACCCGTCTCAACAATCTTGTTGGAACTATTGTTGGGAAATTTGCTCAAAAGTCTCTGGTAGAGGATGCTGAGCGATTGTTCGTCAGAAGAGAGGGAGACATTTTTGTTCCTCCTCGGATTGATATTCCTGTCAGCAAGGGACTGGAGAAGGCCAGGCAGCGGGTGCGGTGGGTGGAGGTCTACGGCGACAAAGTTGGGGCATGGTTGGCTGGCGAAGTGGAGTAGAAAGAACAAGCGTAGATAGATGGACAATGTAACATGATTTAACCCTTATTCTATTTACAAGACATGTTGCGCATAGGATCAGCTGACTGTTCCGTTGAGAATACTCTTGACCCTTACAAAGCCCTTATCCGTCTGTAGCGGGACGCCCTTGTACGTTGCTACACCCTCCCCATTTGTGCCCAAATGTGGTTGACAGGCTTCAAAAACCTTACGTTTGGGATTCAAGACCGTGTCTATGGGACCTTGTGGAAATCCTTGTGCATAGACCTTGTCGCCAGGCAGACTTGTAGAAGGCGGCTCGAGCACTTCGACCAATGTCGTATTGAAAGCTGCCAACAGCATCCCTTCTGATCGAATGCCGCGCAGCTTGGCTGGTTTCATGTTACACACCACGACCACATGTTTATTCTAATAACCGCGCGGTATTATAAACAAAAAGCCGCGTATTCAAATCATCCAAAGGCATACCTCTAGATCCTCCACAGCATAAAATCGCTTTAGACCACTTACAATCGTCCTCTCCTTATCCCCTGTATCGATCGTCTCGACATACAGCGCATCTGCGGAAGGATGTGAGGCGACGGAAAGGATTTTACCTACGCGCAGGTCCAGGCGATGAAATTGATCTTCTGCAGGTGTGGATGGGGGAGGAGGCGTTGAAAAATGTCTAGTGCGCGGGAGAGTATTGCGGGAAATATGTGTGCAGACATGTCTTGCACGCTGTAGGATCATGATGGGGGTGGTTAATGTACTTGGACTTGCAGGGATATGAAGGATTGATCTGTTCGATCAAAGTCCTTTGCCCAAAATCGCACTCAAAATGACACCCGAGAAGAAGGTGCATCATGTGACATCCAACTCAACCGCTTAGGTAATGATCTAGTTCTTTCAACTAATGTTTGTTTTAGCCCGTAAATATTAAGATTAACGAAAATACAATATACAAGTTGAAGGAAAGATTCTACGGCAATTGGATGCAAGGCTGTATACAGATAGGATGGGGCTATACGATTACAATTCCTGGATGCAGAACATTTGACGATGGGAATGAAGGAATGAGTCTAGTGAAGATGCATCATGTTCCCTGACGATGCGAAACATGCGCAAACGATATCGAGAACTTTGTGGGTGCAGAAGTAAGAACGGATCTCGACGTCTTGTCATCGCTTCATCTCTTTCAGCTAGAAACGCAAAATGCAACCATATGATTGCCTTAGTAAGACCAGCAGATCCGCCAAGGAGGGTCCGAGACGAACCTTTTTCATGATTTCCTTCTCCTTGGCAGTGTTTGCTCTCCTCTTGAAATACTTCAAATTGTTCGCCACCTTTTCTGAACCATCGTCCTCCTCTTCTAATTGAACTCTGTGACGTAAATCCTCCTTTCTCTTCTTCTCGTCAAGTTCTCGCCGCTTCGCTTCTCGCTTTAGTCTCTCATTCTTCCGAAAGTTTTCTTTATTGAGGACTGGTTTTTTGATACGCTTTGAGGAATCGCTGATACCTGTGTCAGGCGTACTTCGTTTTGGTTTTTGCGAGGTTTGTTTGAGCAGTATATCCTGCCATAGTAAGTGGTGTTAGAGGAATGTGTGCAACAAAACTTACAAAACAGCCTCCATACCAAGGCTTTTCTTGTCAGTTTTTGTGACATTTGGGCCAAGTTCTAGAGTGACCTATCGGTAGTGTGTACTAATGTAAATCGTGGAAGCTCGTCTCAGTTGTTCTGTTGTTCTATTAGCCGATCTGTGGTAAGTCGCAGGAAGTAGAAGATGTCGACAATGCTTTACTTCTACTGTGCTCGACATTTGGACGCTTTCGCCCAAGGCCATACCGTAACCATAGCAACCACGAGGCATCCGAACCTCAACCGAGCATGGAAAGCCTCTGCAAAGCTCCTCGCATATAACATTCACGATAAGCAGCATATCGACAGCGTCATTTCAGCAAGGCAAAATGCTTTGATAGAAGCCGAAAAAAAAAAGTGGGGAAGCTCGGTCACTAGAGACCATTACAAATCGAAGATTTGACTTAAGGAAGCGACCGACGGAGCCCACTTCTGCGGTATCGAACCCATGGCCAACTGAGGGGCTGACCACTGCGACACAACACCACACGATTTGAGCTGCAAACAAACAAATGTCAACGTTGAGTAGGTCCATCTAATGGCTGTTTTGCTCGAAGGCAGAGACAACACTGGCTCACGAGCAGATTCGCGATGGGCCATCACTCCTGGCACTAGTAAGTTTGGCCAAAAAGTGGGAAAGCTCGGTCCCTGTGCTGACCTAATCTGAGGATTTGATAAGAAGGAAGCGACCGACGGAGCCCACTGATGCGGGTGTCGAACCCATGGCCAACTGAGGGGCTGACCACTGCGACACAACACCACCCAAATTGAAGCTACAAACATTAACCTATTAACGTTTAATCATCCATGTGTCATCCAATAGCAGTTTTCCTCTAGCTATCGTTAAAAGAAACCTTGAACGCAGAGACAACATTGGATGAGTGGCTCATGAGCGGATGTGCATAGGTCACTCACGCCTGGCAGTAGCCTTGCCCAAAAAGTGGGTGAGTTCAATCACTCAGAGTCAATCGTGAGTGAAGGAAGCGACTGACGGGGCCCACTCGGATTCGAACGCGTGATCAATCGCCTGGTAAACGCAACTGACCACTACGACACGAGTCACTGATATAATTTTTCTTATTGCGAGCATATTATGCGCATATTCCTCGGCCCATGCAGGCTATTGTTCTTCTCACGACGACAGCCCGCAAGGAGGACTACCGGTATGCGAAAGTTATCCGATTGAATACTAAAGAATTCAAAGGCTGGATGCTGAGCACTTACAATCTCTTCAGACTTTCAACTGGCGGGATGCATTGCAATTCTGGGGATGAACGATGAAGAGAGTCGATTCCAATAGCGCAGAATGCAGCTGGCCATGTCTTTATGCAATTCCCTTGCGGCCATCCACATACCTGCAGCCACACCCACAAAAAACAACTGCAAAACGAAAGGCAAACGCCCAAAGAAACAAGTATCTGCAAAGTGTTCAATATGATGTAAGCGATCAGACATGGGTGATACAGATGAGTCATTATTTCCCAGACAACCCACAACACATCAACCGACCGGAAAGCCCGCACATTTCCATTAATGGTGACGGCTGTCCAAATTGGCACATTTTGACCACTTTTTCCATCTTACTTTTTCGAACGCTCCTTGCACGCTTCCCGACTCACTAAAGGACACAAGTAGAGAGCACACCACAAGTTATTGTCATTCAAGAAGACTCGTTTCGCTTTCTATCGCTGACGGAATTGGCACTCGGTAAACGTGAAAAGCCGTTCGCCCATCCTTGCCGAAAAAAGGACAAACTGCTGCATATCCTATCACCTCTCCCGCATGCAGCGGGCATGTTGCCGCGTCTGTCGCTATTCGATTAGGGGTGCTGTCTTCACATATTCACCGAGAGTTTGGAAGACTTTACCAAAGACATGTCTTTCAAACTCAACTGGCCGACATTTTCGGCAGAGTTTATGGAGAAGGCACAGCAGCAACTGACAATTGCGCTGAACAAGGGGGAGAAGCCTTCCAACATTGTGGGAAAAATAGAGGTCAAAGAATTGAACATGGGAACAAAGGTACAATACGTTGTGCTGTCACTTCTCAATTATGGTTAACCTATATTGGGGTTTGTAGCCGCCAGACTTGGAAATTCTGGAAATTGGCGAACTGCAGGAAGAACGATTTCGTGGAATCTTTAAAATGGCTTATATTGGGGATGCTTACGTGGAGCTGCAAACCAAAGTGCAGGTTGGTACTATTATTGCGGCGGAAGTGCTTGTAGAAAGTAAAATGACTTTTGACGATCATCTAGGCAAACCCTCTTCGAACACCGACTACAACTCTCAAAATAAATAACAGAGGTGGCATTCTTGCTGCGAATTGGCCGCTAGTCGTACCGATGCGTCTTCGCATCAGTAACCTTGTGTTGCGGGGAATCATCGTATTGGTCGTCGACAAGCACAAGGGGGTGACGCTTGTATTTAAAAATGACCCCTTGGAAAAGGTCGATGTCAATTCGACTTTCGACAACATTCCAAACATTCGACGTTTCTTGCAGCTGCAGATCGAGACGCAGTTGAGAAAAATGTTTCAGGAAGATCTACCGGCTCTGATACACAATCTATCCTTGGTTTATTTGCAACAAAAGAATGGCGGATCGACTAACAGTGGACATGCGTGGAATCCATCGAATCAGTCGCCCGCGGAAAACACCCCGAAAGGGCACGTGGAGCACGACGAAATATCCTCCCTGGATAGCGGATATCACAGCGATGAAACTATGGTCGGAAAGCAACCTGAACCACGGACTCAGCGTGAAAAGTGGATTGGAAATGATCCGATAGATGATGACGAGGATGACGATGCTTGGGTTCATGGATACATTTTCTATCGCAATCTCAGTGCCTCATCGGGAGCCGCAGACTATGGACTTAAAAATCTCTCAGTTCCGAAACCACTGCTCAGTGACCGTGTTGTTTCACGCTCGCGGACAGTTGAACGGCCAAATTGGGAATCCATGTCCCATATTGCATTCTCCGATCCGGGACCATATTCTACACCACGCCGGAGATACTCCAACCTCTCCGATCATTCCCTTCATTCCGCAGGCTCTGTATCTAGTCTACGCCACCCTTACATGTCATACGAGTCTTTCTCCACACGGCCACGACTACCCCCTCGAGCGCCGAGCTCAGCATCCCTCGACGTCGATTTCGGTCGAGGCTGGACTGGCGACCATTACGATACCCGATCGCTCAAACCCTCTTTCTCTTCGCATTCAGAGAGCGATTCACGATGGCCCAGCACGGACCTCAATACGCAAGACGATCACAATTCCAATTCCCGCGGACCGGTACAGTTTCCCAGCCGTATTGTTCTGAAACCTACGGACAATCCCCTCGCAGCGCATCTGGCTAACCTGATGAACTCAAATCACACCATATCACCGCATACTCAAAGTGAGGATATCGAACATCTAGCATTTCGTGCGCATCCTGGAAAGAACACAGCTAAGGAGAATGGACTGGTTCCTGCTGGTGGTCCTGGAAGTTCTCAGACTGCATCGAAACGCTCATGGCGAAGTCGCAATGTCATGAAAATCAAACTTCCTCCGGGGGTGGTTGTTCCCCAGGCGTTGATATCTCCTGGGCTCACTGAGAGGATGTTGGAAGCTGGCTTACACCCGCAAACTGGAGCGCCCTTATCTGAAGGTTGTCAGCGAGAGACGAGATGGAGGAAGGCAACATCAGTGAAGAGTGACGGGGCAGCTGAAGCTGACGAACGACGACGCAATACAGGCATAGTACGAACCATGTCAACAGGTGGATTGTCTCGCATGGCTCTCGATAGCCAACAGCATCCCGGTCGGCGACCCTCTCACTCCTCACAGCCCGTCCTTTCCCAGCCTCCATCTCAACGACCACCCTTACCGGGCGACGTCCGATTGAAGCATCGTCGCCCATCATCCCGAAGTACTGTTAGCGAGGACCGAGTATCAATTGATCGACATCGCGTCAGAGGCAGACGAGTGTCTTCGAGCGCGAGCCAGCATGAAGGAATAATACTCGAGGAACCTGGAAGCAGCTTTTGACGAGAAGGCTCTATGGGATTCAATAGTAGTTAGTTTGTAGTGACAGTCGACAAAAACCGCACAGGCTAATACATAGTGTGGAGGTGATTGAAAATGGCACTACATACATACAGAGGACCCATTATTATCCGGATTAATCCGGTTAATCATATCGCATAATCAGAACCCCCATCTATTGCTCAAAGCGGTGTGGCATGCATATAATGTTTTTTTTTAAACTGCGGTGAGGTGCATGCCAAAGGTCTATAAAAGGGGGGCCTTTTGCTCCCTCTTCCCTCTTTCCTCTTTACCCATCCTCGACTCTCTAACCATCTGCGCAACTCTCATCGCGACTCGGTCCAATCATGAGAATGCAGATGTGGTGGTGTCAAGGACCTCGACCGCCCGACAGCAACCGTGATCAGAACCAGCGGCAACCAATCGGATCCCATAACAAAACCTACTATTATGCTGCCACATTAGTTGAGCTTGGTTGGTATGTATCGATGGCATTTCTTGCATTTCTTGTCATCGGGTCATCTTCTGACATGCAGTTTTTTTCTCTAGTCTCCAAGCCTTGTCACTGAAAATCCTACAGCTTGCGAGTCTCCCCAATGTTGCGAAGACTCTGGCTTCAATGCCATCAAGAGTTCTGGATCAAGGCCTAGTAGGGACCGCGTGTGGTGGTGGGCAGTTATCCGGTTAGAACCAACCGTTACGTATTGCGTGTATAATTGTCTAGTAGTAGCTTAGTTAGCTTTTCCGAACCGGTTGTCGCTGGTTTATTCCCTGGTGTAGTAGCTAGTGCCAGTTTCTGTCACCTCTACACTATTACATGAAGCATGATTTAATTGCCATTACCATGGCAACAATGTGACAAAGTGAAATCCAGCAATTGTGAGTTTGGTTGGCCAGTAGTAGAATCCGCAGATCCCGTCGCGCAAGCTTGAGAACGACGGTTTTTGCCATCGCCTTTGTTGCCTTTCAATGTTATATTTTAGGAGCATCAGAGCAAGTCGGCCGGCCGCTCATTTACTCGGCAAACGTTGTCTCATGACTGCTTCCGGTCGCGGCCGGGCAACGACTACACCCAATCACAGCTCACACGCCGCCCGACGGGTGATGGGTTTGTCGAGCCATCTGAGATCCACTGACTTGCCAAATTCAGGGGGAGTAGCAACGGTATGCTCAGGTGCGGATGTTTCCTGTGAGGGATCTGGTGCTAATAGATTGAACTATGGACAGATGGCAACTTCTTCAAGCTCCTCAGGACAGGTCGAGGTCCGACACCAGAAGATGCAGTCTGTGCGACTGTTCCTGCTGAATCGTCCTAAGAGCTTGAATGTCCTCAACCGAAGCATGGTGAACAACATCGTGCCTCAACTTCAGGTGCTCAAGCTACTGTTGCAAGCATGTGGTTTTCAAGTCCTAATTCCTTGATTAGGTGTGGGAAGAATCAAACCTGTGCAAAGTCATTGTGTTGACGAGCGTGGAAGGACGGGCGTTTTGTGCAGGTGGCGATGTCAAGGCTCTAATTACGGGTGCTTTGTCGGGGAAACCTGAGGATCTGGCAGAGGCGCTCAAGTTTTTTGAGGAGGAGTATCAATTGAACCATCTGATTGGAACATTGAAGAAGCCGTTCATTAGTATCATGAATGGGATTACAAGTGGGTTTTGTGGAGAGTTTGTCATTTGTTGCAAAGACACCAATTTATGATTTGCGCTCAACAGTGGGCGGAGGTGTTGGGTTATCGGTTCACGCACCTTTCCGAATTGCTACCGAGAACACTTTGTTTGCGATGCCAGAAACTGGCATTGGGTTGTTCCCAGATGTCGGTGGTAGTTTCTTTTTGCCGAGGTTGGATGGAGAGCTGGGCACATTTTTGGGATTGACGGGGTGGAGGTTGAAGGGGGAGGAAGTATTGTGAGTACTTTTTTGACCACGTTCTGGGAATTTGGAAGTGTGGCGTAGATTGACCGTGGATTTGCTTGTGTGGAAAAAGTCAGGCTGGCATTGCAACGCATTTTATTCCCTCTGCACGATTGCCATCTCTCATGTCTCGTCTTGCCGAATTGGAGACAGATGAGCTGGATGTAATCAATGGTATCCTGGAGGAATTTGTTGGTAAGTTGTGGCAGCTATTCTTTGGATGCTATAGGCGTGGAATTCAAAGATTCTTTTTTTCTGTATCAAAGGCGACATCGAACCTTCAAAATGGAATACATGGAGCCTAGGCGGACAGATTGGAAATGCCATTGACCGGTCAGTTGTAGCTGAGCCGATCTGCTAATAATGTTATCATTGACGATGTCAACAGATGTTTCAAATTCAACACCATCGAGGAAATCATTTCTGCCTTAGAAAACGAGGCATGTATCCTCCCTGACTGATAAATATTTGATTCTACTGTCTAATGTCACGATCGACTATTTAGAATACACCGTGGGCTGGTGAAGTTTTGGAAGAGTTGAAGAAGATGTCACCGACCAGTCTTAAGGTACATACCTTTTTGTATGGATATCCTAAGATGCCCCTCCCTGACGAAATTAACCTGGTATTATTGTAGGTAACTCTTCAACAACTACGGAACGGGAGAAAGCTAGATCTTGCGTCCTGCTTCCGAATGGAGTATAACATGGCCCGAGAATTCCTGGTAGGAATACACGCGAGGGTAGGATGAGCTTCAGAGCACTGATCAACGGGCACCATGCATTTAGGATACACCCGACTTCTATGAAGGTGTCCGCGCCAAATTGATTGACAAACCCCCCAGAACTCCTAAATGGCAGCCGCCATGGGAAGAGATGTCCCAGCTCTCTCCGAGCATTGTTCAACGTTACTTCACTCCGGCAGCCCCTAGTCCAAGATCTGTGCCAAAAAACAGGTTCGTTGCATGTTATTTTCTGTGGCTTGGCATCAGCGTTTCCTGATGGTCGGCCGGTAAGCAGTAGGATACCTTCGGAGAAGTTGCGCTTCTTGACCTCCTTAACTTATCATGACTACCCCCATCGAACGCTGTCCGGACTCCCAAGCGTTCATGATATTTATCGCGTTGTAATAGGTCAGTTTCATTGTCCTATAGTCCCTCGAATATAACGTTGACATGACGTACAACCCGCCAGGAGAGGGCCGAAGAGGTCAGTCCCTCGCCGCCCCACAGACGAAAGAAGAGGTCGTCGAATGGCTCGAACAAAACTGGGGGGCATATGATTCCGGAGTCATCGGCTCGGAGCGACAGATGCTTCCCCAGATTGTGACCATTGAAGGAGGGTTCGGACGGGGAAAAGCGGGTTTGAGAGAAAAAGTTCTGTCAGTTTTGGACCGGTATGTTGAGGAGGTTAGCAAACCAGGTGTGCAGAAACGATTGGAATGGAAGGGACCTAAATAGGACGGTTCTGAGAGGTTGACGTAAGGGGCGATAGACGGGCTTTCCTATCTAGTGATGGGGAAGCGAGGGTGCGTTTTCATTATATACACTTTCTTTTCAGACATGAATAAAAAACGTCATCGTTTGCACTTTCACAGTATCAGCGTGCCTAATGCTACTCATCATCAGCGGGCCTGGCGTATATTGGGCTAAAGGCATAGAATGCGGCGCTACAGCCAGCAGAAACAACTGAAAATATGGTTGACAGGACGGCAAAGGCAATCCGTGCGTGATACGTCTTATCTACCTATCATGGAAACAAGAGCGCATGAGCACCAGTTACCGTATCGCTAAACAGCTTTACTGGAGTAGTCAGTGGACCATACCACTTCAGCCTCCTGCACCACGTAACCCACAGGAACCTTTGGCAGATATCTCAAAGTCAGAACGACTACCCCAAATACAGTGGCAGAGACAAGCGTGACGATAGATGTCCGTGAAACATTCCCGCTCGACGTTTTAGCAAATCTACCCCCGAATTTTTATTACAATACCATCATACGGTTGATAATGACGCTGATACTCACGCACTACTGATCAAGAACGCAATAATACATGTCCCGCCTAGGAGAAGTGTAGTAAAGAGGGCCCAGCCAATGTTCAAGATACGTGGCGAGGGTAGCGTCGTTGCTTGCGCAGCTACTGGGGGTGCTTGGAAAACGAGTAGTAGGAGGAGAACCACGAGGGAAAAGTGCTGAGAGTGATGCATGCTAACAAACAGTTGTATAATGACCAAGGTAAAAAGAAACGGAAAAGAGGATGATCGCCGACCGGACGCGTTGATTCGTAAGCCGTCCGCAGTCTTTGGGAGTGTGAAACCAGCTTGCACTCTTCTCATTCCCCCATGACATCCCGCGACGATTTCCGACCCGACCTTCCGCCCGAGCTCCTGACGCACATTCTAACCTTTCTCATTCCCACACCTCCGCGCCATCCACCAATCTGGGATGTCCCGTCAAGCAAAAACAGTCGAAATAACGTGGCACACATTCTCTTTCCTTTCCTCCTAGTCAACTCGGCATGGTTTCACGCTACATCCAAACTATATTGGAGAACTCAAGTCTGCGACTCAGGTCCGAAGACCGAGTGGGCGTTGAGGGTTCTTCGGTGGTCGAAACATGGGGAAACCTTGGGAACATACCATGCACACCTTCGTGAATTGCATGTGGGTGAACGTACACCCAGGCCTGCTCGCGAGTCCCCACTCAACTGGAAGGTCTCAATGGACGTTGTCGTCAAACTGATTCGAATATCCGCATTAACGCTGACGAGGTTATGTGTTTCAGAGGCACGAGTACAGGGTGACTGGGAAGGACGGAAAAAGGATTCAATGTCGACTGTATGGGAATGTGTTTTGGGGATTGAGATGCCCTGTTTGAAGAGCTTCAAGTTGGTAACGACTTGCTCGGATATGGTTTTGAGACAGAGTGCAAGTCATAGAATACAAAGGCGGTCGGAACCTCTTGGGATTATAGATCTGGAACTGACAAACCTCGCTGGGATGATCTCGGATGAAACCATCATTGGCATTATTACCATCATGCCACACCTCCGCACTCTCTTCCTGTCCCGTACCTCGGCAACGGATGTTGCTCTAACAGCGCTTTCAACAACCTGCGGTCAGTCGCTACGTCACCTCTCGTTACACGCCGCTGGGTCCGTTCAAACAGAGTCCCTCAAATCCTTTTTGGAACATACACCCAATCTCCGCACTCTAAATATTCCGAAAATATCTCCAATTGCCCAATCTCTTTCGTCACCTTTTGATCCATCCGTTACTCGCCTCGCATGGTCCGATGACCTCCTCTTATCCCTCGGTGAATCCTGTCCGCATTTATCGACACTCGATCTGGACATGTGGAACATTACACCCCCAACACTTGAAAAAAGTCTTCAGAAACTTCCTATAGAGAATCTCAGGCTCTATAAACTTGGGACGCCCTTGCAAACCCTTCCTTCTCTCCCGCATACCCTAAGAATGTTTATCGCCCATTATACACATCTAGCATCCTCCATTGAATCGGTTAATCAGAGTATGGGGATTCTTGCCGGGTTGCCAAATTTAACCTATCTGAATGTGACGGATAGAGTGAGGAGACATAAAAAGGAGTTGGGGACTGCATTTATCGTTCGTGTCGCATTCTCATTACCGAGTGTTGAATTTGTTATTGGCCATGAGTGTGGGGGAGATGCTTTTGGTGAGTATGCCAAATCCTGGGGATTTGAGAGAAACGGGGTAGTATATGATAAAGACGGGCTGGAGATGGTGAGGAAGTATATCAGTGCCTATTTTCCGGGTGTGGATGGTACCAGATCCGTAGGGAGGGAGGAAGCTAGGGATATTGTCAGAGAGATGGCGGCGGCAACTGACGAAGTGGAGTAAATGTGTTAACAGATCAACCTGCTCCAAACATGACTGAAAATCATCACCTTGGCACACAAGAATATATCAGAAGAGGTCAATTCTTTTATTTGTTCAAAAAATCAAATTTCATTTTCCCATTCATCTCTACAAATGATGTTCTTTGCTACATTCTTCTTCAAGTCAAAACCTAGGTCTCACAACTACGAAAACCTCTATCTCAAAAAACAAAATCATAAAAGTTCCCTTACGGGAATCACACACACACACAAACAATCAAACACTCATAGAAATATCAACAGCTCCTTTCTACAATACTCTACAGTTTTTTGTTCGAGCTCAGCTCTTCTTCAACTCTACCATCGTCTAGTTTTTGTAAACGACCCTACGCTTCAAACGACGCCCAGTGATGGCTGGGGCCGTAGTCGTAGCGGCTGCCGCGGCGGGCTGCGCGGATTGCGCTGATGGAGCAGGAGCGGGAGCGCTTCGAACTGGTGCAGGCGCTGCACTAGTCGCAGCTGGTGCAGCCGAAGGAGTCGCAGATGGAAGCGCTGAGGTGACGGGGATAGCGCTAGTGACGGCGGTACTGCTGGGAACAGTCGCATTGTTGGGCGTCAAACTGAAATTAGCAGGGACGTTGAAAGGATCCAGTCCGTAATCAGCAAGACTGAGTTGAGGTGTACCGGCCGCCATAAAGTTTGCACCGCCCAACTGTGGAGGACCAATTCTGACTTGCTGAGGTATACCCCCGAGAATCTTGTTTGCTTCGTCAACCAAAGGCTTGATGAAGGGTAGGTTCTCAAAGTTGATGAAAGGCAAGTTGAGGGCCTTGCCGAATAGATCGATCGACGTCTTGGTCAACAAGGCCGCAAGAATTGGAAGAAGAGAGTTACCCAAGAACCGTTCCGTGAAAACAATGGACATGGCTTGAGTGAACCAGGTGATCGGCTGGTTGTTCTTATCAAGGACCACGATCGCCAACGAGTACGCTTTCGGGTTGAACAGGTTTTTGATCATGTCAAAGAACTCAGTGATCGCCTTGAGCGGGTTCAAAATGTTGGTAATCGTGTCTCGGATGATCGTCTTGATGTCGAAAGGCAAAAGGACAGAAAGAACAAAGTTCCGGGTACCCTTTGTCGCACCACCTTCGGGAGCATTGAGAATCTCCGCTTTACCATTGGTAGCCAGGCGAATGAGATCCTTGCCGCCGTTTTTGACATCAATACGGGCAGTACCAATATCAAGATGGAAGGACCAGTAGTTGGGCCACCAGAGCTCAACACCGAACGGCAATGGCGCCAATCCTTCTGACTGGATCGGTTTGACGGGAACGGGAAGGTTAACGTGAAGCGGCTCCCAGAATGTGAGATCGGGACAAAGCATGGCAAGTTGGTCCATCGGGTCGAATGTCGCCCCACTGCTCCCTTGAATCTTTGCGTAACCCATGTAAGCATGTTGAGAAAAGGACTTCCAAGTGAACAGGTACTGCAACGCTTCGTAGAGTGGTTCGATAAGACCGGTCTGAGGGTTGACATCCGTGATAATGGCAATCTTAAAGTATAAAACTCCTTTGCTGTCCAATTTCATGTCCCAAATCTCAATGTCCGAAACGTGGTAGAGAGGTTCCTTTCCGCCAACCTTGTAGTTAATTTGCGCAAGGACCTTTTGGAACTTCAAGTTGAGCGGAAGCGTGGCATTGAGAGGAATGAACACCTCGGCGTCGAAACCACGTTGAGACATCTCCGCTTGGATTCGGTAAATTTCAATGACATTGGCGTCCATACTCTTTTTGAGACTGTTGAAAATGGGTTCCGTCTGGATCGTTGCGGCAACCTTGGAAAGAATCTTGAATGGACGATCGCGCGTACCAAACAAGATATTTTTGACTGTTGCCGAGTAGACCATGGCACTGTAGGGCCGGTGGAATACCAAATCACCGAAAATGGGTCCAAACTTGCCGACCAGGACAGCATCCTTGAGCATCTTGATACCAACATGTCCACCCAACTGTCCGTCTTTGAGGGCAATGTTTTCCACCAAGGGGAAGACAAAGTCACGGTTGTCGATAGCGACGCCAAGCTCTGCGTAGGGGAGGTTGAGACCGAACTGACCATTGTTGGGAGAGTGACCGGCAATGTTAATGGACAACGAGTCTTGACTGACGGCATCCACATCGATTCCATCCAAGCCCCATCCCGCAGGCAACTTCATTGACATCAAATTGGAAATGATAGGCTCAAGGATCTTCTTGGCAGCATCGATGAAAGGTTGAATCTTTGTTCCAATAAGTGCCTTGGAAAACGTATCAATGCTGTCGCCCTTGCTCACACCAAACACCAGTTGAGAAACACCGGCTGTATCGTCCGTAGCCGTACCAGCAAGAACATGGTTAACAATATTGGCGATAATATCGGCAATTTCGTCCGTGTCATTAATGTTCATTTCCAATAGAAGGGCGAGACCAAGTGCTCCACCATTACTCTTAATCTTGACACCATTTGCTAGTTCCACACCCGCCAACCTGCGTTAAAAGAAACCCCATCAGCATATATGACACGAAAAAAATCTGATCCTCTTTGATGACACTCACTGTTTGCCATTCAAAGCCACTCCAGTCGACACATATCCAAGATCAATATCAGCATTCAGCGTCAAATTCTTCAACCCGATATCAACATCCGCGATAATCTTTCCAGGTTGTCCAAGATCAAGAATAGCTCTACGCAGGTCAATCATACTCATGAGAACTTCTGGAGTCATCTTGCTAAAGTCGATGCCAATCAAGCTGCCAACAAGAGAGAGGAGACTACCAGAGTCTTGGCCACTACCGCCCAAGAGGGTTTTGGCTGCAACACCAACCCGAGCCTTGCTGAGAGCCTTGATCGAGTCCTCTTGGCTGACTCCAAGCACAATCTTGGCAAAGACCAACCGTTGGGCCATATTGGCAGGATTCTTGAGCATGTCGTCAAAGAATCTTGCAACAATATCCTGCACATCATTACTGGCGGGGAAGTGCAAGTCGGCTCCAATGTTGATATTGTTTGCACCAGGTGCAATGCTCAGACCCGTGATACTAGCGTCAAACACATCCGGCGCAGCCTTATCAGACTCATCAATAGCAAAGCTGAGGGCAAAGTAATTCAATCCCTTGATCGTGAACGGGAAGTTGCTACTGAATCCAGCCGAAACACCAGCATGGATCTTGCGTCCAGCTTCCGTCTTGGCAACAATGTTCGAGAGACGAAGTCCAAGAGCTTTGATCAAGTCTGCAGGGTTACCAATGTTGATTCCACCCGTGATGCCACGGAGCATACCCAAGAGTGTATCGAACGGAATAGGGATCTTGGCCTTGCTAAAGGCACGGAGGTAATTGTCCGCACTGGCACCAACCCCAAGTCCATCGAGTATCAAATTGCCTTGAATACTGCCCTGCCTCAAAATCACATCGAACAAGACAGCAAGCTTCATGGCCAGTTCCTCAGAGTCGTGTATCTTCAGACCCATACCAAGTGCCAACGCCGAACTGGTACCGTTCGTACCAGCCGTTGTCTTCAATCCAGTCATCTTCAAGTCCATAGCCGCCGTACGGTCCAATCCAAGGTTAACAGCGAAATAGGGGATATCAAGAGTGAGAGGGAATCCGAGCTGGACGTTGAGACCAATACCAATGTCGATAGCCTGGGCCGGTTTGAACTCAACATCGCCCTTGGTGATGGCAAGGTGAGCATCTCCAATAATTGGGTTCTTGACATCAATAGCAATGACTCCTTGGGGAGTCACAGAGATAGTGAACGATGTTTGACCAAGGTTGATACCGGCAAGTAGAGGCTGCAAGACAGGGTCGAGTCTCACAGGAATGACACATTGGCTCAAAGCCTACACGACCAAAAACACAAGTCAAAATCAATAAGAATCTCAAAACACAGACCACTCTGTTATCCAAAAACTCACCGCAATGGCATCGCTGGGAGTTGCACCAGCAACAAGTCCACCAAGCTGTAATTCTCCAGGGAACCGCTTGGTCGTAGCGTATTGCATCACATAGTCCGCAACCATCTCAGCCAATTTATCCGAGTCTTGCACTTTAACGTTGGCGTCCAATCCAAATTCCATAGCTTTGGTCAATGATACACCCGTCATCGTCATATCCACCAATGGGACCTTGTCCATCTTGACATCACCAGCGCGCACATATGGTACATTGGCGGCCAGCTTGATGGGTAAGTTCAGACCAGGAAGAACAGCACCGAGGCCAAGGTTGAGGAGATTGTCCGGGGTGAAACCAGCCAGCAAGCGACGGATCTGAATGGCGGACAAGTTTCCGGATTGGATAATGTTGCCAAGAAGCTTGCCAATGTCGAACCGGTCGGACCCGACAAACGTGTCCAATGGGATAGCTGCATTGATTCCGCTAAAGGCCTCAATCTAGAAAAAAAAAACAACAAAAAAATGCTCAGAAATACCGCAAACGATCCTCCACGCAATATGCAAAAATTCAACATACCACATCCGTCTGACTGAACCCAAACTGCAAGTTACTAATTCCAGCAGTACTATCCAACTTGCCGCCCCCAAAGTAATTGTTCACAGCCTTGGCAAGCGCAGCGGGGGTACTATCATTCTCAATGATTTGAATGCTCGTGTTCAAAGCGAGATTGACAACTCCATTGTTTGGTGCAATAGTCACTGGCAGTCCAGCGCGAGCCAATGGAGCATTGTTGACACTAACATCCGCTCCGGCCCACCCGGCCTTGACGAGAACGTTGAAGCCAAGTTTCACACCTGCTACACCGTCCACGCGGATCACCTTGTTGGGAAGGATACCGACGGCCAAATCACCGGTCAAATCACTAAAGCTAAAGAAATTGCTGCCCTTGAGGGTCTCGCCCAGAGGAATCTTGATACCGAGACCAGGAAGAATGGTATCCAGCTTTAATGGTGCATCAATCTTGGAGAAAGCAGTAATGACATCCGTGGCACTGAATCCAATGGCAACCTTGCGGAGATTCATGATGGCAGGGTCCTCTTTGCCACTCAAGATGTGGTTCACGACATTGTTCAATTGAGTTTTGATACCTTCACCCCCGTAAAACTGGATAGTCGTGTTGACATCCAAATTACTAGCGCCGTCCTGACCAGCCGCAATCTTGACCGGTAAAGCCATAGACAAGAGCGTCTCAGAGTTCATTCCAACTTCAGTGGCAAGGTGGGGAAGGTTCAGGTTGACACGGAACGGAAGCGTGAAGCCAGCCTTGGCTCCAACCGCAAGTCGCTGCGTCGGCAAGGTTTCCAAACTCACATCGGCAATCTTGGCATTCAACTTTCCAGCAACCTGGCCGAGTTCGATAGGGACCTTCATGCCAGCCAACGCAAGAACTTGAGCCAATTTCACCTTGGCATCAACCTTGTTCAACACTGTCAAGTAGTCCGTTTGAGAGAAGCCGAATTTGATTCTGTTCAACCCAGCACGTCCGTTAAGTTCAGGGCCGTTCAAAGCCTCAGTAACAATGGTAGAGATATCGGTTTGCGTCGCTTCGGTATCAATAAACTGCAAAACGGTAGCCAAGTTGATCGTTTTTCCGCCAAGAGCCAGATTGGCCAACGAAAAAGTAACCAAGTCATTCACGTTTCCACTATTTTGCGCCGAGACGCCAACAAACGAACTCAAGTACCCAATCTTGGCCGAAATATCAAAAGGAAGACCCAAATCAACCGCAGCCGAGACGTTCAGAGATTTGTTGGGCACAGCACCAACATCGACCGTTCCGCCTCCAAGAACGACACTACCAAACTTGCTGAGATCAAGAGGGAAGGACACCAACCCACTCGTCAAATCATCCAATCCAAGACTAATCTTTGCTTTAGCCAAAACGGTAATCACATCCGCATCAGATGCCGATGACCCAAAGACGAGACCGTCAACGCCAGCAGACATGTCCAATCGGTTCGAGTTCAACGCCCGATCAACAAGACTAGCCACATTCTCCTGTGTCTGCTCATTGTCGATGAAGACAAGGTTGGTCGATATGTTCAAGTTGTTGCGCTTGTCACCCAAGGAAGTTAGAGCAAGAGGTTGCGTCAAGGCGAGACGGAGCAAAGGAGCTTCGCCAACAGTAGCGCGAGTAAAAAAGTATCCAGTCTTGAAGGTCAGACTGATGGGTAGAGGCATCGTGAACCCAAGGTTCGCTCTCGCGGCAATAGTGTTCTGAGGCGCAGTCTCCACTCCAACGTTGGCAACCTTGAGATCCAAGTTGGACGCCACTTGACCAAACTTTAGAGGAAGTTGCACGCCCATTTGGTTCAAAAGACGAGTCAGATCCAAACGAATGGCAACCTTGTTGAACGCAGTGATCTAAAAACCACCCTAGTTAGCCAACCCTATCATGATATCGAAAATCGCAGATACTACACACAAATAACGTACCAAATCCGTAGCAGAATAACCAATCTGAATACCCTTTGCACCAAAAGCACTGTCAATAGCATTCGCACCCAAAGCCTGACTAACAATCTTTGCAACTTCTTCTTGAGTGGCAGTCGTATCCGTGAAATGCAAGTCCGCATTCAAGTTGACCCGCTTCGTCCCATTGGTGGTATCCATGACCAAACCACCCGGAAGAGCAAGATCCAAAAGCGGGTATCCATCCTGACCGAGCGGTACCTTGCCAAGGTCAGCCTTGGCCGCAACGTGGCCGATACTGAGATCAACCGGGAACGGGAGAGGGAGATTGAAGTCGGGTCCGGCTGTAGCTACAATTCGGCGTCCAGGTTGCGTCTCAACGTTGACGGTACCGAGGTTCTTGACAGAGTTGGCGAGCTGGGTAATATCCATAGGAATGGAGAACCCAACAGCTTTGATGAGGGTAGCAATATCCAGGTTGACATCCACCTTGTTCAAAACAGTCAACTAATAACAGAAAAGTCAGCCAAAATCAAGAGAAACAAATATCCAAAAAAAAAAACCACACTCACCCTATCACCCTCATTGGCACTGTTACCAACAAAGACCTTGTTGATACCAGCTGTCGCCCCATTAAGGTCACCAGAAAAGACAAACCCATCCACAATGCTCGCCAAAGCCGTCTGCGTCGCATCCGTGTCGGTAAACGTCATACCAGCCTCAAGGTTCAAAGCCGCCCGACTGTTGTTGGTTGCAATCGATATTCCTTTACCAACAACCACATCGGCAAGTGGGTCACGGTTGACCTTGGCGCTCAATGCGGCATAACCGAGTCGCAGACTGACAGGGAATGGGAGGTTGAAATCGGCATTAGCACCCAACTCCATACTCTTTGCAGGCGCGGTGTGAGCCTTCACACGGTGGATTTGGGCATTAAGAGCAGAGATGGCGCCTCCAATGCTGAACGGCAGTTGAATACCCATGACACCCAAACCACGCTCAAGGTCAGCGGGAATCTCAACTCGGCTCAAAGCGGTAATAAGATCGCCCTGGTTTGCTCCAATGGCCAACTTGCTTAAACCAATGACAGCACCCAAATGCTGACCAGTCATAAAGTTGTTGACAAGCTGCGCAACCGTGTCCTGCGTCGCTTCATTGTCGGTAAGCTTGAGCTCGGTGTTGAGATTCAAACGAGTGGTCGGACCCGTAGCATCAAGAACCAATCCGCTAGGCAACAAAAAGTCGAGAAGTGGGTGGGTGTTCAATCCGACAAAAGCACCAACGTATCCAATGTTTGCCGCAATCTTGAAAGGCGCTTGGATACCCATATCCACAACGACACCCAAGTTGTTCCCAGGTCGGGTTTCGAGTGTCGCACCGCCAAGTGCAGGTTTCATGCCGACAAGAAGAGAGAATATATCGCTCGGTCCATCTACTGCAATCAATGCATCCAAAGGTATACTGAGCCGCACTTTGCTCAAGGCTTGAATCTGGTCTCCAGCACTGTACCCGAGTCCCAAAGCTCCAAGGTCGATAGAAGTGTCCAGACTTGAGCCAGCGAAAAAGTTTGCCACCAAGTTACCGACAGCAATTTGAGCAGGCTCATCATCCTCGAATGGAATCGCCGTGTTTAGGGCAACATCGCTTGTTCCACCAGCACCGTTAGCCGCAACCTTGACACCAGTCGGCAAAAAGAGACCCAGGAGGGGGTTAGCGTTGATACCAACTTTGGACGCAAAATAACCAACGTTCAAAGACAATGCAAAGGGAAGCTTCAAGCCAACATTTGCATTCAACCCAAGTGTCTTTTGCGGGAGTGTGTCAACCTTTATCACACCAGTCAACACATTCGACATGCTGCTCATGAGCTCATTGACATGAAGAGGTAATTTGATCGGTAACATGCTCACAACCGTGTTGATGATCGTTTTCGTGTCCATCCCATCCGTAATGGGACTCAAATCGGCATCAACGGCGCTCAACAAATCGTTGATGTCCTGAGCGCTTGATCCAAAGTACAACGTCTTGACATTGACACTAGGTGCAATATGACCCGCAATAAAGTTGTCCACAAATTCCGCAACCTTGTCGGGGATGCTTCCATCAGTTTGATCAAACACCATCATCAGTTTGGGTGCAATCACACCTTGTCCGCGGACAAGGGTAATATCCGTTACTTGGACAGTAACAAGGTTAGAGCCACCGAGTCCGGCAGTCAATTGGAAGAATGGAACCTTGGCAGCAAGGGCGAGCGGATTGACGTATCCTGCTGCGACTGCAGCTCCGAGAGTGGCACCAGGAAGGGTATCCAGCGACGCCGAATTGAGATCAATGTTGAGCTTGCTAAGAATGTCGGCGCTAGGAAGCAAGCCAGACATATCGATCGGGGACGTATCGGGATGCGCAAGGGGATTGATCTCGTTGATCAAATCAGCGGGAGCAACAATCTTTACCGGCTTCAATTGATCAATGACCGCACCTCCGACCTGGCCACGAGCACCAGGAGGCGACAGAACGAGGCTGGTAATTCCAAACAAGGCCGTAATGTCCTGTTTCTGTAATACTTGGTTCACAAGGAGAGCAATCTTTTCTGCCATGCCACCCGCACCGGTCGCAACACCCGCCGTTAGTTTGATATCAAGACCACCAGGTCCAGAAACCAATTTCAACGGAGGAAGCGCCAAGCTCAATAATCGACCATCGTCAAGCAAAACATCAAGGTCAATGTTGCCCAGCGACATGGAAATATTGAAAGGGTTGTTGACATCGGCAGCGAGACCAAGAGCCAATTCAGTCGATTTGACAATTTCGAGATCCGCACCCGTCACCTTGACCAATCCAGGTTTCAAGATGGACGTTTTCAATCCCGTCATCACGCGGTTCACCAAATCCTTCAAATTAGCCGTACTCAACTCGATGGCAATCTTGGAAAACGTGACAAAAGAGGCATTGGCCGAAGGACCAAACATCAAGTTTGTAATACCCGCCGAAGAAGGTATCGACCCATCTTTTAAGAGCGAGTCCACCAAATTCTGAAGCTTGGCCGGAAGTTCGGGGGTCCGTGACAAGACTGCTTGAGCATTCAAAGCCATAGGGCCCGTATTGGGAATAAGTTTCAATCCCGTAGGCAGACCCACGGACGCAGCTTGGACTTTTTCAACTGCCAAATCCAACGACGCATATCCGATATCCAGGGATAGCTCAGGAAGGGTGGGTGGGAACTGAATGTTGGCTGAACCTTGTGCAGAGAAACCAGGCGCGTTGAGCAGCTGGTCAATGGCGAGAGAATTGATGCTGAGGGGAATCTCCGTTCCATTCTTGGTCACCAGATCAACGATACATGGGAGACAGATCACGGTAGGGAGTGGAACCTTGATGGTTGAGTCCTTGAACAGCATGTTGCTCCATTGGAAGGGCTGTTGACCAGCGGCAAAAAAGGAGAGCGACTTGAGATCAATACTGGATGGTTGAGGAACAGCAGCCAAGATCGGGTTCAAAGCCGTAGCGAGTGCTTCAGCAGCAGGCATCGAGTTCTCGGGGTGAATGACAACGGTCGTTTGAATCTTCATGTCATTATCGCTCGTCAAGACCGTGATGGGGTAAAGATCCAATCCCAGAGTCTTTTGCGCTCCACCGTAGAGGGCAGCAGATACATTGTACTTTATCTCAACCTTTTCTGGCAATGGTAAGATACGAGCAAGTCCAATCGTAACGGGTGCGATAATGCGATCCGACAATACGTTCGCCGCAAGTTTGGTGTTGCCAACGAGTTCTGCAACACCGCGAAGTGTCAAAATGTCTCGGATTTTGGGAAACTGGAGGGCGTCTAAAAGTTCCTTCATGGGGAGGTACAAAGCCAACGGGCTGGTGATGGTCTCCACCCAGTCACCATGGGCAATTCGGACGGGACCCGCCACGGCAACCTTTAAATCCTCATAGTTGCCAGTAGCCAACAACCTATCCAAGACAGCGGAGATGGTCTTACTGACACCATCGGGCGTAATCGCCGGGTCATCAAAGGTGATATCAGCCGTCAACTGGAGTTCTTGCAGCGACTGTTCCAAAGAGAGTTCACGGACATTGCAGCGAGCAACGACTTGTTCCTCGACTGCTATACCAAATGACAACCCACGGATATCACCAATAGTAACACGAGTGGGATTCTCGAGCCAGAGCGTCGCATTGACGGTGACACCCTTATCGTTCATCTCAAGGGCCAGAGCGTCAATCTTGATTTCTGGGAATCCAATATCGGTGAGAAGGCTAATGAGGTCTTTGGCAGCAAAACGCTGCCGAATCAAAGAATCTAGTTGAAAAAAGAAAAAACAAGCATATTAAAATCTTTTTTTTCCATGTCGAGTCGAGATTGCTTGCGGTTGACACTTACTCATATTTTGGGCTTTCAAGAAACTTGGCATGGACTTTAAGAGCGACTTGAGGTTGGAGTCAATACCATTGATCTTTCCCAGGTTAAGGTACAAGGGCAATCCTTTGTAAAAAGTAATACCAAACATCTTGATGGGGAACTTTCCACGAATCTGGAATTCAAAGTCGTTCAATCCCTTTGTCGAGAACAGCTCTACAAGTTTTGCCGTTTCTTCTGGGTTACAGTGGTCCAAACTGACGTATCCCGACATGTCCACCTTGAGCGGTTTGTTCAGCGTGATGGGAAGGTTTGGAATGTGAACATTCACCAAGCCATTCTTTTCATCGCCTCGTTTATGAACCTGAACATCGGTTTCGCCAATTTCGACTGTGATGGGCAACCAAAAGGGGGCGGGCATAGATGCCTTGACGGCAAAAGCCACATTCTCTGGAGAAAAGTTGCTCACGACCATCTTTTGTAGATCGAGGTTATCCAACTTTTGGTTGTTGAGTTGAGATTGGACCATACTGGGGATAAAGATGAAGTAGGTCAGGGGACCGAATACGATCATGAGGAATAGGAATCCGATTAGGATATGGAGGAGGATGAATTGCCATCGCTTGAATCGACCACCACAGTATTTCGGAGTACGCCGTTGTTTATCCGAAAGGTTTGGGGTTTTATAATCGTATACAGGCTACGTATGAACAAAAGTGCAATGGCAATGATGAGATGAACATGCTGCTGCAACCAACCATCATCAAATGTACATTACCTTGTACCAAGACAGAATCCGTCCAGCCAGTGTTAGCTTTGGACTCTTGGTAGAGTAGACATCATCCGCAGCCCGGTACAACATGGCCTCTGGATCGTACTCGTCATCATCCTCCTTTGATTTGTAGGTACGAGTATCGGTGGTAGAAGCATAGGCAGACACGGCCTGGTATTCCCGTTCATGCTTTGACACCTCGTCGTCTTCAAATTCGGGTTGTGACAAGAATCCAGGAGCGTGTTCCTCGCTAGGGGTAGATGGAGCGGGATCGTATCGATCGTAGACAGCAGCCATTATTATAGAATATTAAAAAGACTAGTAGTAAGTATCTATGAGTCTATTTGTATGAGATTAAGAAAGGTATCAGCGTGCGTCCATTCGTAGTGGTTTTTGATGGGGGATAGAGAGGGAATCGGTAAAGAAGAGTGGAAGGAGACCAGCTCACTTCGATACAGGCAAGAATTCAACAAAAGGGTTGAATCTGTAGCGAGTTCCCTTTTGAATGAATGCAAGAGAGCCTGCGACAATGAACCAGCAAGCAACAAATCAAAGAACAAGGAAGGAGGAGGGAAGAATTCAGATCCCCTCTAAAAAGCCCGTCTGTTCTGTTGTTATTTTACAAACACACTCTTACAACAACATCTTCTCTTTCTATTCTAAAAACTCTCTCTCTCTCTCTCTCTTTCGTCAGCCAACTCTTCTCAAAACGGTTCAACAACTCCCTCCCAAAACAGTCTAAATGAAGGTCACTTAAGAGAAAAAGTCAAATGGGGGGAGAGAAGAAAAATGAGCAAATTAGATGTGAAATTTAAAGAGTTTTCTCTTCTTGTTCTCAGCAGATGCCGTCGTCACGGGGGGAGTTTAGAAAACGATTTGGGAGTTTTCAAACAACACTCCACACAAAAATCTCTCTCTCTTTGCCTGTCGTGACCTTTCTCCCAACTGCAACAGTTCTGTCTCACTGACTGACTGTTCACACTTATACATGACTGTGCCACTGTGCAATTGAACAATTATGTGAGACGTTTAAAGATGACGCTTTTGGTTGATGATTTTTCTATTTTTGATTTTGGCTTTTGTTTAAACGTTTTGTCTCATCATCCCATCTGCCCTTTCCAACGAAATTCATAGTGCTGTTTTTGCTTGGCTTTTCTTTCTTGGGGTTTACCGTTTTCAAATGATGTCAAAGGTGCATTCAGAGGTTTTGGGTTAAAACTACGGCTAGCCAAGATTCCCCCCTCAAAAAAAAAAAAAACTTTCGGCCCCGGCCTCTTTTTTTTTTTTGTTGCTTTTCTTTTGACGTATACTAGGTTTTGACGGGTTTGGAAAACTGGCTCTTTGCTGGCGTAACGTTCCGGCGGTCGGTTTTTTGTTTGCGGGCTCACTCTTGCTTATGTTTTCCATTATTGAAAAAGGTCTATCAGATCAACAGATTTGGGATTCAAACTATACTCGTCATGATAGATCAGAGTGAGATTATACTCGTACCCCAAAGATGGAAAACTATGCATGAATGAGTTCAGAACCAAGAGCAAGGTTCTGGTGAAGACTTTGGAGGAGGAATTCCAAGTGTACATAGTGTGGAGCTGACAGAAAATGGCACTAGGACCCATTATTATCCGGATCAATCCGGTTAATTATATCGCATAATCAGAACCCCCATCGCTGAAAGCAGCCTGCTAATGTTCTCCAAACTGCGGTGTGGCATGCATGTAATGTTTTTTTTTTAAACTACGGTGAGCTGGAACCAGCAACAATCACTCGGAACCAACAAAACTGCTATTATGCTATTATGCTGCCTACCACAAAACTACTATTAGGCAGCATAGTAGCATAATAGCAGTTTTGTTGGTTCCCGGGAGGGCGAGGTCCTCGGCACCACCACATCTGCATTCTCATGATTGACCGGAGTCACGATGAGAGTTGCGCAGATGGTTTGAGAGTCGAGGATGGGTAAAGAGGAAAGAGGGAAAAGACCCCCCTTTTATAGACGTTCGGCATGCGCCTCACCGCAGTTTAAAAAAAAAACATTACATGCATGCCACACCGCTTTGAGCAATAGATGGGGGTTCTGATTATGCGATATGATTAACCGGATTATCCGGATAATAATGGGTCTTAGTGCCATTTTCAATTACCTCCCCACTATGAGTCGTTCTACCTATTGCATACGTAAGCATGAAACCTGTGTTTTTTTTTTTCTTCCCATCGCCTTTGTTCCCACACAAGATATTAGCGTATCGTCGTCGTTTAATTTGTCGTTCAACTCACTCAAACACAAGATGGCTCAACTCCCAGGTTCCATTCTTATCGCCGAGACGTTCCCATTCTGCGTCAACGGATTTGGACGATGCTGCTATACTCTCCCCCGTTCGATCGAACGTTAATGGGAGATTTGTTCTGGTTCTGTCATGTCCTCCCGGAACGTCAAACAGAATCGTTTTGCCAGTATGTCGTATATGTCCTGTGTGATGATAGGAATTCTAATGTGTTGTAGATCACCTCCTTGAGATCGAGTCTTGTCTTTGAAAAGTATCATTGTCAGCATGAAAGGGCACTACGAAGAACGTTATATCCGCTAGGCGAAACTCCTGCACATGATGACATTCAAGCTATTCCACTTACCGCCCCGTACTTAAAGGTCCCCTCATATTTGAAACTGGCCTCACCGGTCACACTTGATGCTGGGAGTCTGCATATTCCCCATGAAGGCCAATTTGGAATTGAGAGTTCCGAATTAAACAAAGTCATCAGTTATTGTCAGGATCTTTGGTTTCCTAATTTCCGGAATGACAAAACACGCGGATTGAGCGGTCAAGATTCGCAAGCACCCAAACAACCCCAAGAATACGACACCCTTTCGTGGGCTGATGTCGCCAGAACAAAGTCTGCATCGCAATTAAAGGGAAAGAAGGAAACGGATTGGAGTGAGGATTCGCGATACTGGGAGGATGAAGACATTTTCGCCCACAGCCGAGCAGTTTTGGCTGCAGACTGGTAAACTTTAACTTTTAAATTCCTATTATGCATTCTCCATATTATCTCTCTTATGCCGTAGAACGTACGATGCTTAAAGAAAGGCAGTATAGAATAGGTGTTATCATAAAGCAGCCAAATACAATTGCAAAGTCATTCCAGTAAATTTCAACTTTGTACATACATTCAAAAACGATATACAATACTCAATATTCCCATTCCACACAATACCTTTTTCAAAAACATTTCCTTACGCCTTTTTCAAAAAAATGTACGTAACAACAACAAAACTACTCTTCATCAACCCCCTCACCAACCCGCCCAACAACACCCACAACACCCTCCAAAACCCCACGAGCACCCTCCCTCCACTGTTGAACCTCCCCAAACTCACATGCATCAACAGACCATATACCATCCGCAGCATAAGATACCCAACCCAGGGAATTGATAGTGTCGATAAAGGATGCGATGCGGGTTTCGCCGGACCGGATTTTAGCGATTTGGGGCGGTTTGTACATTTTTGAGAGAAAGGTTTGTGGGAGGGGTGTGTGGTGTTTTAGGGGGGTTGTGAGGCGTCTGTGGAGGGTGCGAGGGCGCCGGGGGAGGAGACGGGTAGGGGGCCGTGGTGAAGGGAGAGAGTCGTCTGGGACGGGGTGTTGGAGGAGGGGGTCCGTGATGTTGGGTGGGGCGATGGAGGTAGAGTACATGTAGCACTATGAGTTATCGAATGAATAAGCAAAAAAACCAAGCAAGAAATAGAAATAAAAAAAACCTTACCAACAACCCATTCGCACCCCCCTCAGTCAAAAACGTATCCGCAACCGCCACATCCGGGACCATTCCATAGTACCGCATAACATCCCTTACACTCGCATCATTCGCATCCGGGTTATCCGAATCCACATTCCCAGTAAAAGTCGAATTCACATCCGGATGAAGCTTTTGCCAAATCACCCACCATCGATCCAAATTCGTATGATGGAGCCAGAAAATGGGGTCATTTACGGATGTGCTCAACCCAGATAAATCCCCTCCAAAGGAATTGTGAACGTTATTATGGGGGTGAGCTTCCAGTGTTCTTCGAAAGGCGTCAAACGTGGTGTGTCCGACGATCCATTCCATTTCAATGGGACTGTATTGGGCGCCCATCATGTCACCATCTGTTTCGCTTCCATTGCGGAATTGGCGTTGGAGGCAATGAGGGTCTGGAAAAACGGCGGTCGAGTTTGCGAATACGCCCGTTGTGAGGCAGTAATTGGAGGATGGGGATCCGTTGCCGCCAAAGTAGGTTGGAGAAAGGAGGGGGGAGAGATGCGGGGATTGGGAGTCGTAGGACCAGTCCCAGTATGGAAAAGGGCCGGTGTAGTTGCAGAGGGCTGTCAAGGCGTGTTCGTAGATGCTGAGAAAGATGCGGTGCCAGGGGAGAAAGGCTGCCTATGGAAAGTCAGAAAAAAGTGATGAAACATATTACAGAGAGCAAGATGTATTTGAAAATGTCAAAACGTCCACCCAAAATCAATAGATACTCAAATATCCTGATCAACAGAGTGAATTTCACATTATTCGTACCGTGTTATGAGCGGCAGGCACATTCTGCATATGAACATGAACGAAATCATCATACACGGAACGACTGTCTGGAACTCGGAGCAAGCTAGGTGTCTCCCGTAAACACACGACAGCCGACAAGTAGGCTACCCGCTCTTGTTCAGTTAATTCGCGAAACTCTTTGCGGACCTTGACGGTGTTGCATGAAAACTGAGACCATAGAATGGATGGTTGCGGTGCCTGAGGGGAGGGTTGAGCGAGGAGAATGGGAATAAACGTTGTGAGCAAGAGAATCAAGAGCATAATGATAGTTTTTATAATGTTTGCTTGTACACTCTTCCCCCCTCGCTCAGAGACATGTAAAAACTATTGAATGAACGAGGTTTCACGCCCTTTTTCAACAAAGGCTGGAGGAGGAGGGGGAAAAAGAAAATGGTTTATCACTCGGACCTTTTTTTGACAATGGAATCTAGGATAAAATCTCTAATAAATGCTACACCCATTCCATCCTGCTTTCATAGGAGATGGCAATGTCAGATGGATGATGACACTCTCTGGATCGAAAATTCCTTGCACGAATTCCCTTCCAAAAAGCCCCCCCCCCCTCCACATACAAGTTGTAAAAAGTACCTTGAATAAATGACATGTTCTATAAAGCGCGAGATTGGGCGAAGCAAAAGAAACAAAAAAATAACGTGTATTTCCCTTACAAACAAAAACGTAGTAGTAATAGCATGACGAATGTGAAAGGATGTGATGCGGAAGAGAGATCTGAATGTCCCTACTGCCAATGAACGCCTTGTCCCTAACCTGCAACCGTAGAGATTTGTCAAGCCTTTGGAGAAGGGTAAAGTACATCAAAGGGACACGACAGACACACGCAGTAGTTGTCAGTCATTTTGCCCTTTTTGCCGTGTGTAAAATGCAAGTATGCGCAAACGCAGATGCTCAACATGGACCTACTTACTAGGCCAGATCTAAATAATAATAAAAACAGCTGCTTGAACACCTTGTAGCTAACACTCTTGCTGACACTTTTGCTGACACTATTGCTGACACATGGACAATCACGTGACATCATTCATGTAACCCGATATGGACAGCGGCTCGTGGCCCTCCATTTGGGCCAACGTGGGAAAAATAAAAACGGCCATGGCATAAAAATGCGGGGGGGCACAGCAACAATGCATTTTACACAGCCATGTTGAGAGGAGTGAAGAAAGCCATAGCAACAGAGGAGGGAGTCGATAAGAGAGAAAGAAGTAAAAATTTCCTTTTTTGAACAGAAGCGGCCAACAAGAAGAGTTTCAAAAAGTGACTTCATTCCCACACATGGAGAGAGAGAGCACACAACACAGACAAGGGAAGGTGCTCAGTTGCAAATGCTATTGAAGGAGTAGGAACTCTCACTTGTTCATAAAAAGTGTGTTAAAGGGCTTTACTAGTTTTACTTTATATTCTTATTTTCTTTTACTATTATTATTACTAGTCGTATTCTTTACTCTTGTCTTTCTATCACACACACACTATAGTAGAGAGAGAGATAGAGAGAGGTATGTTACTCGCATTTCACACACATGCACAATTGTGTATGCTCATTGGTTTCTTTTTTCAGCATCCACTCTTCTTTCTTCTTCCTACTCCCTCCTCCCCATTGTCTGTGCAATCTGTTGAACAACACACAATTCATCATGGGGTACCAATCACGCCGCCTCTTTTGCGGCATTCTCTTTTGGCTCAAGACGACATTTGCTGTCGCTCTCGCATTTGCTATTATGGCTGTCCTCTCTCTCCGCGTTTATACAAAGCACAAGGACGCCATGGACGAGAGAGCAAAGCAGCCCATTAACACGCCCATTGCCATCGATCCCGCTAATCTAGGCTGTCAGTATCAACCTGGCGGTCTGGCAAGGCTCGAGCCCGCTCAAGGCGTATTGATGGGTTACTCGCCCAACTGGAATCCAGATGTGCCCACTACCATCAACCAGCGATTGGGAAGGCGCGCTGCCGTCTTGTATGTTTTTATTGTTTTTTTGTATCGTTTTTGGAACAAGACGCTGACACTAGGTTTTCAGCAACACGTTTATGCGCTTGGTCAATGACCCCGTCAACCCAGTGGACCAAAACATGTTGGACTGGCACGCTGCAGAAGTCATTAACGCTGGAGGAATCATGGCTTTGACCCTCGAGCCCATTGACATGCTGGGTGTCACGGACGCTGTCATTGATAAGGTCACGGACCATTTCCGTCGCTTGAACGCGGGAGGCTGTCCCATCATTCTTCGCTACGGACACGAAATGAATGGGGAATGGACAAACTATGGCTATCGGCCCAACATTTACATTCCTGCTTTTCAGAAAATGGCTACTGCTGTGCATGCAAAGACCAATTTGACAGGTGAATACCTAAAAAGCGGCATAAACGCTTGATCCGTACCACAAAAACTGATTCTTGTCTGTTTTAGCCATGTTATGGTCGCCCAATGTGGGTGCCTTGTATCCGTTCACGGCCACGGCAGGCGGAAGCACTTGGCAGACGGCGGATCCAGCCAATTTGGCCCTCCTCGACACTAACGGCAACGGCATTGTCGACGCTGGAGACGATCCATACATGCCCTACTACCCTGGAGATGAATACGTGGACTGGGTCGGCCTTAGCTTGTACTATTACCAAGACGCTGCTCCCAATGCCGTTCCTAAAGCCACCTTTTTCGACGACTATCTAGAAGGCCAAAACTTGGTGGCGTATGGAGCAGATGCCAATGTTAATTTGGCTTTGCGCAACTTTTACCAGCGGTTTGCCGTGGAAAAGAAAAAGCCCATGGCTCTCTCAGAGTCTGGGGCCGGGTACCTCATGAACCAAGCTGGTGCAACCGAACTGGCCGTCAAGCAAGGCTGGTGGGAACAAACCCTCAACACTGCCACTCTGGCCCGTTTAACCCAACTCAAACTGATTATCAACTTTGAGGAACAAAAGAATGAGGCCGCCTATGTCAAAAACTGGGCCGTCACGACCAAACCCGAGATTTTGGCTGCGTACAATGCACACCTCACACAATTGGGTGCAGCTGTATTGTGGGCCAACAAGTTGGGTGTGAGCTGCGATGGATCGCTCAAGACGAGTGCTTAGATGCTTTTTTTTTCTTACATGGACCCGGCTGGTTCTTTTTTAAATTTCATATCATAGCTTTTATGTGTTTTAAATTCGAGTAGTGTGTGTATGTGCGGGGGTGAACAAGTATATAGGGTTGTATCTTTTTTGTTTCTCTTCTTTTTTCCCTATAGATTTTAACAAAAAAAAAAGGACTTTTGACATTTCATTGTCTTTAAATCTCTACTACTGGGTGCAGGCTTTTATTTTGCAATGGGAACAGTGTGTTGATCACCACTTGTATGCTAAACAGGATGGTAAAGAAACAAAGTTGCAAGAGAGTTATGCGCAGAGCGAGGATCGAACCCTTTGTTGTTTTGGAGTGCCTTTGTACTTGTGTAACACACAAGAGGGTACTTGCTAAACCCACAACAATAAGCATTATGAAACTCTAGTGAAAAATCCTTTGGGATCCCATAAGTACTTTGTGTATTTAAGGATTATGGATGGGTGACACGTGAATGGGGGGTTTGCGGCATTCCCACACACATTAAGGTTATTATTATTGAGTGAAAGAGAGAGAGTAGAGGATATGGGGCTATTTTTTCTTTGAGGTTTTTACACAAGTTGCTTTTTGGTTTGCTTTTAGAACAAGTTTTGTTTGAGCTTCCGTTTTATTTTGAACGGAGAGGCCGTATTATCTTTTTGGGGGGGTGTGAACTAGTTTGTTTTTGTTGCGACTTGCTTTTGAGTCAAAAAACAATGAATCTCGTCGCAACAGTCTTTTTCCTCGTCCTCACGACGACGACGAAAAGTACCTACGCCCACCTGACAGACCTCTTCCTCCTCCCAACACCCAACAATCCCTGCCCAACAATAACCCACTTGAACACAACAATATGCAAAACCACAGAACTCGCTCCCAACACCGAAACCCGACTCGGGTGGGCAAGCAACACCACTGGCGGACTCGTATCCCTCTTTTTCGAAGCGACACCAACAACTTTTATTGCATCCAACCTCTCTTCAACGGAAACCACCCTCTTCATTCCCTCCACACCTATTCGTATCGGTGCCTTGTACACTCGTAACGGAACGACAGACCCACCTTTGTTCATTACCCTCACAGCTCCCTCTTCGTCCAACACCGTCTCCCATATCGCATTGATCGTAGGTTTATCCTCGATTCTAGCCCTAACTGTCCTCCTAGCAAGTTTCTTTTGGTGGAGACGTCACATTCGAAATCAACCCGGCTACGCATCTCGTAAAGTCCAACGAAAACGCGGCATGTCTGTCATACCCGTTTTTGATCGATTTTGGCCAAAAGATGAGGATACGAGTCCTGTCTTGCCCCCTCGCCCGTGTTTTCGACCTAGCCATGATGTCGTCCCTCCAACCCTTTGTCGAACATTTACATGGCAAAAGGACTCTGTGGTTGTTTTGGAACGTGAACCGAGTTCTGGTGAAGTTCCTGATGGGTGGGATGAGGAAAGTGGGTTTGGGGATACGAAACGCATCGTGCATTGAATATTGTGGTGGGCGTTTTCTTAATGTTTTGTGTGAAATGAACTAGTATATGTATATATGTTTTTTTTTGAGAATAGTTTATTGTCTTGTATTTATTGGAAAAATGAAAAGTTTTTTAATACATGAGTCGTTCGTAGTTTAAGATGTGAGGTTGGTGCAGTTTTTATATCGCTAGACAAAAAAAAAAATGAGTGGAATTTGGTATTTTAAAGGTTACAAAAACCCCACTACACATGTGGGGCATGATGATGGTTACTGGGTTATTTCTTTTGCCGTACTTTTGCTTCCAATAGTGTTTTTCTTTTTTTTTTTTTTGCTTTCAAGACCAGAGCGGAAAGTTTTTTAGAGTTTTGCTGACGGAGGGTTCGGAAGCTGTGATATGCAGAGATTCTATATATCCCGATTGTTCAACTTTTTGTGATATTGTCTAGAGCATTTCCACACACCCTTGACGACCATTACTTTGCTTTTGGGGCTGTGAGAATAGTTTGGACTTATCTCTCTGGGTGCGATATTTTGTTCTTTTCCACAGATTGGAATAGGGTTTTCCTGATTTTTTAAACCTGTCTGACTTTTTTGAAAATCCAAATACTTGATTTGCCGTGTAAAACGCAGTACGACAAGTGTATTTTCCAATGAGCTGGTTTGGAATGCGTTGCAGCTAATATCTCCTTTGCGATCTTTTTCGCAATCCATACCCTTATATTTGGGACGTCACAACATTATTGGCTTCTAATACACCCACACCAACTACAATCAAAACACTGAGGTTCTTTTATGTGTCCACTTTACACATCTCGCAAAAAAAAAACCCCCTGGCATATCTGCCCCCCAAACAACCGCAAAATTGTTAAATACCCTCTGGCGACATCACATCTACTCTATATTCCAATACCGATCACGTTCCGTCAAGTATCGATGTGTATATGATTGTCTTGAGTGAGAAAAGAATTCCTGATGGTAATGCACCGGTATTCATATCTGAGAATGATGACAATCCATAAAAGTCGTTGTGCATGAGATTAGCAACAAGTATAAAAGTTCAAGCGGGTATTATGTGTACGTCCTTTTTTCTGCAACATAAACTAATGTAGGGCATTAGAGCGTCGGTTGGGAATGCAGATACGGGAGACGAGAAGAATGGGATTCATAATTGAAAATAGGTGTCATGCACAACATTCGCAATTGATACTTGAATAATTACACTACGTTTAAAACAAAAAGCGCAAAAGATTCCTGAAATTCCTATCCATCCTTTAACAGTACACAATGAGAGCTATCCGCTTCCACTGCTATCCAACAATACCCAAGAGACGAACGCAGCCATCCACTGATCGGAGCACATACGTAAGCATTCCACATGACATTCACCTGACGTGCACGAACCGCTTTACTGCGCACCCATCAAAAATTACCAGCTGGAGGATCTACAGTTCCATTTTTCTTGCCAGAATTTCACTCGATTGAAAAACACACATTTCACCAACGCCCACCCCCCACAATCACTGAATGTAACCCTCCCGAAACCAACCACACAATGCCAAAAACCCTCCCCCCCTCAACCCTAACCCGCCTCCTCCTCCCCTTCCTCCTCACCTCCCTCGCCCTCAACACCATTTCCCAAATCCTCCCAACACTCTATACAGCTGAAAATGTGTATACCCACCCAGGGACCGTACCACCCGATGCTACAACATACATTTCGCAACACCCGGCTACGACATTGGGGTTTTGGAAACGATGTGAGGGAAGTTGTGGGGATTTGGATCTCCCTTGTGGGAAACAGATTCCCAGTACACCCACCACTAATAACAAGGATCTCGCACAATCGTATCAAAACACATCATCCCACCTTTGTCCAATATTCAATGCCGCCCGGGTATTAATGGTCCTATCCCTCTTTGCCGGTTTAATATCAACAATATCCCTCCTCCTAACCTCCACAAAACGCTACCAAAACGATCCCATCGCCAGATTATTTTCCGTGCTGGGTGTACTCTGTATGACTGTTGTTCAAATCACGGCATTGGGATTATTAATTGCTTTTAAATCGGATTTGGATACACTTGGGAGTTTATCGGCTCAACTCCAAAATGGATCGAATACACCCGTTCAAGGCGTGAATACGGTTTATGCATTTGGAAGTGGGTTTTGGGTCGTTGTTGCTGCCGTTGTTTGTATTGTTTTGTGTGTGCCTGGTGTCGGTGTTGCTGCGGGGAGGTTATGGGTTCGTCAATCGAGAATAATAAATGACGGGAAAGAACAGACCAAGATGGGGGATTCGCATCGGCGGTATCCGACCTTACAGGGGGCGTATACTGGGACTTTGTATCCTGTACCCCAAATGACGTCCCTCCCACTCCCTCCCACACCAACAACACCAACAACATCACAACACACGTCAACGCAGTCGTCCTATGCTTCGGCACCCAATACAGTATTGGTCCCAGACGATGATTCATCGTCATCGAGTTTTTCCGATAGTAAAAATAGTGGTGAAGAGGAATGGAGGAGGAGCTATGAAGTCGGAGATGATAATAGATGGAGACGACAAAGCGTACATTAAAAATGCTTTTTTTTTCAATTACATGTCTCTTTTTTTTTGGAATAATGTTTAATAATGTGATTTTAAAACTCCCTTGACAAATAATAATGCATTTCCAAAATACACACACAAAAAAAAAATTCCCTACAAACAAAACAATATCGAAAAAATAAACCCAAAACCAAAACCCCAAAAACAACAATCATTCTTCTAATCTCATTCACTGTGGGGTATCCTCATTAAACACATCCACTTCCTCTCCAATCCTCTTTAGAACCTCTTCCAACGGCACAAAATTCCCAACGAATGCATTCCCACCGACTTCTTCGGCACATTCCTTCCCTTCCACCCCACCCACCAACCACTCTCGCAAACTCTTGACAAGTTTATCTCGTCGAAGCTCCGTACCCCGCCATACTTGTCCAAAATCATGGCGTTCCTCACGGTGCCGTGACGTCTTGTACGATCGAATAAGCGAAAGCTAAAAAACCAACGTAAACAAAAAAAAAAACAATACAAATAAACACATTTTTCAACTCCTCACCATCTTGTCAAATTCATACTTTTCCAATCCCACCCGACAAATCTCTTCTTCACCCTGTAACACCGTGAAGAGCTTCCTCGGTATCCGCTTCCGTGGATCGGGGAGGACGAACCAGTTGAGTTGGGATTTCGAGCCCTCCAGTTTTGGGTCGTACGGACCTACAGCAAAATTACGGTGCACATTAGCAAGTTCACACAATGTCATTATTCCATTATGCGGAACATACCGCATATGGCACCTATAAACGGTCGATTTTCCACCGCCGGTGAAACAGACTCGCCTTCGACAGATGTTGCCTCTTGAGCCGTCTGTGCACTACCCGCACACGTACCCCCCACCTTCTCCCCCTCATCCTCTTGCCCAAAATGACCATAACAATACCCCTTGAATGCTTCCTGGTGAAGATGTTGCGTAGTCAAATCAATATTACTCGGGTCCGTGCTGAAAATGGGGTGACTATGGTACCACCCCATAATCTGTAACCCCAACGAGTCAGCCAAGGATAAGGCCTCCGCCAAGGATTCCTCAGAAGCTTCAACGGTAATAGTGGCATCAGCGTCAATGGGTTTACGTTGAGCGGGAAGCGCGGTGCGGATCACGCATTCTTTTACAGTACAGTTAGACGTGTCGCGTACAACATGATCTAGCAAAAACATCCTACCATTCTTTTCGGCATCATAATGTCCTGCCAGTAAACCCACAACCTCGGTATCAAGCAAATGCGAATGCAAGTCCATAAGCGCAATGGCTTTACGATCCACGCGTAAATGGTACGGTTGACTTCCAGGTTGCCCGTCCCCTGGACTATTCTTAAAGCTCAAACAAGGCAAAAGGTCATATGCGTCTCTAGTAACCCATGTTCAGGATGAGTCACAACCCTCAGCGCACAATGTCAAGGCCCTGTGTAGCAACGTACTCGGCATATTTTCGACGCGGTTTGCTGGCAGCCTCCCGACGTGGTCGATTGCGCGCGTATTCCGTTTTACCGTCTGCGCCCACTTCTATTCCCAAGTCTTCCAACGAAGGTTGGACTATAGCTGGAGCTAACGGCTTATCTACCTCCTGCGTTACACTGGCACCCGATGACTGACATCGTGTACTATACACCTCTCATTAGGGAAATCGACGGCTTTGATCTGCATGAATGGCGCACACACCTTGGCGATATAGGTAAAACGGGTTGTTCCTGACTAGCAGACCGCTTCCGGACAAGTTCAACAGCAGGATGGTCGACCGTTTCTGTTTCCTTTCGCAGCGGGGAATCGGGTGATATCAGTGACGGATCACGCTTTCGGGCTTTCAAGTACGGTCTTAAGGCAGCGCTGTCTGGATTCAATGGCTTTCCGCTAAGTGTATACCCTTCGCCACTCTGCTTGACCTACAAAAGAGTATGAGCAAAGTCCAAAATATTACAGTGGCATTGAACATAATGTGGCACCTTGTCCGGAAGAGGTTTACCATCTAAATACAAGTGAATGAAATGCTTTTGTGCATGCGACTTTACACAATCTCTGGATCGTGTCTTTATATGCCGCGTCAACTGTTGAGTAGAGTTAGTTTATTTGCACTGAGATAACGACAAAGCATCTGGACATACGTCTTCCCAACCTCGACCAAAAGTTTCTAGTCCTTCCAAAAAGAGCTTCTCCTCAAGATCGGTCCAGCGCCCCTGATTTATGGCAGTCATTTTCGAGGTTTGAGTTTTAGTAACGCTGCCAGAGTCTGGTTGTGCGTTGATTGTGGCTGCTGTTCCACCCTCTGCGGGCGGCGCGTCGGATGCCGGGGGATGATCTGGGGGGGCCGACGTCTCAGAGTTTACTGTAGGAATCGATGAGACTTGTTCATCTCCCTTTAATCTCTTTACGACATTTGGTGATGTCTGCTCATCAATTGTTGCTGCGTGAGCTGGATCATCATGCGGCTGAGACGGCTTGCGCTTGCGACCGCGTCCTCGTGACTTTGAAGATGCGGACGACCTGCTTCCGTTACCACTTGATGTACGGCCACCTTTGAACGCCATCAGTTTAGAGATCCCTCTTTGTCCGCCAATCCTCAATCCATTTCGCCCTTCCTCTTACCTCTCTTTCCAGATTTTTTCAGCTTCCGAGGATCCAAAACAAAATCATCATCGTCCTTGCCGGCATTATCAAACGGGTCTTCCCAATAATCTTCATATGCATCGAATTGTTCTTGGAGTTGCCGGGCAATAGCTTCATCCGAGAGCTCTTGCGTCTTGGTCGGGGCAATGACAGATGTCATCTATGTAGCAAAAGGAGCCCATTAATATCCGTCCTTTGCTTGATCGACACTCATCCTCGCCCGATAATTTACATCGATATCCCCAAACATCGCATCTTGCAGCCATCCAAACGCGTCACAAAGTAATACACCTTCTTCCCCAATGGTCTTTCCAATCGGACATGACGTATCCCCATCTATTCTGGTTGGTCTTTAGATACCTACCTTTATTACGACTTTAAGAATTTTTGTTCACGTGAAGGTTTGAGGGTTTGGGATGAAGGACGTCCGTAGGCTCCGTCCACCAGAAACACTCGTAAATCTCGCGAGGTTAATCAAACAGGGAAAAAGGGCGACGTGGACACTAGAGAATAGACTCAACGATGACGGCTCGATGGGGAATCGCGTACCGGTCATCGGACGCTCATCTTGCAAGCAGGTTCGTCCAAAACCGACGAGGAACACGAGGGCGCTGGGCATGTCCGTTTGGCATGCCGATCGGACATGTCACGTGCGTGGCGCATGCAATGTGGTGTTACAAAAAGGTGTTCTGAAGGAGATGGGCACTGTTGCAGTATCATTCTGGGCGACCTTTCCGCGAGGTTGCATTTCTTTTTACACTATCCGTTTGTCAAGGGTAAATTAAATAAAAGGAAAAGGAAAACTGTCTTTTTGCTTTTAGAGTTTTCAGTTGTATTTGCACACGAGAGATGCATGTTTTTGCCGTCGGGTTTTGTTGAGTTGCGCATCGCCGCCGTTGCAAAGTTTTGTCGTTCGTTTGTCTCTGGAGATGACGATAACTGTTGACGAATCTCCGCAATTGCGCTCACTTGAGTCATTGGGGGGGGGGGGGGGGTAAACCATTGCAGCCGATGATAACAAAAGGAAAACTGAATTCCAAAACACATTTTTTTCCCTTGGCCGCGTTCTGACTGTTGGGAACAGCTGGAATGTCGTCGTTTACCATCACGGCCTGTTTTTGCCCGTTGTAGTCATTCAAGAAAAGAGTTAGTGACTGCTCACTTGGCGAACAAAAAAAAGCTAGTCAAAGAGGCAGCGATCTCAGGGTTGTAAACATGTCAGTTTCGAATATTTTTCCTATATCCACTAGCCATGTCACCAGGGTAGCAGCGCTTCTTTTGTTTTTTCAAATAAACTCTACTCCACTCCCCTCCCTCCTTTTGTTCAGTCATTGTCTACTTTACCTCATAAGCATTCGTACCCAATGGCAGAGGAGGCAAAACCAAAGGAGGGAGATCCAACGTCTCATCCTGTGGAGGAACAAGAAGATGATGGATTCGGAGATAGGCTACCTGGCATTAGCGATGAAGAGGATTATCAAGTTACCGTCCGTGCTATTGCCATTGGATGTCTTTTGGGTGCCATCGTAGGAGCCTCCAACATGTATCTTGGTTTAAAAACTGGTAATTTCCATCTATTGAACACACGTATCTTGTGCAACCTTTGACACTATTTAACTTTTAATAACCAGGATTCACTTTTGGACCTGCTCTATTCGGTGCCATTATCGGTTTCTCCATTCTTAAACCCCTTTCCCGGGTCTTGCCTCCTGCATTTGGTGGTGGTCATTTCGGACCAAAAGAAAACTGCACTGTTCAAACTGCAGCTACCGCTGCTGGTGGTTTGGGCATTATTTTCGTCTCTGCTGTCCCCGCGCTATATAAACTCGGTCTTATGGGTGAGAGTCCTAAAAAGGTTCGTGGTTATTCAAGAATGCAGGCTTGTTTAGGGGTGACCAAACCTGTAACCCAACTACCAACTCTTGATATCAGGATATTGGCCGCTTGATTCTGTTGACACTCATCTCCGCCTACTACGGTCTCTTCTTTGGTAGCGTTTGTGATGTTAATTAGTTTGCCAGACAGTACCCAGTAACAATTTCTTTTTCAATTTCCATCAGCCGTCCCCCTCCGGAAATACTTTGTCATCAAACAAAAACTCATCTTCCCAACTCCTACCGCATCCGCTCATACGATTCGGTCCCTTCACGATGGTGTCTCAGGAGAAGCTGTCGGCAAATCCAAAGCCAAGGTTATGGTCATTTGCTTCACTTGCGCCATCATTTGGACTCTTGCTGGATACTTTGCCCCTGGGGTATTCCGAGACTGGCACATTGCTTATTGGTTTTACTCTTGGGGTTGGAAACCAGCCATCCAAGCCGAGAATTGGCATTGGATCCTCCAGTGGACACCTGCTTTCATTGGAGCAGGTATGCTCAGTGGATTGAACGTGTCCGCATCCATGTGGCTCGGAAGTTTCTTGGCTTGGGGTGTTATCGGTCCTATCCTGATCAGCAACGGTAAAGCTGTCGGAAAAGATACAAAGTATCCTGACCAAGTCAACTACTTTCGCTCCATTACTGAAGACCCTTTAAACGCCCCTTCCCCTCGTTACTGGATGCTCTGGCCAGGTGTCATGCTCATGGTGTGCACCAGTTTTGCGGAACTGCTCTGGAATTGGAAGACTATTGGTCTGGGTTTGCGAAATACTTTTGCTGACATTTGGAATACAGTCACTCGTAAACGGTCAGAGGCAGCCCTGGATGTTCAAATGGACGACGAGGATCCTACCTTGCCCAGCGAGAACATTCCAACCGTTGTTTGGACAGGAGGCGTACTCCTTTCCGCCGTCTTCACGATCGTCATCTTGAACCAATCCTTCAATGTCGGTGTCGGCGAAGGCATTCTTTCCATCGTCCTCGCGTTCTTGTTTGCATTTATCGGCCTCCAAGCTGCTGGTCAAACCGATATCAACCCCGTCAGTGCCGTAGCAAAGACATCCCAACTGGTTTTTGGTGGTGTGAGTAAGGGTAAAGGCATGACGGAAGGTACCCAACTCCTTGATGCACAACGGATGAACTTGATCGGAGGAGCTGTGGCAGCCGCCGCAGCCGCTCAATCGGTCGATATGGTCGGTGATCTGAAAACTGGCTACCTCCTACGTGCCACACCTCGCGGACAATTTATTGCGCAAATCTTTGGCGCATTTGTTTCTGTTTTCATATCCGTCGGTCTCTTTATTTTGTACACCCAAGCGTACCCTTGCATTATCCGCACCCAAGAGGAGGACAAGCTTCACGACGAGTGCGAGTTTGCAATGCCCTCTGTAGGGGCTTGGTCTGCGGTCGCCCAAGCTTTGACGGACAAGGACCCCACCATTCCACATTCCTCTGGGTACACAGCCATCGGACTAGGTGTTACGGCAGTTGTATCTGTTTGGATCAAGAATTCTATGCCCGAGAAATATCAACACTACGTGCCAAACTTTAACGCAATTGGGTAACTTCCCTACTGTGACAGCCATCACTTATTCCATTTCACTCACTTTTCTTTTTCGCAGTATCGCATTTGTGCTTGAGAGCACTGTATACTCCAATGCCATGTTGATTGGTGCAGTGATAGCTCACATCTGGGTCAAGCGCTGGCCCGCATCATGGGAAATGGCTGGTTACGCCGTTGCATCTGGTCTCATTGCTGGCGAAGGTTTATCTGGCCTCCTACAGGCCATTCTAAACATTGCCGATTTGGGTGGTGAGAAGGTTGGAACGGGTTTCATGTGTCCGCATCGCGAGTATTGTGGATGAGATGGATATCTCACTAGTGTAATTCTATGTACAATTAAGGCTTAATTTTCAAAAGCCGACATAATCAAATGAAAAGTTCGCCTGGTCGAACCTTTCAATATGTCGGGATATCATTCTGTTGATAGCATTGAGAAAAAGAAAAAGTGCGGTGAACCACAACGATCAGGCATCAGATCAGAAACTTACTTGCACACGCTGGATGATACCCGACTTTAAAGCTGAGAACCCTCAAGGTTGATGAAACTGTACCAGAGCAAAAGTATCTGTCATCCGATCAGGAAGAAATGCATTTGTTTGCGGATCATCAACAATCTTCCTCGATCAACATCGTAATGCAAAAGCAGAAAAAGCGCTTTGGAAACACTATTTTCTTCCACATTTGATAACCTTCCGCTCATGCATCTTTCATTTTATGTCTGTATCTTGCATTGTGGCTGAAGATTTTTTTTCTATCACTTACTGCCAAAGGTACAGTACCGAGTCAGGTTATTGGTGACGCCCAGGTCATGGATTGAATACGACAAGGGACTCCATGGGCTGGTCATCTTTAAAACCGAAAACTGCAATTATTTAGTAGGAAGGCGGGCCCAAGGCATAAAGTATACGCACATTGGATCTCGACTTTTGGGTGCGAGCTGCTGGGTCCTGGTCATAGGAACAAGGACAGCCCTTTGGGCATGCTTTGAATGTATTTCTGAGCAGAAACACTGCTGAAGCTGAGCAAAAGGAAATTGTTGGCTGAAGATAAACTTTACAAACTGCCACAATACCATCCTGGGTGAAGGCTTGCTCGAAATGTCAGGTGCTAATTTCAGGTGAGAAGGTGGCCCAAGGCTACTTTCATCGATAACTTGTATATCACTGCAGGCGAGCCATGTCCAGAAGTGAGAAAGTTTAGACTGGCCAAAAGCAACCTTTTTCTATCTGGTATAGTACAAGAAGACCGTGTCTTTTGCCCATGTTGGACATTCTGGTTGCCGGAACACTTGCCCTCGAATTCTTGAGCGTCCATAGCTATGCAGCAGTCAACCTTGCACTCCCGCGGGCGAATTATGCGATGATTGCAGCAAGAGATAAACTCTTGTTTGTAGGAGGAACACCCATCTGGTCAACTACCATGCCCGATGGCAAGTTCGTTCACAAATTGATCACTCAGCGTTGCATTATTAAATGCTTGGCTCATAGACAGAGCACTACAAACTCAAAAGAATGACATACAGCGCAAATTCACGATCATTCCATTCAACAATATCTCAGCTGGGTATGACACCCCCGTCCCCTGGCTCCACAACGCTGGCGGCTTTCCGGACGGATTGAGTTGTAACCTCAATCATGATTCTGTGCATTGCTTTGGTACGTCCATTCGCAGTTCCCAACGTATCACGCATTATCTGATGTTAGAATCCCTTGTAATAGGAGGATGGTCTTCTGCCTTCTCGGGGCTCACCACAAATAGTCTCATAGTCTTTGATGCTGCGACTTTGGAGCAGCGAGCGAATACATCTATATCCGCAATCTCCCCTAGAGCACAGCATGGAGCCGTGATCCTAGGAGGAAAACTCTTTGTTTTCGCTGGTGAGAAAGCATAGAAATTGTCAATTTTGTTGTTATGCATGGCTCATTGGTACTTCTTCCTACTTGTCCTGAACCTACGGCATTAGGAACGGATTCACCAGGTATTCCGCACCCTGGTACATGATGCAAGGAGCACTACTAACCCAAGATGCACTCTGCAACCAGAGGGCAGAACCGCTTTCGATGATCTGTGGACTATTGATCTGCAAACATACACCGCTTCACAAGTTACACTGGCTGACAATAGTCCTCATCAGAGCTCCGTTTCGTCGCCAAGTCCAACTCCAGAGTTGATTCCACCCCCACAAGAAGTTCCACCGCCTCGACAACCCCCTCCATCAACTGGACCAAGCGGTCCTCCCATGCGCCAGCCTCCGACGACGACACAGCCAACTGAACAAAGCGGACCTCCGATGAGACAGCCTCCATCAATCACTCAGGCAACCACCCCCCTTCCTCCTGTGCTACCTCCACCATTTACCAGCATGATAATATCCCCTAACCCAGGATCATCATCTACCCAGCCTGCTGTGACGTCCACAGTGTCGCCCACGACAGTCACTTCACTAGCACCGACCTCAACCACCACATTCGCAGTATCCACACGCAGCGCCGCGCCAGCCGCGCCTGAGACGTCAGTTAGCCGTCCGCCCATGACCTTCAGCTCAGCGCTACCGAACATTCTCCCGACCACGGCTGTCATAGTTCCAACAAGCACATTTGCGCCACCTCCAGTGTCACCACGACCTGCAACAAGTAATGACGCTCCGATTCCGGTCGTTACGAGGTCCATAGCGCCGCCTCCAGTCTCACCACGACCTGCAACAAGTAATGACGCTCCGATTCCGGTCGTTACGAGGTCCATAGCGCCGCCTCCAGTCTCACCACGACCTGCAACAAGTAATGACGCTCCGATTCCGGTCGTTACGAGGTCCATAGCGCCGCCTGCTCCTACCGCCAGTGAGCCATCTAGGTCACCAGACACTAATACGTCACCAGAGTCTAACCCGCCAGCTTCTAATAATCCAGCAAGACCCGGCAATCGACCTGAATCCAGCAACTCACCAGCTCCCAACAACGGACCTGGTTCCAACAACGCACCAACTCCAAACAACGGACCTGGGTCCAACAGCTCACCACCCGGCAATCCGGAGCCAAATGCTCAGCCTCCCAGCGATTCTGCACCTCCTCCCACGCAAGGCAACAGACAGGTAACCTCACGTTCCAGACGCTCCAACAAGTCCCAAAGAGGTCTTTTGCGACGTGCAACATCACAGCCAGTGAAGCCTTCTGCTAGGCAAAGTTTCTGCCTTTCGGCTTTGACATCGAACTCTTTTCTGCTATTTGGGGGGGTGGCACCCTCTGGTGCTCTACTAGGGGATACCTGGATCTTTGATGCAGATAGTAGCACTTGGACAAACATTTCAACAACACACGCCCCTTCCCCACGCATGGCATCCGCTTGCACGACAGCTCCCGACAGCAAGATATACCTTTTTGGTGGTTACGCTTTAAAGGTCGATAACAACACGCAAGGCCAGACGTTTGGCCCAATTGGAGATTTGTGGATGTTTTCAGGGAAGGATTGGTCATTACTGGCAGTTGAAAAAACAAACTCTACCACGGCTGGGACGAACACACATCAGCCATCTGCTCGATATTTCTCGGCAGTAATATTTCCTGAATCTAGCAACTTTTTATTCGTCTATGGAGGGCTGGGCAAAGATTCTGTGATAGCGACGGACGACCAGCTGTACACTTTTGATACCAGGCAGATTGGATTTGCAGATCCGGGTGGGACCTCGCCGCCAGGGGTTGGATGGGTGGATCCTCCTCCGAATATTGTAATTCAAAAAGAGGATCAACAAAATGTTGCGTTACTCGTTGGATGTGTTGTAGGGGGTGCAGCAGCTTTAGCATTATGTGTGATGGGCATAACATCTTGCATCCTGATTCGAAAGAAGAAGAACCAGAAGAAAATGCTAAAACGACACGAGCATACACGAATGGCCTTGGACCAGGGAAGCCCGTCCATTGAGAGAAGCCATTCTTGGATCTCTTCGGATCATTCGACTCCGAATCCGACTCTTTCCCGAGAGGAAAGACCACATGTGTTGGATGTCGACCTTGCACGTACTTACCGTGGAGCGACAGATGTTTTGCCACCTCCGGCGTACTCGGACGTTATCGATCCCGTCAGCACATCCACTGAGCGTGCTACCCCGCCGAGACATCTGTCCATACCGTCTCCTTCATCTATCTCAGCAAGTCCAGCTTCTGGATCCACTTCATCTTTAACACAAAGTCGGTCCGTTCTTTCCGGCTTTTCCATTCCGAGCACAGCTTCCAGCGATAGCTCGCCCGGTGATCTGATGATTTCACATGAGAATTACATACCACGTCTCTCTGACGAAATGAAGTTATCCGCTGGTGACTTTATTTGCGTACGGTAAGTATTATACTCGTTACCTGTTAGAACATAACCAAGGCGCCTCACTTGTGGTCATATGTTTCCCCCTCCGCTTTCCAGAAAGATTTATGAAGATGGATGGGCAGAAGGTCAGAATATTACGACTGGCGATGAAGGCTTTTTCCCGCATCAATGTCTCGACAAAACAAAAGGATATCATAGCTCAAGCACCTTGCTTGATAAAGATGCGGGTGCATTTGACGAAAAGATATAAACGGGGCAAGGTAAAATTGACTGCCCAGAAGCGGATTTGAAGCATGTAGATCAGGGACCATGAACGGCTGGGCAATGTACAGAAGGCCGCCTTTGTTTCCTGAGGTAAAGGATGGGTCTTTGTTGATCTGCACAGACCCACTGGTGCCGAGCTTGTATTAAGCGCTTGTGAATTTATTGGTCCATTAATTGGCAACATACAAATATATGGTATATCTATCTACATGAATGTCATGTGAAATGTCATTGAATTTGGGCTCTGAATTTGGGAGCCGGCTAACTACATCCGACCTCATCCATATCTTCCGTGCGTGCGTTACAAGGCCCCTCCTGGGTCATTGTCCAAGTGATATCTTTGACGCTCATCCGATGGGTTGCGCTCAGTCATGACTGACATTCGGTACGATCAGGTAGCCGATTTGTATATAACCATTTGCCCAACATCCGATCGAGATCTCGAGCTTTCACAGGTTTGCCCAAATGATCGGACATACCGCATTCCAGGCATCTGGCCTTATCCGATTCTAGCACATTGGCGCTCATTGCTACTATAGGAATGCGGGATATTTCAAAGTTTTCGGATGCTCGTATGCAACGCGTTGCTTCAAAACCATCCATTCCTGAACAAAGTTGGGGGTTACAGGTTGTTCGGACACCACCGACGTATCCGAAGCATACCAGGCATTTGACAATCCATTAAAATCAAGTCGAACTTTTCTGAACCTCGGAGAGCCCTCAAGACCGCATGGCCATCCTCAACCATGGTGAACTAAACAAAGTTAGGTGTTGACTTGGTTTAGAGTGCTGTGTGAAAGGAGCGCAATTACAAGCAGCACCACTGACCTTGATATTCAGTTTTTGGAGTAGCTTCGATGCTATCACTTGATTGATTGGATTATCTTCTGCGACAAGAACTTGCTTATCGGTAAAACTTCGTTGCGGATTGAATGGTACTTGGCTCACTCTGCGAAAAAACAGAAAAAAAAAGGTAAATGATGAGACTGACAAAAGTAAGGCAGAGATCATGATCCCACATACGGTAGTAGATGTTCACTCTGAACCGTGGCTGTGGGGAGTGGAAGAACAAAGGAGAACGTGGACCCTTCTCCCTCTGTACTCGAGACTGAGATCGTGCCACCCATGAGCTGAACTAAGCCTTTTGATATCGACAGGCCCAAGCCTGTTCCACCAAACCTCCGCGCTGTTGACGACTCTGCTTGAGAGAACGGCTGAAATAGTCTCTCCAGTACATCAGGCGACATCCCAATTCCCGTGTCCTCAACATCAAAGCGATATTGCTGTACGTGTTCACTACTGCTGTCTACTTCTGACAGCCGCACAGATATTCGTCCTTTGACAGGCGTGAATTTGATCGCATTGCTGTTGAGCCAATTCCAAGTCACTCACAGCAAGCACGGGAGTCAACGGGGCTGTTTGCATTACCTCATCAAATTGATCAACACTTGCCGAATCCTTGAGGCGTCACCTACAACATTTCCGAATGCTTGTAGCTGAATAATGGTATCCAGCTGAATATCCTTTTTCATAGCTGACAGGGACAGAATCTTTATGACATCCGTAACCAGATTCGCGACATTGAATGAAACTGGGTCCATCTCGAGTTTTCCAGCCTCCACTTTTGAAAAATCCAAAATATCGTTGATGACAGTTAGAAGACATTCCGCCGATAGGCGAATATTTGAAGCGTACTCTTGCTGCGTGATGTTTAGATCGGATTCGAGAAGTAGGTCAGTCATGCCGATCACCCCAGATATAGGAGTCCTGTCAAATCAGTGTGAAGTTAGTGGACATTCCAATTCTGAATGTTTTGTGATCCGAACCTGAGCTCATGGCTTTGTATGGAAGGAAAGAACCACATATTAACGATAAGGATCGCTGTAACCGCGAGTATCAGCAAGGTCATACCTCATCGTCGCTAAGAATTGTGACTTCAGCTTTGAAGCCTCCTGTGCCGCATTCTCCCTTGCAACCAAAGCATTGCGCTCCGTCAAACTTTTCTCCAAAGTTTTCTCTGCGGTCAGCCGCTCTGTGATATCTGTGCAGATTCCAATGACTCTAGTTTCTTCCCCTGGTGAAGATATATGGCTAAAATGGGTCTCGAACGAATGCCGCCCGACTTCAATGATATGAGTAAGACTTTCACCAGCGAAGGCACGTCTCACGCAATCATCTAAAGTCGGAACACTCCCAAAGAGGGTGTGGTAATGCTTATGCAGAACCTCTGGAGCTGACGTCCGCAATACCTGCAGTCCCTTCCCGTCGCACACTGTGATAATTCCTGATGAGGAGATGCACCATATGAACACTCCTAAGAGGCGGTTCAATGTGAGTGGCACTGCAGCAGAATTAAGTCCGTTTGAATTACATTTCACCTGGAAGGTTGCTGATGACATCTCGTAATCGTTGTTCCTGTTAATGCTAGTGAGTAACAGATTTACGTGCAAACGAACATACGCAGAGAGTGTTCCTACCGCTTCTTCCGCTTGTCGACGGAGTCGTATTTGTTCTGTAAGGTCAACCGCAAATGCCACAAATTGATCATTACATTCATCAAGTGGCGAAAGACCGATCAGCGTTGGTATTATAACGCCATCGGGTCGTTTCAATTGGTGTTCGAAGGTTCGTTTCGTCTGCGCTTTCATTGCAAGGGCTTCGGCCAGAATCTTGTCATCCACACTCAAGCGCAGTACATTTGGTTGCTCTTCTTTGGTCGGAAGTCCAGCATCGGACACGTCCCTGGGCTGTAAGCCCAACATCTCCAAGTATGCTTCGTTAACGTCAAGGCATTCCCCACTCGTACTGAATGTCATGACCCCAATGGGGCTCGACTGTATGAGACGCTTGGCACGCCTTTCGCTTGCAGCCAAGGCTTGCTGAGCCAACTTTGTCGATGTAATGTCTGTACTAACCCCAACACATCCAGCAATTGTGCCTTTGTCATCCCGAAGGGGTGCCCAGCTATTGTAGAAAAAAAGGTCCATGACTGTCGTTTCTTCGCATATCTTTTCACCATGGTAAATGACCCTTTCTATGAGTTCCAATACTTTTGGATAGTCTTTGTAAACTTCCCACACTGACTGTCCAACGATTTCTCCCGGGCGAAGCCCAAGTGCTTGTAGGCCCTGACCATCAGAGAAGGTGAAATACCCCTGTGCATCCACTGCCCACACGATAACCATGGAATTCGATATGTATCTTTGAAGCTGCTCGTGAACTTCTTTTGCAATACGGAGGCTCTCTTTCTGCGCATGGATGTCTGTAAGTGTTCCGAACCATTTCTCTACCTGCCCAGTGTGATGGTTGATCACCGGAATACTCCGGCTCAGGTGCCAGCGCCATTGCCCTTCTTTGCTTTTCAGCCTCACCTCCGCTTCAAAACGTGTGCGAGTCTTCAAGCTTTCATTCCACGCGTTCCAAGACCACTTCATATCTGCTGGATGCGCGATATGACTCCAACCCCCCTTCTCCATCACTTCTTCTAGCGAAACGCCAGTGTTGGTCGACCAAGCACCGTTGGCAAATAGACAGCGACCTTCAGCGTCAGATACATATATGAGTTGCGGCAAAGCCTCGGCAAGCTGAAGGAAATCCGCATTATTTTCTTGCATATAACGGAATTTTTGGCGCCCTTCTTCGAGTAGAATGATTTCTGCATGAATGCAAGAATGAAATTCTATTCTGGATCAAGGAACAAACTTTGCCAAGTACTTACCCGTCACATTATGAACTATCATTGTTGCTCCAATTGTATCTCCGCTTGAATCGACGTTAGGGGCCGCAACTAGCCAAAGATGCTTTCCAGCAATTGTCATCTTATAATCTCTAACGGTTTCACCATGTAATGCTCGGGCGAGGGGAAATCCGGCAAGAGTCGGGCAAGGTTGGGCACCAACGGCTGCGAAGCTCTGCACTCTGTGGGGGTAACAATGGTGGCAACAGTACGCAGGTGCCCATCTTCGGATTGCCCCAACTATATGTAAACGGACACTTACAGCTGTTCTAGTGAGGACGGTACCATTGTCGTTTCAGATATGCCACATAGTTCTTCTGTTTCTTTACTCATATATATGATTCCGTCCAAGTCACACGTCATCGCAGTTCTATTAAGTTCGGGTGGAAGTGCCGAGGCGAAGTAAGGGTTCGCCCGATCTATCCTCTCAGGACTCGGATTCATATCACCGGGCACTGTTGATTGATCATGCGTACAGGACTCATTCGATATCAAAGGGCGAACCACCGCGTCAACCGGCGCTTCTTTGGTCTCCACGGCGGACCCGTCTCCGATTATGTCTTCCCGTAAGCCGGCCAGTTGCCGTGACAGCTTTCCAATAGATATATATCCACTCAAGAGCAAGCCAACATGTTGAACGAAATGTGTTGCACGCGCGAGGTTTCGGCGACCCGGCCGAAACGCTTGTATGATCACCGTCCCCTCGACATCCGGTTGTACAAGTGCTAAAGTCGATGATAGCGGAAGAGCAGCTTGCCGCTTACGATCGCGTCCGTGTGCAAGCTGTCGAACGGTTCGCTTAGCCTCCGCTACAATCTCTCTCTGGCAGCCAAAGGTTTTCAACCGAACCGTTACAAGACTAGCTGTGGCTAAAAATCGAACGTGTTTGGCGAGCGTATCGGCTGTGTCCTGCAAGACCTGAGTGCATCTCGACGGGTCAAATGGCCGTGAGAAAAGGAAGTCTGCTACCGTGCTGGCCATAAACTCTCACCGTGTCCACTCTGGTAAAAGTAGACTTATCAGCAAAAGCATGTCCCAACCCCCTATGTATTTTCCAAAGGCGAGCCCAACAAATCCAAAGGTTCCGGGAGTTGCTTACCAATGCACTGGTCACGAGATGCTCCAACGCCACGGGTCCGTTCATTGCACCAGCAGAGTGGAATAAGCTGTAGAACTGCAGTTGCCAGGTGATTGGGAATAACAATGACAGTTTGAACAAACGGACTTGAACACTAGGATTTTTAACAAAGATCTGGAGATGATGGCTCCTGGGTGATAAACATGTACTGACATAAATACAAAATACATAAAACATTAGATTTACGAGGACTCGACTGGAATTTGGGGAAGGTCTTTGGCTTCAAGTTTATCTACGGGTTCTTCCACAGTGGAAGGTACAACTTTTGATTCGTTTATTTCTTTTGCTGGGACGGCGGGAACAGCGTCGGCGGTAGCCTCAACATCAGCGGCTGGCTTTTTCGTAGCATCCGCATCGACGTCTGGGGATTTCGTATCAACATCTGTACTCACAGGTGTAACTACAGTTTCCTGTGTGACGACTTCAACAGTGGCAGGGAGAGCTCCTGCGGGTGTTTTTGCGGGCAGAGGCGGAGTAGCTGTGGATCGAGCAAGAATCCATTCAGCATAGTCTGTCGCGATCTGATCACGCAACTCCGATTCAAAATGAACTATCAAGAGTAGAAATATGTCAATTACGTATGAGATGACAAGACGACACAGATGAATAGCTTACGTTCATGGCGTGCATTATCGAAGAATTTGACAGTTTTATCGTCTGCAATAGAGTTTTTGATGAACAGCTCGCTAGCTTCGCAGCTAGTCAACTTATCAGTCCGCGAGTGATACAGCAATAGCGGATGGCTAAAGGTGGATGCCGTGTCCTCCACTTTCCTCCCATAAGTAATAAAGTCACGGAGTAGACGTATGGTCATAAAGTTGTGGTTATACGGGTCCTTTGAATACTCTTCGTGTAAACTGTGAGGATTGTCAGCACCATTGGGCAAAGCGCATGGTCTTGGGGAAAAGGTGTTACCTGGGGTCCAAGATGTTATTCAATTCCATCGCGCCAGAAGGTGCTTGATATCGTGGAAAGAATGAGGTACCCAGAGTGCTAATCGTACTAGAGACAAGAGATGGGAAGGATCTGGCCGTTCGAATGCAAGGGGCTGTTGACCATCAATCAGTCGCGGGAAAAAACGGAATTGAAGATGATCGCCCTACCTTGGACAACAATCCCTCTAAAATTTGGAATGCGTTGAGCGTGTAAATTGACCAAAGAGAGAGAAATCAAGCCACCCATGCTATGTCCAAACTACGGATGGTTGGGTTAATTCTTAGCGACCGAAATCGACGGGAATACGACTCACTTACAACAAATGTTGGAACTTCTCCTTTCTTGGGCAGTCCACCAATATCCATTTCGTTCAGCTGGAGCAGGTCTTCAAAGGTATTTTTAAACGTGCCCATGTATCCTTGCAGGGATCCTCTTTCCAAATTTTTAAAGTGTGTCCTTCCATGTCCTCTTCAGAATTGCAAAAATATGAGACCTTTGTCATTAATGGTTCAGACCTGACAGCGCGCACCTTTGGTCAATTCCACGAACCGCAATGCCCTTTGAAGCAAAAAAAGAGAAGAGTGGGTCGTATCGATTGATGTGTTCACCGAAGCCATGGACGGCGATGACATTGGCGACGACAGTGGTTTCAGGCTGAACAAAGTGACAAAGAAAAAGTGACGCAAGCTGAGAAATGCATGGTTCAAGTAAGTGCAGACATTATTCAGCGGCAGTCTCACCTTCCAGGCTTTCCAATATATTTCCCATCCATCACGAGCTGTAAACCAGTTTCCACCACGCAAATCGGTGAGGTCAGGCAAGTCCTTCTTTCCAAGCGTAAGGTTCGCAGGACGCTCGCTAGTTGACTTTCGAGGAAGCGTCGACATGTTTTGACGACGAGAATGCCAGTGGAAATGCGACAGAGAATCCGATAGATAAAAGTGTCTATGATCGAAAAGTGTGATGAACCATCTAAAAAGAGTAAAGGGCACGCCTTTTGGATAGACTTGGGGATATGTTTGAAATGTTTGTGCTATTCTTGAAATAAAGTCAAAATGTCATACGGGGAATACAAAAACCGCTTTTCTCTTTTGGATAAGTGTTACTCGGCTATCGAGATCTTCCAAGTTTCCTACTGATAGTAAACAGACTGAGCGCCAATGGCCCAGAGTGGTACTAAAATTATTTACCCATTGGGGCGACCCGCAGCTGGGCACGCGCTGGCTGAGACGACGTTTCCTATTCCATTCGCTCGCTTCAAAGCCGCGACTTGCACCCAATCCCATGCAGTTCCCATGTGACAACCCACAAAGGGCATTGTCTTTATTTAACACTTGCTTTTTGGATACGCGGTGTCCCGAAAGACGAAATCAGGATATGTGGATGGACGTCGACCGAAATATCGGTACGATACAAACAGCTCAGAGACACGCACACATACATGATCAACTTTCGAGTAAAAAATCATTATAGATGCTATCTATCATTCTGGAAAAGCATTAAACAACTATATGATACCTGTGGGCTTGCTTCAGATCTCCAATCAAAATCTTACAACTACTCCTCAAAGTCTGCCTAATAGAATTTCGCGTGGCTCCAAAGAAAACACTTTACCTGGGTTTAAAATGCCATTTGGGTCCAAGGATTTTTTCATCTTCCTCATGACTTCTACTGCCTGTGCACCAACCTCTAACGGTAGCAGCCCGATTTTGCCTGTACCAATTCCATGCTCGCCTGTGCAAGTTCCATCCATTTCTATCGCCATCCGAGCGTTTCGCTCCCGAAAGGCTTCCGCTGCCCGGACCTCCTCCGGATCATCGGGATCAATCACAAGTAGCACATGAAAATTGCCATCACCGACATGTGCTAGAATAGTGGCATGCAACTTCGCCGCTGCTAAATCCTTACGGGTATTATGCAAGGCTTCGCGGATGCGAGAGATTGGAACGGCTACATCTGTGGTAAGAATTCGAAACTCTTTGTCTTTGTCGGTTCGTAAATGTCGAGCAGCAAAATAAGCTTGCTTGCGTATATTCCACAAACGGTCAGCCTCAGCTTTGTCCTCGGCAAACTTGAAGCTGCTTGCGCCTAAATTCTGACACAGCGATTTTATCTCTCCAGACTGGTCTTTGAGTGTGGTTTGGGACGAGGTGGCAAACTCGAAAAGGAGAGTAGTTTCCTCCCGCAACTGTTCATCTATGGGCCGTCCCATGTTGACCGATCTGATGGCAAATGTATCCATCAATTCTAACCGATGAAGAAGAATTCCGCTTTGCACAATTTGTTGAACTGCCTGAGCTGCAGCTTCCAGTTCTCCAAACTGACTCATGGCCACGGCCATTACCTTTGGCACTCTTCTCAATCGCAGGGTTATCTGTGTAATCACACCCAATGTCCCCTCACTTCCAACAAATATACGAGTGAGATCATATCCCGCACTGCTCTTCGTGGCGCGCCGTCGAGTACGTATCACTGTACCATCCGCCAAAACGACCCGCAACGAAAGAACATTTGCAGACATTGTTCCGTACCTAGTAGCAGCGGCTGAGTATTCCGGAATAGAATCCGACCTAGGAGAGCACCAACCTCCACGCCAAAGTTCCGGAGCAGTTCGTCCCACACATGCCACCGACGCAGGCAGCCGCGCCCGGATCAGGCGGGAAGAAAAGGCCCAAAGGTTCCAAGGCATGCTTTAGCTCCATCCAGCCCACTCCCGGTTCCACAACGCAATCTAAATCATCTTCATGGATAGATACAATCGTATCCATGCGGGATACATCCAAGACAACACCCCCGGACCGTCCGGGAATGGTAGCCCCTTCCAAAGAAGTCTTGCCTGCGATCGGAATGACGGGGACTCCATATCTGTAAAAGAGTTCCAGTAAGATTACTTTAAGAACATGCTAAGTATAGGTTCAGATAATGTCAGACGTAACGTACTTGTTACAAGTTTTCAGTACCATAGCCACATCGTCCTCCCCGTCCGCGTAACAGACGGCATACGGACGGCGGGGGGTGTGGTACGATACATCTTTCGATGCATAAACCAAGTCTCTCTCTTTTGAGCTGTACTTTTCCGTTCCAAGAAGACGAGTCAAGTCTGCCAGGCAGGATTCTACATTCGGAGATCTCGGCGAGGACATGGTGTCCTGTGCAGATCCACAAACCAGGGGAATACATGAAGCCGAAGCCACGGTCCAAGGTCAGGTATGATCACGTGCATTGCTTGGTAATCTGAGCTCCGACAACGCATCCCGGAGGGTAGTGCCCACGTTTGCGTTCTGATGCAGCAACGTTTGTCAGCCAAATACTAGACGAGCTTTGCCATCTCGAGCACCAATTAGTATCGTATTGTTTATTGTTCAATATATATCCCATTTTTAGTGCATGCTCGAGACCATTATGTAAGCAGCGCAAATGTCCGATGGTTCTTGGTCGAAGTCGTCGTTGCATAAGGATCGAGTAGCTATTTATGGCTCAAATCATGATCCTTACTGGATATCTGCGCCTACCAGTTCAATCGTCTGGAACGTGCCAATTTTACCGATCTGTAATGCTCCTATAGACACGGTCACACATATTGCTCTTGCCTCCCTCCACGACATCCATCGAGGTCATGCGAGATCGCCGTTCTCAGATTTTATTTGACACTTTACCGATAAAGCGATACACATAGTCCTGCTTTCTCCATGGAGCTTTTAGAATCTGACACCCTTTGGGACCCATTGCTGGCACTCCAAAAGTTTCCGCGCTACGATTCCGAATACTCTGCTTCAGGCCGGAGCGATTCGCCTAGTCCGACGCATGTCAGTCCAACATTTTCGCCAAGCTATGAGCCACGAACACCTGTGGACTGTGTTGGAGTCTTACCGTTGATCTTGCCTCCTGCAACGATGTGTTTGTCTAGATCGTCCGCCGCCCGAGGAGAGGAGCAGGAGGGGCATTTGTTAGCTGACGGAGGCACCCGAACGTCATTGGGCACGATTGAAGAGGTGGAGAAGGAAACCGCTAATGGTACAGTTGATACGAATGGCGGAAGCGCTGGAACGTCTGATGCGGTGAACATCGGCCAAAATACAGAAATCGAGAGACAAATGCAAAAATTAGATTCCAGCCTGCATGATTCGCATCGCATGCCCCCCGTACCTGAACCGTCTACCTATATCTTTAGCCCCGCGTTTTCAACAACAGGTAGAAAGCATACCCTCCTCCAACGTCTTTTCCACCGACATGATGCACTCGAGGTGCCAGACGAAATTGTGGTTGGGCGGACCTCATCGTCTGGGGACTTTCTCACGTTCAATCACCATGGATTGCCAAAACGAGAGGGAGACATGCTCTGCAAGGATGATGTTGACACCACCCGTAAAGAGGATTCAGATGACGGTGACAAGGATAAAGAAAAAGAACATGAAAAAGAAAAGGAAAAAGATAAAGAGGAAGTTCAAGAATTTATCCATCTTCTCCATTATCCGGGTTCCATTCACAGCGATCACGTCCTTCCACCCCCACCACAACGCACGCCAAGTAAAGCAGAGCAACTCATTGGTAAGCTCTTTCATCTGAAATCTAGTATGGACGAGGACCGCGATAAAGAGCGTGGAAGAGGAAGGGATAGAAACCGAGAGAGCAATCCAACATCCCCACAAGACCAAAATGGTTTCTTTCTTCCTGTCTCCGTTGACGAGAAGGATATTATTACCAAATCCAGCTCAACATCACCGCCACAAGACCGTACCATTTCCCGAGGCAACAGCTTTACGCGGGCCCGTCGGTCCAATTCTTCGAGTTCACGTACAGCAGCACCGGTCGGTGATGATGCAAGCTCGACGACGCCCGGTGGTTTATTCAAGGATCTGATTTCAACCAGACATCGGCGTGCGACATCAGCGACGTCACCACAACGGGGCAACGTTTCTGATCTTTCCGACAATGAGGCTCCAAATCCAACGTCGGGAGGAGCAACACCTACACGGCAATCATCCATTAAACTCAGTCGAAGTCAATCCGATGCATCCATGGCAGAAAAGTATGGAAGGGTGGCCAGGAACGAGGTACTGGGGAAAGGCGCCAATGCAACAGTGAGACTGGTAAGTCACTACTTCACATGGTGTCGTTACGAATGTATTCTAACCGTTTTTTCTGAAATTCGCTTTAGGCACATAAAACGACAGATTCCCCAAACCAATCGCAGCCTGCTGAAGTACTCTACGCGGTCAAAGAGTTTAGAAAGCGCAGAAAAGATGAAACGCAACGAGAGTACATCAAAAAGGTCATAGCCGAGTTCTGCATTAGGTGGGTACCACATCTTTTGATCGTATTGATCGACACCGGCGTGGCTAATGCGACAAGGTGCTGTAGTTCAAACATGCACCATGAAAACGTGATACAAACGGTTGATCTAATTCAGGACGAGGTAATGGGACAACGGTGTACTTCCATGCGTTCTGTGCGCTAAAGTTCATTCGCTTCAATCTCACCGTAGCGTGATCGATGGTGCGAAGTGATGGAATACATGCCCGGCGGAGATCTGTATACTCTCTTGTCATCGGGGACTCTCACCGACCCCGATGAAATACATTGCTTCTTCAAACAGCTCATGAATGGCGTTGCGTACCTACATTCGGTCGGGGTCGCTCACAGGGACTTGAAGCCGGAAAATCTGTTGCTGGACGGAGATCTGAGAGTGCTTAAAATCACAGATTTCGGTGGGTAATTCATTCCACACAGAGATATGATGGATCTGCCTTTTTACTCAATTCGAATCAAATGTAGGTGTGTCAGAAGTCTTTCGAACGTGCTTTGAAAAAAACCCTCGAAAGGCTACGGGTGTTCACGGTTCAGAACCGTATATTGCTCCGGAGGAATGGTCATCCGTTCTTTACGACTCCTCGAAAGCCGATATTTGGGCTTGTGGCATTATCTTCTATACGCTACTACACACATCCATTCCCTGGCGAGTGGCAAAACCTCCAGACCCACATTTCTGCAAATACCAAGCATTCTTAAAAGGGCGGAATAGGCCCAATCACGGATATCCCCCCTTCGATCGCACTGCACCCGGACCCCGAACAGCCCTGTACAGAATGTTGGACCCCGATCCTAACGAAAGATGGGCGGTTAACGACGTTCTGGAGGATGAATGGTTCAAGGGAGTTGAAGCCTGTAAAGAGGGAGTGCCGAAGCATCGACACGGAGCAAAAGACTAGGGATGTTATAAGCGTCTCTTTGTACAGTAATTCAATCTATTTACAATAGCACAAATCGATGTTCTGCGCATTAATCTAAACCTAGACGTAACCTATAGTCATACATACAGATGACTCGAATACGCATGTCATGAATTTCAGCCCATATGCTATCCTATATTTAACTCTTCCAAAGCCATTCTAACAATATCTTCATCGGGAAACCACTCCTCTGCTTCTTCATCACCCACATCGTTCCACTCATCCTGAGCATGAAATCCTCCGGTAACATCATCAAACAAAGCCCGAAAACACGTCGACTTCACATCATTAAAATGGGCATACGGCCGCTGGCGGTCCAAGTGGATGCCACAAAGGTAGCAGAAGTGAGTATGGCATACTCGACAGGTCATATGGTTGCAGCCCTCATTCTTTTGCACCGCGGCTGTGCACGTCTATGAAGTTGCAACGTGTTAGGAATTTTAAAAGAAACAGATCGATTATGACAACATACCGGACACTGCTGTGAGTTTTCTTCTTTCCATTTTCTGGTTTCACGCTCTTCCTCCCATTCCCTTGCCAATTTTTCCAAAGTCTTCCTTCCGTACCTAACCTCCAAGCCCCTTGTCCGTGACACATCTTCAGAAGCCCTAGCCTCAATGTAATCCACAACTATCTGCTCCATGTTGTTCAGTCGACAGTATTCAGCGGCACCATGCCAGCATTTTTGACAGTAGAAGCAGAATGCAAAGTTACAGATAGGGCAGATACACAGCTTTTCTTGCTTCGGATCGCGTACCACTGGTGACTGGCAGGCAGGCCGTGGACAGTAAGTGATATCCGTACGCAAGGAAAGCGAGTGTGCTTCTAGGAGGTTGGCATAACGATCTAAAAGGGTGCTAGGAAGTAGCGCTGCCAGGTCTTCCATACGAATCTGACCATTGGCATCGATCGGCGTTGCACCAGACTCTTCATTCAATGTTGATCGTTTGCTTTGTTTACTACATCGAGAATCTGGACATCGTACCAACAACACTGATCCTTCGGTTATAAGGGCGGTGAAGTAATTGGTAACACATTCCCGACAAAAGATGTGCTTGCAAGCGGTTAGCCGAAAGCACTGGCTTCCAGGCTTAGTCTCCAAACATACACCGCAGTGGAACGAGCAATTTTCAAACGCTTCTTGAATCATTCGGCGATCGTAGTCCATAATCCAATCTACCAATTCTCGGACCTCCGTTTCAGCTCGATCTGGTACGTTAATAGATAATCTAGTTCTGCTGCCCCTCGCCGTGGCGTGAGTGTCAACTTGCAGTTGTTCCATCCCTTTTTGCAATAGAAGCTCCGCAAAGTTGTACAAGCACACATCCTTCTCCTGTTCCCAAATCTGAAGCAGTTCGCTTTCGAGCCCCGCAAGTTGCTGCGGTAGCAGCCATTGACATACGAGTGCAAATTGCGGCGGACTTTGGGATGGGTATGTGGCCGGTAAGCTGAAGTGTATGATTATCGGAGGGAGGAAGCGAACGACCACATTGTGGCGAAGTGAACAAGATTGTGGTTGTGCAGGTACGGCATCATTCCGCCGCACACCTTCAGTTTCTTCAGAGGGGAGTTGAGTGATGACAACTTCTACTTCGTCACCCAAATCCAATCGTATGGACAAGCTCCCGTAGATATTTCCGGTATGCGAGTGCTCGAAAGTGAAGTCCTTATCATAGATCGCCTTATGACGGAAGAAATTGAAAGCTGTTAGGAACTCATGGGCCATTATCGTGGATACGAATTGGTATTCTCGCTTCCTAACTCACCTTCAAAGCCACCACTTCATTCTCTTGTCTCTCCTTGTTCTCTTCACGCTCTTCTTCCGGTAGGTGAGCAGCCAGATCTCCTGACATTGCTGCGGGAGTCCTCATTTGCCGTGAGTCGCTTCTTCCTTTACAAATCGACTAAGCTGATGAGGTAAGCGTCCCACTGTAGTCAGCGCACGATGGAATCAGTCCAGCCGCAAAGATGCCTTCTTTTGCAGCAGCCAGGGCCTATAATGCTACTGTCAACCTCGCTAACAAACGGTTCCTCGTTGTAGGTGGAACATCTGGAATCGGACAGGCAACCGCCTTAAAATTGGCATCTTTGCACGCTTCGATTTCCGTTGCAGGAAGAAATGCTACCGCGGGCTCTACACTTGTTGCCCAACTTTCCGATCTTAATCCCAAAGGCCATCATGAATTCCTGCCTATTGACATGACTCTCATGAAGGATATTCGTCGGTTTGCCGCTGCGTATCGAAACACGTATACTGAGTTGAATGGACTTGTCATCTCGGCTGGCTTTATGACCATGAAGGGACGAACTGAGACCGTAGAAGGAATTGATCAAAAGATGGCCGTACACTATTATGGAAGGGCGCTACTGATCAAAGAGCTGTTGCCGCTGTTGGAGGCAGCATCAGAAAAAGGCGAAGATAGCCGGGTTCTATCAATTTTCGCGGCTGGACTGGGAGGGCCAATCCATTTCGAAGACTTGGATCTCAAGACGACGTACAACTTGAAAACTACCGCAGAAGCCACCTCTGGATATAACGATCTTTTGGTTAATGTAAGAATCTTGCTGTGCACATGGCTGACGCGTTCATGAGTTGACGTAGGCGGTTTCCAGGAGCTTTCCATCCGACATCCGTCTATCAGCTTCATGCACATTGCACCGGGCGTTATAGAAACACCTCTCACGAAGAATCTCCCGCTTTATCTACGAGTACCCGCGAAGATCCTCGCAAAACTTATGGCCAATTCACCAGACGAATGTGCAGAAATCATGACATATGTACTGACAAGTGACCAGTACAAAAGAGGTTGGTGGTTACTGAGCGACAAAGGTGAACCATTGAAGCCTCAAAAGTACCATACTGACGAGGCAAGGGAAGCCGTGTGGAAACACACCAATTCGTTAATTGGGTAGGGTACTTTAGACTTGGTGACGGCATCATTTGTTGAGATCCTGCACTTTTTGGAGGGCCCTTAAAGAGTTGGGACATTCTCACAGAGGGAACGACCTTAGTAACCATCAGCCTTACGAACATCACTCTATGTACTAAAGTAGTAGCACCATGTTATGTTTCATATTGTGTACAGAAGCCGGTAATAAGAAAATTATGTACAGAATTAGTATCGCCAATGTCCCTTTTCGCAGCAACCATGGCCCAGCCATCTCCGCCTTTGAAGCCTATTGGGTTTCGACACTACAAACTACCGCCAAACAAACTGCCTAACCTCCATATTTCCTTTTTTCCAGCTTTCTTTTTCTCTTTTCTGTATCCTTTCAATTGTTTTATCCATTCATCATGGGCATGGACGGAGACGGATGCTGAGAAACTCACAGACTTTTGTAAACGTCTGCAGGACGAAGGATTATCGTCGTCTGTTTCGGATGACGGCTTGGCGTCACTGGCAGAGTATGTGTGGCGACGGAGGACGCGTGGGCGAGAGGGTTTTGCAGTTGAAACAGGCGTGGCCGATGTCTGAGGGAGAGAAGTCGCGAGGTCGTTCGGTGTGAGCATGGCCTCCAGGTAAAAGTCGTTGCCGCTTGTGAAGGGATCGTCAACAGATTCCGCGTCCGGTTCAGGTTCAGCTTTCAGGCTCTCGTCGTTGAACACCACGTCTGCCTCAAATGTGGCGGATCCTGGTATAGCGGCAGCAGTCAACATATCGCGTTGCTGCGGTTGGACGATGCCTTGTTTGGTGTTCTCCCCAGTATTTAAGATCTTTGCTTCCAGCAATGGGCTTTGACGTGTCGTGTCCAGAATGGAAGGCATTCTGGAGTTGAGTTCACGTTAAAGAACTTTCTACCAGGGAGTCACCTAGTCGCAGACAGTATCGTCGTCCTCGTTAATCTGCGCTACGATATTTAGCAACCTTGGAAGCATTTTGCTTTGCAAAATGGACTAGTTGTTTGAAACATCACACACCCAGCCGGAAAATCACGCGGTGATCAAAACTCCCAACTTTTCATTTCAAGAATTGTGTTCCAGTATTTTCTGGATTTGGTTGACGGAATTTTTGTGATGGGTGATCGGAGTTGCGTTTTCCTTGAAGACCAAGTGCTGAGCGAGCAAAAGCTGAGCTGCTGCTGAACGGGGATATGGCGGTCGTCTTACTATTGTGGCTCTCTAACTGTGCCGACGGTTATGGATAGTAACATTGGCACGATGGGTCGATCTATATGCCGCTGGGCCATCTCCAAGTTCGTCGCACGAGTAGATTATAGGGGATGGAGGGTCCAGCGTTACCCTAAAGCGGCGTACTTGTATCGTCTGCTTGAGCACACTGAGGAAGTCATCTACCATTCATGGGCAGAGAGCATAACGCATTCATTCGGTAAATAGCCTGGTATTTTTAAACACATGATGACGTCTTTACATCAAGGTCAGTCAAAACAAAGGAATGATAAAGAAGGGGATGCTGCATTGGGGTGTGCCGATTCTGGCAGCAACAAGTCGTTTGACGGCCCTCGCCGTTATTATCATACTTTGTCCCTATTCTGTTACGGTATGGGATAAATATATGAACATTTCTAGTCTCCGATGAATATTTTACTTGCACCAGAAGGGATGCGCACATCCAACATAGTTGTCCTTGAATACAATTCAGAACAGTACCAGAAGCAAAAGACCGATGCTTAGAGTAGATTAGGGCATAAGTCAGGATGGAAGAAGCAAGCCCTCAAGGGCTGAGTTGCTTTTGGCAGTGCCTGGCATTGGAACGTTTACCAATGGAATTTAGGCAACTGCACAGATTGCATTCAGATCTGGCTGAGCTTTCACATGTTGTTCCGGCTGCAAAGCTCCGATTCCGCTCCGTCGAGTTTGAACATTGCCAGATGAATAGAGTAAACTCGCTTGCAGGAGGGTACAAAGCCTTGGATAAACTCTTACTCGAATGTATTTAAGCAGAAGACAATGTACAGTTACAAGCGCACAATGGCTAGTTACGTCCAGGAACTTGTGAAGCCCGTCTGAAAGCACAAACCTGGTCCTATCCACATTTCCACAGAATGTTGTTACTTGAGCAGTGAATGTGAGACAAGCTCTTGGGAAGAAGGACTACCGACCTCCATCGTAGACAAAGGAGAAAGAAAGTAAGCATCTCGAGATAGAAAAGTCAGCGAAGCATGGTGGCTGTGAAATCAATTTATATAAAATAGGCACTGTGGATAAGCAAGGCCTTTGTTGAAAGCGATTCATTTCTTGTTGCAAGCACAATCTTGAGCTCTCAGACGTGATGACAAATAACACCATCTACATTCTATCGGCCTGTCTCCTCGTGCCGGCCACAGGAGTCCTTTACTTGGTCCACCTGCACAAGAAATTGTCCAAAAAGGTCACCCGAAAATATCTTCATGTCGGCGAGTATGACCTCACACTTGGACGGCCCGTCAACTTCCCGGACGCAGGCACCGAGCCCGGTACCAAGGTTTTCACAGATTGCTTCGAAGCTAAAGTACCAACAAAGAGCTTGCCTCCTCTCGGTTACAAGGACTTGCACACCAAGTTCCTTCGATATAATATGGCAAGATTCTCGCGTATGCTGCAAGGTTATCTCCTGCGGCTTGTGAATCGTGACAAGGCAGATACAGAGGGATACCATTATGATTCTATTCTGAATTTGGATTTTAAAGTCGGGGATCTAGTCATGGGAACTTACCGTGTCACTCGCAGGGACGATGCAACTGGGCTGGTGGAGCTGGGCTTTGAGCAGGACAAACACGTTGCGGGTGTTATGGTATTTCGCATCGAACGAGACGACGAGTTCACAAGCTTCTCGACTCAGACAGTTATGTGGGATCCTACCGATTATTCAGTAGCCCGACTGCCGCTTTCGAAGCCACTTGTACGATATTGGCATGAGGTGACCGCCATGTGGCTTATTGACACTGGAATAAAGCACCTGCAAAATAGAGACTAAAGGAATATAGGCAATGAACGCTAGTCTGTTTTGGATCAATGGCATCTGTTAGCAGTTCAAAGGGTTATTTTTCCCGTCGCCTATCTAGAATGGACAGAAGGTTATTTAAACTGCAGTCTTCCAGCCAACGTGCCCACCGTTTCAAACCGCTATAATCAGACTCTGCGGAAACCGGGGTCTGACGTTGACTTTCATGCATTAATTAAATTAAGTTTCTTATGATATTCAAAGAGGTGCGGTTTAGATCAAATAATGAGCATCTATTGCTGTTGTAGTAATGTGAACAATGAGTTTCCCTAACGGCTAATACAGGAACTAGCATTGCAAGAAATATTAGATTTTAAACTGCCTCATTTCCATATTACTGGACAGCTGCACATACAATGTTGATCAGGTTGATTCATACTTCCGTAGTGGCTCCGTGTTCAGACGTTCGTGGTATCGATTTCGTCCCAGCCTGTGATTTGCTTCCACTCATGCTGTGAGCTGTACCACTTCTTCCTGTGGTTCCAGTTCCCGTAGTCGTGCCACTTTCAGTTGATTTGTTGATGCTATAGAAAGGGAATGTGGTGAATTTATAACTCGTTTGTACTGCATTCTTCCGATGACGCACCTGTAGGTCATGTACAGATACAGTGGGGCCAGGCTGAGAGGGGCGGACAGCAACCAAAAGAAGGCTATAAGGATTGATACTCCTAGGATAGTCTGAATGCGTTCCCGGAATATCCCGTAGAAAAATAGAACGGCTGCAAATCCGGATGTGAGGAATACAATAACGGACAGAGTGATGATCAGCTGTTTTGAAATGGCACATGTGAGTATGATAGGGAGATGAAGGTGTGGATCATGATGATATAGCACACGAGCAGTACCGTGGTGATCGCCCTTTTGAACGCCTCATTTCTGCCTTCAGTTAACTTCATGGCCTGCGCGGCTCTGAGGATCCTCACAAGCTGCAGCCCGTAAATAGCTGCCAAAGCGCATAATGCGACGTCATGCACCGCCCAGGCGAGATAGTGGATCATATTGTAGACTTGGGCTTGCTCAAAATTGCCTGCGTCTCTAGCCTGTCCGTCAAGAATCGCGAAAAGATGGTGCAGAACCAATGGCGAAATGATATATATGTAGGTCAAAGTGTTGATTGTCCGCGGGGAGGGCAGCGAGATTTCCACTATTTGAGTAATGTTTGCTGATGCACCCTTGCTATCTGTAATATTACGGGGCGTAGCGTGGATCCTTGAAAGTGCCGTGTCAGATTGTGTTGCAACTAGTACAAGACAACATTCAGCCAGTCGATAAACTTACAGCCCCATCGTCAGCAGGACACCTCCGATATAGATTGCACACCATGGCCATTCATGCTATGTTATAAACCATGATAAAACCGGATCAGTACCTAGGCAGACGCAATGCCTGAACGCTCATTTTAGACGTCTTGTACTTACGAAAAGCTCGGTAACAATGCTGTTTTTGAATCCACCCGAAAGCACGACAATGCCGTACAATCCTCTGCCTATTGCCAGGGAAATGAAATAGGTTAAATTCGTTGAACTCGTTTGCAGGCCAAGGTTGTTCCATCCGCCAACTAACCGAAGAGGAATATAGTGGACCCAATGACCCAGGCTTCGGTAGCCTTAGGTCTCAAAATACCCTCATTGAACTCGATAACCGAGAGCTTTTTTTTCCAAAGATTTTGATATACTTTTTTGTAGCACACATAAAGACCGATCACTTATAAGGGATAAGTACATAACATCAGTTTGAGCACTGGGATTCGAATTTGGGCGAAATAACGGAACGTTGAAATACTTACAAAAGGAGACGAAACTAACAACGATATACGTAATATAGAACCCAACCCAAATCGAGCTGTTCTCACAATCATAGATGCGAACTGATATTGGAAAAGGAAGAATGCAAAAAGAGCGTCAGAATATCTTTGATGTGAACCTGATACCCGATGCTTTACTTACATCTCCAATCGCACCACTCGGCACTATAGAACTGGTGCCAAGATATGGATGAGTTATCATTGCCCGAAATGCTGCGCCGAAATATGAATGATCGAGCATACCAGGTCCCACCTCACCAACGACGAAGTCATTTTTGCAACTTTGAGTGGAGTTAAAATAGAGCTAGTTCTTCACGATGTGATGGATTGGGGAAAAAGGTAGTTATGTATTTAAAGGGTGGATTGCAGGGTCGGGTAAAAAAGTAAATCTTGAGGTGAAATTCACCCGGATAAGCTTAAGCTTGTTATTGTGTATGATTCCGTTAACAACTTGGCGTATTTGGTCAATATTCAATGGATGTCAACAATGCGCTGGGGAACCCTCATCTTGTGTCCAAAAATTAGTAATTTGAATGAACATTTAAGGGTGCACACATCAGGCTGTTTGAATGTTTGTTGATGCAGGTATGGTACAGAAGATGGTAACCAAGCAAAAAAGTTGAAAGTACCTCAAGTTAGCTCCATATGGCAGGCATCGAGAACATGCCGCTTTGGTGTTCCAGAAATACAGAATCAGGTAAATAAATGTTATCCAGAGTGTCACAGGTTAATGCAGACGACAGAAAATAGTAAAATGTCCACAAGTTAATGCGAAAACCTATTCAGTTAAGTCCGCGGGTGCCAGTCAACTTGGTCATCGAAGCAGGGACAAACCCCGATTCTTTACAGACAATATTTGACGAACCCACATGTTGAAGTTCCGCATACTCCCCCGGGATAACCCCCGAGGAGGAAACGGCTTGTAGAGCTCTCCAAGATGAGCGCATCCGTCCTGCGTGTTTCTGTTGAGCAGAATGAACATACTTGGTAATGATTGACGTTGGGTACTAAACTGATAGCGAGACCTGGCGAAGAGATTACAATGGACCACAACAGCCCCTCGTTTGTTCATTAAAACTGAGTAGCATGGTTGCTCACATGAATTGGTACAATTTCATATCACAGCACACTATTCATAAACGAGATTGGCGCTGCAGACATGTGCGGAGTAACAGACCACAGCAGGCCATCGTTTGTTCATCAAAACCTGAGTAGCATGCTTGCTCACAAGAATTAGTTCAATTTGAAATCACATCACACTATTCATAAAAGAGATTGGCGCTCCAGCCATGCGCGGAGTAACCTTTCCATTTGTCATCAGAAGACCCGCGTTCCAACATAAAATGGGACATGTTCCATTGCTTTCTCCTACGTGAATTCGTCTTGTTCTCACCCACCTCAACTCACCTTCTGCATCAACGCACTCTCAGAAAATGTCGAACATCCTTGTCATTGGGTAACAATCTCATGTGCGTTAGGATCATCCCATGGTCAAGTTCTAATAACTTGCAGAGCTACTGGTTTCATTGGTCTCCCAGTAGCGTTGGCATTGCGGCGCTCTGGCTACCATGTATACGGTCTGACAAGGTCATCCGAAAAGGCGCGCCTGCTGGCCAGGAGTGAGATACTGCCGGTCATAGGCGAGGTCAAGGATCTCTCCAAAATTGTGCCGCCCAATATTGAAGTAATCATTGACGTCAGCGCTGCATATTACGATGTTGCGACAATCTTGGAGGAGGTCAAGACAATTGGTTCTGGAAGGAAAGCGACTGACCCAAAGTTGAGCTTTATCTATACTAGTGGAACTTGGGTGAGTTCTGCGACCTGGTGCAATTGCAAAGAAGAATATTGTACCTCTCCGCTCAGGAGAAGATGGTATCATTCAGCGCTGGTCACCACGACTCACGAACGCGTTATCTGTAGAATTATGGTACCAGTTCCGAGTATTTCAGCGAATCTACCCCACTTGGTCGTGTCGCTCCGCCCCCCGACATGATCGCTTGGCGTCCAGATTTTGAAAGAAAGATATTGGAAAGCCGCGATATACTCGACGTTGCTATTGTCCGTCCATCGATGCTGTATGGCGGGAATGGTAGCATCTGGTCCGTATTCTTTGATCCAATTATCCGCGCCAAGAAGGCGGGCAGTAATATTGCCACGGTTCTTGGTGCGGCTGACTTGAAAGTCACCTCGATCCACAAGGACGATTTGGCAGATTTATATGTCAAAATTGTTGAAAAGGTTTATTATTCCGGAAGCCAGTTTTAACTTTTATTGCAAATACTAAAGGCTATTTCATTCATGCAATATTACAGTTGCCGTTCGTAGCTGCAACAACCTATCCAGTTATCAATGGCATTGCAACGAAGGAATCTCTCGGCAACATTCTGTCGGCCTTTGCCAAAGAAGTTGGGTTCAGCGGGACCTTTGAATTTAAGCAACCAGAAGATGTCCTGCAAAAGGCAATTGTGACCACGTCAAACGCCAGCAACGATAAAGCGAAGGCTCTTTTGGGATGGTATCCAAAGCAAGAAGGGGTCGAGCAAGGGATGAAAAGTTGGGCGGCTGCGTATTTAGCTTGGGCAGACTAGGCTTACTAGGACTATTGTGATAACTGTCGGGGTTCATGGGGTATATACGTAACATCCATCCATATACATGTCTTAACTTTTCTCTCATACGCATGCTACATTGATAACCTGGTGGATTTGCCTGGGTTAGCATGGTGAGCTAAGGGATCCAGACCAGGTGTCGTGATAAACTCTGACGATAGGACATTTGTTCGTCTAGATAAAGCGTTTGCTGTAGTCGCCACAAAAGACTGCATTTCAAAGCTGTCCAGGTCTCAGTCCACCAAAGAGAGTGCCCGGGAACTCTTTGTAGGACGTGGGCTGGGGATGACTTTTAGAGAATTGCCATTTCTTTTACTCTGCTTCCTCTGGAGTACCACTGTACAGCTCGTCAAGTAAGCGATTATATAAGCGACGCGCATATGTCTCTACCATCCTGCTTTTGCAGACGTTCATTTGCTCAACGAAACGATAGCAGCTATTCAAAATGCTTAGCGTGGAAGATAACCAACATGCGCACTCGCTACCGCCTTTTGCCAATGCTCAGAATAAGGCGTTGAGTAATGATGTAAGTCTATGAAATTCTTACACTTTGAGACGCAGAAAGGACCAACTGGACAGAAACTTTCCTAGATCCGAAATTTGGAAAGCAGATTAAGCTCATTACTCGCAAGTCTTGATGACAATGTATCCAGAACAGATACAATGTCCGCTCACATGAAGAATGTGCAGCAAGAGCTAGCGCACACGCAGGTATAACAGCATCCATGCTAGGATATGCCACGAAACACTAATACTAACGCCGAGATCAGGCATTGGCTGATGCAAAAAGTCGACAGATTGATACAGAGGATCACTTCAAACAACTTGCAGAGCGGGAGGCTGGGCGACTAGCAATAGAAATCCGGCAATTGGATAAAGAGATTGCGCAAATTACCGACTACGTAAGGTTTGCCCGATGACTGTTTCTCCTTACCTTAACCTTACCTGTCTTCTTCTACACTCATAACAAAGCTCAATGGAATCCAAAACAATATATACCGTGGAAATGAGCGAATCGAAAGCATTCGCAGCGAGCTAAAGCTAGAAAAGGACGAGTTGGACGAATGGTTGCGAGTTCAGGCCGAGAAAGAAGAGGACAACATTGCTCTATTGAAGTATACAAAAGAGGATGATATGAAAGTCAAGGAACTGAGCTTGGGAATCGAGAAGATGATGCACGAAGTTAACAAGAAAAAAGCCATTTTAAGCGCAGAGGTGATGTCCTGTGCAGACTAGAGTTACGTTTTCAAAAATTCTCAAGCCCAGCTCTTTTCATCCAGGTCACCGAAACACAGGTTGCCCAGATCGAGCTAGACAAAACAACAGAAGCGTTCAAAAAGCTTCATCAGGAGCGGCAGGAACTAATACAGCAGTGGGAGAGCGCGATCGAAAACATGCACAAAAGAGACCAAGACATTATAAATGCACAAAATGATTATCAGGCTCTTAAGGTACATCGAGATTTGAATAGGCATCAGAAGAGGTTGGTTTCTGGTTAAACTAATCTGTGAACTAATAGCTGCGAACCCAATCACATAGGATGAAATACGGAACAAGCAGAAAATAATTGACGAAAAACAGGCGTTCCTGGATCAGCAGCATCAAAATAACGCTGAAACCGAAAAAAGGATTGGCCTTACCGAGCGGCAAGTCAGCAAGTCAAGGTACGTGATGCTTGAGCCTAGTGTAAACATTTTGGACCTAACCTGTGTGTTCTCGTGCAGGTTGGAACAGCATCAGGCAAAGGCAAGCCTGGTGCAATTCCAGGATGAAGTAGACGTCCTTCGCAATACATTAAATAAAAGTAAATTGGCTAGCCGTTCTGTAATGATAAATGACATGATTCCTAATATGCCGCTCTTCAACCACAGCTGCAACGGATCTGGTCAACAGGCGAGGGGAGATTGTGAATCTCAAAGGAGATTTACAGGAGAGGCGCGCAAAGTTAGAAAACGAAAAGCAGAACCGTGAGGATATGAAAGCGAAGCTTGTCATGGTCACTGACAAGACAATGTCACTGGAGGCGAAGGCACAGGAGGTATGTTTCCCTGTTTTTGATTTCTGCGCTAGTTGCCAGCTTGACGCCCTGTTCTGCATGTAGCTTCAAGAGATACTGAAGCAAGAGGAGCTCCGAAGCAAAGAACTTGATCGGGAGCTTAAAATGTTGCGGGAATCACGTAAGACGACGTCGTAAGGTTTGGATAGTTTGCGTTGGAACAAGTGTGTTCACTATGTTCCCTGTCGCAGAATTCAAACGGAACCAAGAAGTATTCCGGCTGAAGCAAGAGGAAAAAAATCTCAGCGCAGAAATTGCTGGCGGAGAAGCTGCCTTACGCAACTTGAAGAGTAAAATCCACAGCCTTGATCAGGAAGCCTTGAAGCAACAAGCCCTTCTGTATGCACAGGAATTCCAAATTCAGCAGTTGGAGCGAAAGTTGAGGCGCGCTCAGGGGGAGCGAACAGACGAGGAAAAAGAAGTTCTTATGAAACGCATCGACGACCTTAACCAACAATTGGGGGCTGCTACACTGAAGTGGAATTTATTGAACGCCCAGTTAAAGAAGTCGCAAGATGACGTGCGGTGAGTAATAAAGCCTTCTTTTCTTGCTCTCTGATCGCTCATTCAAAGTGCTCTCTTGTACCAGGGCCTCGCAAAGGAACCTTGAGACATTAGAGAAAGAGAAAATGAATGTGAAAGAAAACATCGATGAGCTCAACCTGTATAATGAAAGCGCCGTAAGCACAATATTTACGTACGAAAGAATCCCTGGAATGCGTCAACCTAATCATTATCAAAGTCAAAGCAGCTAGCGGGTAAAATTCGCGAAAAAGAGGATTTAATGGTTGAGGAAAACATCCTTCGGCTGGAGCTTCGAAAGCTTCGTGGGTTTTTGAACGCACGTGCCGATCAAGTCTTTACCCTGGGAACTCGTCAAGTACATCTCCAGCTGGCACTGGAGGAGCGCACAAAGGAAATCTCCATTCACAAAGATATGCTGAAACTGGCGCTAAAGAATGCCGAGGAAGAAAGACATTCAGCTGCTGCAGAGCTTCGTGACAGAGTCTCAAAGGTGGAGAAACTTAAAAGGCGGTATGAGATCGTGATGACCCACTTTGGGTCGAGCGAAGACGGAGACGGGGAAGAAGAGCACTCCCAGGCGTACTATGTCATCAAAGCAGCGCAACATCGGGAGGAACTACAACGGGAGGGTGACGAGCTAGATGCTAGAATCAGAAAAGCGGAAAAGGAAATCAAAGCGCTTGAGAATACCCTCAAAATGATGAATGACCGGAATGAAGAGTATAGAATGAAGTACGTCTGGAAGTGGATTTTGGCAAGGCCTGCGAAGAGCACTAAGATGGGCTTTAAGTTTATACAAAGCAGAACAGAACAGCAAAGATATCCAGCACCGCGAGATGTTAGAGCAGGTAAAATGGGGATCTTATCAATTTCATTCCACAATTTATAATAACCGAAAACACCTGACAAATCTAGCAATACCGCCACACTATGGAACGCTACAAAGAGAAGCGAGATGAAATCCAATCCCTTCAAACAGCCTTACTGAACTCCGAGAAGACACTATCGACGCTTACAAACGCCGAATCATCACGGCTCCAAACAATATCTCTCCTAGAGCAGAAATTCAATGCGCTGCAGAAGGACGTTGCAGAACAACAAGCTAAACGGGAGCGGGCAGTCAAAACAGTGCAGAGAAGCGCAAAGGAAGTAGGAACGAAGGCTGACGAGGTCGAGTTGGATTTTAAAGTTCGAGAGTTGAAAGAATTAGGAAACCTGGCCATCGAAGCTATTGGGAAAGTTGTGGAAAGGAGACCAGAAATTGGCGAAAGGGTCAATCAACTCTTGGCAGAGGTAACATGAGGTGATTTCTGATTAACTTTGCTGTTTGCTGAACCCCATCCATCTGTTCACTCCTTTGAAAAATAGAACGGGGTGCAACCACCGTCACGACCGATCTCTCGTATTCCCTCCCGTGCGTCCTCTCGCGCATCCATTACATCGGATGCTCCCTCCGAAGCCTCCAATACATCCCGAAGAAGTGTTATTGGACGGCACACATCTCCGCGAGCTTCGCAGTCTCTTCGATCATCTAGTGGTAGAGTTACTCCAACCAGAGTGTCGACGACCAATCTGAATGGTAGGGCAGTCAAGTACGCAGTGTTTCAACAGTGCCATTTCTGATCCCATATCTTGTTGTGTACCGCAGCAACAATAACGTTACCAACTGTTGCTGCACAGCAGCATTTGACTACCAGCCCCATTCCAAGGGCACCCATTACAGGAGCGGGAAGGATTCGTGCTCCAGCCCGACCGGGGTCTGCAAGTAGCGTTGCCTCATCTAGACGCTCCAGTGCAAACTCTACGGCAGAAAGATAGATAATGGCTAATTGCGTGGTGTATAAATTGGTATTGTGCGTCTTCAAAGTATGCTGTAAAAATTGTAAAATGAAAGACTCGGACAGTGGTTACACTTCACCGTCCAACTTGAATTGAAGATTAAGAAAGATATCACTATATCATGAACCACCTGTTGTAGCCAGCATTCAGCGAGCTTGTTTTAAACCCGTGCTCGTAACCTGAAGATCTTCAGCGAGGACTCTGATGATTACTTTCACTTTAAAAGGACACAGCAACAGCACTTTAGCTGACTGCGAAACTGAATACTACGGTGCACAGACGGTAAAACAGTGCACCACTATCGGCCAGCGGAATTATGGATTTGGAAAGGCAAAACCACCAAAGAAAATCTCTAGAGTGTGATCGGAATCGGGCCATGAAGAAGATGCGTCAGCAGGCATACTGGAAAACAATGAGTTCGGCGGCCAGTTTTCACAGAGGAAGCCCATCAGAGAAGAATGGAACAGCCATCAAAGGAGACGAGCTCAACACGGCCTAAAGATTATGGAGAACGTAAAAGCCGACGATGGAAGGTCGATATCTGGTTGCAGATGGCCAGAGATTATTACCTGTTCTGCAGGTTCTGCAAGCGTCCGACCCCTGCCAATCACACAGTTTGCACCAACGAGTATTTCTGAAAAGCGGGAGTTCGATGTCTGCGAACTATGGCACTATAGGCAAACACTGGCTCTGTCCGTCGTGTCAGCAAATTCTCACTTAAATAAGGTGAGATTGGATATCGTCTGAAGTACACTATCTCATATGAGCTTGTGTGGGCACTCAATTTGACGAATAATTATACAGAATATGTGAATGTGAATATTGAAAATTGCCATTCAAGGTTGTTACTTTTTGTGCGATATGTCAAGCTAACGAGACTGTCGTTCTACAGTGGCATTTTTCGGACAAATATTTGCGACAACGTTCTGAGTTTCCGCTCTTGTACAGATGGATGAATATATCGAGCTTGAGCTTCGAAAGCGATACGAAACTTAAGAAAGTATAAGTGGCTGGAGCGTCTGGCAGCCTAACCACCTCGGGCCATGCTATGCACCCGTCTGATCAAGGCACGATTGCACCCGACACTAAAATGCATCATGGTGACCCCTTCTATTGAACACTTAAAAGTTTCCGGGAAGGAAAACGCCAGGTGAAAATGCTTGTACAAAATACTCAACAGCTTTCCATAAACTGGGAAAATTACAGAAAATGGTCTGAGAACATCCGTTATATAATTCAGAGATATAACCAAAAAGACTGTCGATATACTCGCTAACATTGCTTGCAGGTTTAGGACCAATCCGCGTAGCTAAGCACTTGTTTGGGAGACAGCACGCAAAAAGGCCTATAACTCCTACATAGTGCGGAGCCGGTGGGTATTGGCACTAGTACAGTGATTCCAACCAATTGAATCATAATTTTACTCGATTTAGACTCATGAACTATGATTTGATAATGGTTCGATGCACAAACGATGCTCCACCATTAAAAATGGGTCCAATATGTGCGGCAATGAACGGATTGAATATTCTGCAGTTGCTCCACCATTGAAAAACGGGTCCAATGTGCAGTTGTCATATCTCTATATAAACCCGCCTTCTCTGCCCATTTCCCAGGTTTTCATCATTCTCTGCCGATAGGCTTTCATCATTCTCTGCCCATTTTCCAGGCTTTCATCCATTTTTCTATTCCAATCATCATGCTGCCAAAGAAAAAGCAAAAGCTTGAAAAACCTACTTGCTTACATACCTGTAACAAGACTTCCTTTGCAAAAGCTTTCTTGCCAAACGAGATCTATCGCCAATGGCTTCTAGATTACATCGCCATCATCCATCAACTCGCCGACCATGCTTCCCACGCTCTCAAATTCTACATCCTATCTGCACCAACCTTCACCATGAACGAGGAGACCATCGAAGCAATTCTCTATCTTCTCAACAAGGGGGAGGCTTGGCATCCAAGAAAGGAAGCAAAGAAGGCATGGCGGGATTGTTTGCTGCCATATGTTCAACGGTACTGCCAAATCATCAGCTTCGTTCACCCAAATCTATGAGGTGAGCAGCAATCAGTCAATTACCTGACAGCGAGTATGATGGCGAACCTGAAAGTCAACGTTCAAGAGCATTTCATGCAGATGCTCCTTCAGTATATCAATCTGCGGCTCGATGTGAAGGGACAGAAGCAGCGACTGCCACCGAAAAGCGATGCACGAAAGGCTTTCTTTGCTTGGCTACGCTACATGAAGTCAATTTTCCTTTTTGATATCATGCCCGAGTCGCTTGATGACTTGACTGCTGAAGAGAATGAACTTCTAGAAGAGATTTGGTCCCTTAACATTCCCCTTTCTGATGACCAGCCACTCGCATATTCCGTTGCTGTAGACCCTCTCGCATTCTTTCCTGCATACTGCAAACTCTCTGGGCTGTATGAACGACATGGCTTCCGTCGGTTCAGTGCCATTCCACTACGTCAATCCCTCATCCAAAGCCATGTGCGGATCGACACCATCATCCTCTACTCTCACCTTCTTTGCATCACGCGACGAGAAGCGGAAACTGTTGAAAAGGTCGATTTATGGTTGCGCGTCTGTAATCTGCGGAACAAGGCTTTTAGATCTCGTCGTGGAATGTGTTTTGAAGGCTCGATCACCACGGATGGAACCTCGGTGTCTGTATACCTAAAGCACCCAGAAGCAGCAGACAAGTATGGAAAGCGCGGAGTGAGAAAGTCAGCAAAGAGTTTAGAGGACGAAGTTAAAGCGCAATACATGGAGAAAAACTTACCTGCTTGTCGAGCAGCAGAGAATGTTGTCGTTATCGACCCAAACAAGCGCGATCTTCTCTACTGCCAAGACAGCCTTGGTACTACATTCCGTTACACCGCAAACCAGCGAGCCATGGAGACAGGTAGCCGCCGAATTGCAAGGGAGTGGGAAGCAATGAAAGCCGGCGGTATTGACCTCATAGAATCACGAATACCATCTCACAAGACGATGAACCTCATGGACTTTACTCGCTACCTTCTTGTTTGCCGCGCTGATTGGGATCATCGCAAGGAGTTCTACTCCTGTAGCGAACGACTCTGATAAACCGGTTCGCTCAAAGGCATCAGGTGACCACGATTGAGGTTTCCGCAATTGTAACCTAAGCTTCGAAACCCCTAAGATCAAACTCGGTTCTGGGCTACACCAGCGCAGCATGAAGGATACATTATGCAGCCATGATCGATCATGGCGATGGTCCGAGATGGGAAGATTGGACGCCGCCACCCTAATGAAGGCTATGGAAACTAGTGTAGATGTTACCGTAGCATATTCTTGTATAAAAAGAGGAATTCAATAAAATAAGTCAGTGGCCAGAAGCCGTAGCGACAAAAAATCCCCACAACTAGCTTCTCAACCCCAATCCTAGGTTAACAGGAACCTAACAGAGCGCTTCAATGGCCTGATCACCTGCACTGAAGCCTCTAAATCCTGCTCGGTTCACAACTAACCGACTCTCCTTGCCTCTCGCCCTCAAGTTGCTACTGACGCCCAAAGAAAGGATTTGGAGACTACGATTCCTAGTACGGACACCCACACAACCTGCTAGGAGACCCAAGTTGTCTTTACCGTAGTCTACCAACAAAAAATCCATTACATGGTGGAGAAGCGCGATGAACTGCCTTCCCCTCTCAAATTCAGCTGAAAACCTTATTCGGTCATACCGAAACTCTTGCGCAAACCGAGATCCGCTCAGGTAGCTACTCGGAAACCTTTTCTCTCGTTTCAGAAACAGACTTCACGAAACCGAGAATGATGCTGGTCGAACGCTCTCCAACGCGAGGCCGCTCACCTGTGATCCAGACTCGTAGTCAGGGTCCTGCGGAGGACATCGAAGTCCCTCCTGCAACACGCCCAAGGCATTCAGGGACCACTTCTGTCGAACCGGAAGCCCCTAACTTGGCCACGATGGCCTCTGAAGTGGCAGCGTTAAAAGAAGACATTGCCAGCTCGACTGCTGCAATGCAGTTGGCAACTCAAAATCTTACGGAACAGCTTCATAGGCTTTCCGAACATCAGACAGTGGTGGATGAGCACCTCGCACGAGCCTTAGAAGCCCTAGCGCATCGCCCGCTGCCTGAACAACCTCTCATAGCACGAGCTACAAGAGAATGGTCCGCAACCCCGTGGGAAACGTCGCACACACCAAGGGAGTGTACCGAACCAAGTTTTTCAGGTCCAGTGCCTCCAATCCAAGTGCCAGCGGCCCCGTGGGCCAGCGACACCAAGGTCGATTCCTTGAAAGCAAAGGACGTACCCAAGTTTACAGGCAAAAGAAACCAAGACATTGAAGAATGGCTCAACAAAGTCCAACTTCTTCAAAACGTTAGCGCAACGTCAGATGCCAGGATGGTACAGCTCCTACCAGCCATGATAGCCGAGAAAACCCCTGCCGATGCTTGGTTTTACACTCTGGAAGCCCAGGAAACTTGCTCGTGGACCTGGAAAAGGTGGAAAGAAGAACTGCTTCGAGAGTTCCGAGATCCCCTAACCGAGTCCAAGTGCAAAACCGAATATGTGCACTGCCACGTGAACCCCAAAGAATTTTGCAGCTTTCTCGCATTCATTGACCACAAAACTCATCTCCAGCGCCTCGCATACGGCGACCGGGCAAACATAGAATGTCCCGCTGACCAGCATTTTGACCTAATAGTTGAACAATTGCCCAGCGACATCCAAATCATGGTCAAATCCTGTAACGTCACGAACCTGACCAAATTAAAAGACTTCCTGCGCCTTTATTTTGGCTCTGATGACACCAGAAAATGAGACCCTTGCTACAGCGGTGCTGCTGAAGCTCAGAAGAAGTCACAAAAGACCGGAACTGACAAAGGCCCTAAGCAGATGGCTCAACATAAAACCGGAAACCCCGAAAAGGGTTGCGACGGTCCTCAGAAGATGGTTCCGGACCCCAACAAGGAACCACCAACACCCTGCAAATTCTGTCAGAAAAAGCATTGGAATGTTTTCTGCTGGCAGAACCCGAACCGAAAAGATCCTGAAGATGGAAAGAAAGGACCATACAGAGCACCCACGCCCGCAGGTTGGAAACCCAAACAGGAGTCCAAGAAGTCTTACATAGTGGAGCTGGACTCGATGTCCGCTACCACCGAGACTCTTTTTTTGGCTTCGGAACTGGAAAGGACAGCTGCCGCTAATCAAGGATTCCACACCATTGGATTCTTTCATTCACCCAAGCACTTGGAATCAACAATTTTGATGACCGCACCTCTTTCCGAGGTCATGGAGACTAAGGAAGAGGACCCCCGCATGCCCATGCAGGGCTGGGACCAAGTCTGGAACAACATAGCCATCATCTGGGGCACCCTGCAAGTGGCTCTGATGATGGGCAACAACCCCCGCGCGCTCAGCTTCTTTGCCAAAGAACTGAAGCAAGGCGCCGGGCACCTCGGGAACGACCCCTACGCAGTCGCGTGGAGTTCCCACCACCTCTACATTGCTGCCGCAGCCGAAGCTGACAAGGATCGAATCCTGCGAAAAGTCCGAGAAGATGGTACCCCTCATTTGATCCTCCTTGCCTGGATAAGGCTCGATGAGCATGAGAAATTCTTGATGTGGAGCTCCGAAGATCCTGTTATCTTTGATTCTTACACCAACCTGCAACTGGTGGCATTTCTCCTGACAGGCAATATCATTCGCTCAGACTATTATTATCATCGCAGAAACCCCAAATTTCTGCACATTAAAGACCATCCACGTCTCCAAAGACACGAAGAGAGTGAATGGACGCGTATAGTCATGCTGGCTATCGAACAAGTTGCTCGCCAGAATAAAACAACAAAACCACAAAACAACAAATCTAGAGAGCACTTTGAGAGTGCGATCAAGGCTATGGAAGCAACAATTAACGACATTGCGCCCCATTTCGAGGTCGCGGTGCCTTCCATCAACGCCTTCTACTTGGTAGATTTAGGCAATGTACTCAAAAGCCAGACCAAGACCCAAACGCAGCCTTGCTGGATGCTAGCCATCATCGCTCAGCTCTGGGCACCTGTGGTACTAGACACAGGAGCCTGCGAGTCTCTGGTTTCTGACACATACCAGGGCCTTCTGTTCTCCGAAACCAATTTGCAGGATGCAGAAACGATGGCTTTCAAAGGCATTGGTGGATGTATCTCATCTACCAAGACAGTATGCCTCGAAACTTCCCTCAGAGGCCGCGGAGGAGAATACCTGACTTTCCGCGCCTATTTCCGAGTCATTGCATATGGGAAACCTCTCATCATCCTAGCCAACAATGTTCTGGGACATTTGAAACTCCAAACCTTGGTTCAGGAACCCCCGTTACCCAGTTTCATGGTGATGCTCAAGAATCCGGACATCCTTATCCCTTGCTCCATAACAGATGAGCTGGACACTGATCACATGCGCGGCACGCCATACAAGACCAAGCAGGGTGAATTCATGAAGGATGTGTCAATGCCACAGCTGACCAAAGCCAAAGCTCAGAAGTCTAGATTAACCATGTTAATCACGGGACAGACGCGTGTGGCAGCCCAAACTTTTCTCATCGAAAACCCTCTTGAGGCCACCGCTGCTAGCTCAACGGCCCTGTTAGGCCTCAAACTGTCCACCGCGACCCATAATTCGGTTGCGGACCCCGAAGAGAACATTTCCAAAGAAGAATGGCAGACACTTCGGAACAAATGGAACCTTGACTCTACGGAGAGGGCTCCAGGGGCCTTCAAAGCCCAATTAAAAGACACGGAACATTTCCACGTCAATCTCAAGCAACCCAAACCCGTGGTCTGGGCCCTAATCAACATTCTACGACACTTCCATCAAGCCTTCAGCTATGAGGGTCATCTCATAGGGAACTACACCAAGATTCCTTATGCACCTCGATTTATCTCGGCTCCGCCACCCCTTTCGAGGCCACGGTCGTACTCTCCGTTGGAGCGGACAGCCCTTGAGACGGAGCGAGACACCATGATGGGGCTTCAGAGGTGGAAACGAACCACCAAAGTAACCTTCGCCAGCGATCCTGTTATCATTCGCTATGCAGACAAACCCCCGCGGGTAGCCTTCGACTATCGCCGAGCCAATGACTGCATGGCCTGGGACCCATATCCCTTTCCCATCATGCTCGACATCCTGAACTGGATCGTTGCAGTCCCATTCCGATACATATCGGGAGGTGACGCAAACAAAGGATTTTACCAAATCGCCATCACCGATGCATCGGTACGCAAATGGCTCGTGATCAGACTCCATGACGGCATCTACGAACCACTCTTTATGCCCTTCGGACCCAAGACTGCCCCTTCGCACTTCTGTCAGGTGATGGACGACACCTTGGGTCCCTCCAAATGGTGAAATATCAACAACTTTGTCGATGATATCCACACACGAGCGGAGACAGCCGCGGAAGCCCTAGATGCCATCGCGGACTGGCTCAACTGCTTTTCCAGAGCCAAACTCACCCTAAGACTCGACAAGTGTCAATGGCTCTTTCACCAGCTCACGGCTCTCGGTTTCGTTGCCTCCTCTCAGGGTCTCGCTACCGATCCAGACAAGGTCGCAACCATAGTCGATTGGCCACGACCCAAATTCATAGGTGACCTATGGTCCTTTGTGGGTCTCCTAGGGTTCTACGCCCAATTCATCCCCCGCTACGCGGAACTCGTCCGACCCCTGCAAGACACTATCCAAGAGGGCGTTCGCGAATACTGAGACCTTAAAAAGGGTCGCGCTGACCCAAAGAAAGGTGCTGAAAAGCTCAATTCACCATCCATGCTCGACACGGCGGTGGCCCCTACAATCACAGCCACTGGAGCCCGATTTGAGGTTTCGCAACATCCGAAATCTAGCTCCTCAGACCTACCGGCAGTCAATCTATGCCAATCATCGTTGGCGGACTTGCCCATTGACCCCTTTTGTGTCAGATGCCTTGCTCGCAAGCGCCCCGACCAAGGTCTGCGCAGATTTATCGCGAAGCGTGAAGTTTCATGGACCGATTCCCGAAACTCTGCCTTTGCAGCTGCCAAGCAGGCTCTGACAACAGCTCCAGTGCTTGTGGCACC